TCGCCACGCCACAGAGCTATGAGTGGTTTGGTGTGTGTTGTGACAATTGTTTTGCTGAAGAAATCATCATTTTGTTTTGTGTGGACTGTTGCGCTCTTTTGCGTGCCGAGGGCACATCTGCCAGCCCACACTGTTTTGGAAAGTGTTAGTTAGTTTCATCTTTACTGTGATTTGCAGTTTTGTTTGCGATTGACAACAGTTTTGATTTTGGTGAACATGCTTGTGTTTTGTCAGGTTTGGGATGTGATCTGAGATCGGAGTCATTTCTGTTTTATGTGTTGTGTGAGCTGCTGTGCTTTCTTGCATGTCGAGGGTAAATCGACCAGCTCATCTCAGTTATTTATGGGATGGAGTTTACTCTGTCTTATGTTTTTATTTGTTTTGTCAGTATTTTGAGCCCAATACGCGACCTGGTTATGACTTTGGCTCGGAGAACTCTCAAACTTGGCACTGGTGAGCAGTGATTCATACCCTTTCTGTCCGCGTAACCGATGGCAACTGGATCGATGGGTTCCGAGTCTGCTTCAATGATGGCGAGAATGGAGGATGTTGCTCCACCGTCGAATGTGGAGTTGGTAGATCCTGCCAAGCTGATGACATTGACCTTGTGGATTGCCTTGACGAAGACGCAATTCGGTGATCTGGTCAATGGCAAGCCAGTTATCCCAGATGAGTACTCCAATCGCTTCGGGCTTAGGCGCACCATGCTTAAGGCCGTGGAGAGGGCTAACCTGTTCATGATTTGGTCGCCTGCGGGAAATTCAGAAGAGCCGAGTGTAGCTGATGCCAAAGAGTACTTGGCAGTGCAGATTGAGATCTCGCCCTTGGGGTACATGAGGAAGATGGAGCAGGGGACCCTGGTCAAACTCAAACCTGATGAGTATCGCTGGATGGGAAGCATTTATGGTCATGAAAGTGTTGAGAACGGCGAATGGCTTTATCGGACCATTGGCAATGTATATCAGCTTGCCTGAGAAGACCTGACCAAGGGTGCTGGTGAGATCCTAGGTACCGTTTGTTTGTTTTTGAAAGTCCATCGCGAAAACTGATGGCAGGGAGACAGTTGTCATCGGCGAGAAGAGAGAAGAGTTTTGAGTCATTGCGCGCTTTTGATTTTGCTTTTGGTTATTATTTGCAGTTGCCATGCATGCACCAATTTTTGCTCATGGATCTGGTTTCATGTCATGAAATTGTGGTTGCGAAACGTCTTGAGAGGTTTCTAGGTAGTTGATTTCAGTTTACCTGTCAGACTGCCACAGTTGATTGTCGTGTTTTGAAAATGTACCATGCAATCCATTTCAATGGGAGATTATGGAAAATCTCGGCCGTGCGTGTGAATATTGCTGTTGGAGCAGGTTCTGGAAAACCTGGAATGCAGTCGTTTGAGTGTTATGTGTACAGTGTACAGTTTCTTGGTTTTGCGATTTGTCGTGTAACAACAAACCTGTGCACTGGACATCTTTGGATTCAGTTTTGGACTCTTGGGACTGTACTGGACTTTGACAGTTAGGAACGTGTAGTTTCGCCACACTTGCACTTGTGGATGTGAACTTTACGGGGTAGAGGATTTGACTTGTGCTCATGTTCACTGGATTGTGCGGTGGGCATTGCATGTTGAAGACTGTTGAGGGTCCCAAACCCCACTGTAGTCATCAACCCTGAACTTTGTGTTATTCCAGCACTGCCTCCTAGTTACTGGGAATCTGGACGTGGAAGCCGTGATGGTGGTGGTCACGGCCGGCCACATGAGAACCAAAGAGGTTCTCGGCCCAGAGCGGTGCCAGGTGCCTTCGAAATAGGCGACAATGTGGATTGGCATCGACTTCGACCTCCAGTATATCGAGGATCAACATTCCGGAGCCGCCTTCTAGAACTGAGTGTTGCAGTTCACTTCTACGGAGAGATACAGGCAACACTGAGGGCTATTCGAGAGATGAGCACCACGTCGGCACTCATCGCATTGACCTGTAATGAGGTCACCAGAGGTCTCATGGAGATTGAGGAGTGGCTGGAAAATCTCGGTATTACTTTGAACGATGAGATTGGGGGTTGTTTGATGGACATTCACCATGGAGATTGGACCTGAAGCGATGTGATCAAGATGATTGGGTCCTTCGGTCTTCAGGGATTTGGTAGTTTGAAATTCGGTTTCACTGGAGACTAGTGAGAGTGCAGGGACAAAGGGGGCGGTTGCCGTCGAGCCTTCTTGAATTTCAAAGTTTGTCCATGTAAACATGCACTGTTTTGCTTAGTTGTTTTATTTGATTTTGGGAAGGTGAGAGCCGAGAAGGAATCACCCATCGGAGTGAGATGCATTCAGTGAGATGCATTCAATTGCACCTGCGCACGCATCATGATTTGTTTGTTTTATTTTCTAGGATTGTTTAAGTATCTGAGGATTTTGCAGTTGGTTTCATTGGGATTCGATCCTCTGGAAAGGATCTTGGTGAGTTGCATTTGTGTCTTTGATTTTGAGGCATATAATGATACCTAGTAGCTCATGGACTCCTGTGGAAAGGAGTGAAGAGAAGCAGCATCATGTATGATGTGGACTGTAGCCTCATGCTCGAAAGGCTGTTGTATTTCTTCACCCGTGTGACCATGGCAGAGGCAGGAGAGCGAGAGGCTACTCCCGGCCAAACAGGTGAACTGGTTGCCCAAGGTGCTCCTACGGAGTTGCCTCCTCCTGAGGCAGAATCGGCTTTAAATGCCGATGCCACCGTGGCACACCGGACAACCTGCAAAGAAACGGAATTTGGAATCTGTGCCAGATCTTTTTGTTGGAGAACCTGAGGTGAAAAGACGGGCTGACCAGGAACTTGCATACAACACGCTCAAAGAGTGTGTGGTGGAACTTCGTCATCTGGCAGTTTGCATGTCGATGCTGTGGCCAGGCAGTTAGTTGACTGAGAGTTTCAGTGCTTTGGAAAGACAGATTTCTCCAATGGCTGGTTGAAAAAATGCAAAGTTGCCGATTAGCCTTTAGCCTAGGACAGTGATCTTTTGAGACCATCCAATGGCAGTCTGCAAAGCAGACATGATTAAGCAGCGGCAATCCAAGGAGCCCCGGCAATCGACGCCACTAATTCAGTTTTCTTTGACTTGGTGATTGAGAGACGATGTCGTTTTGGAAACAAGAGGCGGGGGAGCTGGCTGTCAGGCTGGCTGTGAAGCTGGCTGTGGGGTGGGCGTGGTGGGAGTGGCTGTCGGGCTGGCTGCGGTGTTGGGTGTGTGTATATGCGTGTGTTTTTGGTGTTGTGCGACGTTGCGTGGCATCCAAGGGGGCGTCTAAGGGATGCTCAGGGCTGCCGTGTTTTTAAAAACAAAAAACCAACATTTCTCCCAAACAATGATGCCACATGTTGATATTTTCCAGTTGGTTCGTTGGTTTTCAAAATCATTTTTCCTGTGAACAGATTAACTTTGATCATGGAATTTTGCCATCATTTGATTCGTTGTATTTGGCACGTTTGGAATTGCACTCTTCGGTTGACGTTTACGATGCTCCAAAACACTGAAAATGCAATCGCAGTTTGGCAAAGTGGATTGTCATCATGTGTCTTCCAGCAAAATATTTTGCATACAAATTGCACATTGTGGATGGACAATGACTTGAACATACAATTTCTGCGTGACAAAGTGCCGATGGTGGTGCGCTGCTTTGGTTCAAAGTTTTTGCCAATGTGCGATTCACTCCGCGGATGGGTGGCAACATTGGCTTATTTGTTTGCTGCATGATGTGCATTTCTTTTGTTGATCATTCCAAGTACTTCTGCATTGAACGCCAAATTAGTTTTGATGGTGTGACGTATGCAAACAATCAAAACAAAAACACAATTTTGTGCAATATGTTGGTAATTGTCGTGCGACGTGGGGTGCAGTTTTTAAGGATGTTTGTCAAATATTGGTAAATGTCCCATTTTGGGAATATTGGACATCACCTTATAGTAGCCATTATAGACCATATACCTAATGGTTGGGTGATGTTCAATGGGGACATTTAATGACCCATGTTTGTTGCACATTTTGTAATTCCAGAAACCGTCAATGAAAACATCGCCAGGACATGGTCGATTGGTCGTGGTAACAGGTGCCATGTCGGCATTGGTGGGCATTTGGTTGACGAATTGCAGCGGTCACACATCTTCAAACATGGTGGTTTGGATGATTTTGTTGAATATGGATCCGCTTCCACTCATTTTTAATATATTTTTGGTTGCGTTGCAAACATCGGGATGATTTAAACCCAAAAATGTGTCTACAGGCAGGTCTGGACAGCCCCTGTGCGAGTCATGATTTCAATTTTAGACAGATAAAAATGATGGTGTAATTTTGAACAAAAAAAATCAAATCCTCTTCATGTTAACCGTTAACCAGTTGCTGACATCTTCGACGGGATAACTCGCTCAAAACAAAGTTGTTTTCGATGATGCATTTCCAACAGTGAAATGTCACAGCCGTCAGCCTAAAAGGTCGCCTGAAAAAAGGTTGTGAAAGATACATCATGAAATTTGATTACTTTTGGAAACACAAAACATGAAGGCCATTTCATTTTGGTAGATTATTTTCCAGCGGGTGTTTTTTGATGCCGTGTTGTTCTTTTCATTGTGATTTCTTTTTGGTTTCATATTGAGTTTCATCTGCTTGAATGTGGCCCAACCCTCAGGTGTTTCAGATTTTTTTTGGGAATGGGACATCATAGACATTGTCCTTTCGAAGCAATTTCCCAGAATCGACGGAATGGAACCTTTGGAGAAAATCATTCTTTGTTGGCCAGGAATTTAAATTTAGCAAGGTTTCCCTTGAATTTTCCCATGAACCAACCCTCTGAAATTGGAAAACCCTGCTTGAGCGTGCAGTTCTATTGTGGCATGGCAATGGATGGCATAGTTAATAATTAATTTGATATATGGCCAGAATTGTGTTCCGTGCCCCCCCTTAGTGTGTACTATGCCATGTTTAATCCGATCACCTTTTTCAGGCTACGAAACTTTCGTGCCATGTCGCAACAGCTTCCGGCCAAGGATCAGGCGATTTTTAGGGCAGGGTAGATTCAGAGGAAAAACACATGGAGATCAACAACAAATATGGCCAAGCTCATTCTTATCTGAATCTCAAAATGTTAGGTATAGTCTATCTATGTCTATCTAGTAGTAATTTTTATGCTGATTTGTAGCTCTTTGTATGGCACCATGATCGAATGTCCAATGCTATCGATCCGGGGAAGGTATACCTGGAAGATCACCTCAAAAGTTGGGGCGAAAAAGTTTCGACCAAAAAACACTGGGATAGCTATTGAAAATGGCCATTAATAGTTGATTTTCCCATTAATAGCATGGTGGATCTTTCCATAGCTATGTAAACGTTTACCAGAGGGTACAGTAAACTCATGATAACAAGTAGGTTTTGGTGTATCAATAGGAAACCTCACTGAAGTGGCTTGGAACAGGCCGTCTTTCGGTCCATCGTGAAGTTCTACGAGACCAAGCAGTACAAGAAAGGTGCTCTGGCGGCGAGCGCAGTGGGGTCAGATTTTCTTGGTGCGCCAAAGATGGCAATGATATTTTTTGAAAGCTGAGTTTCCTTTTAAAATTTACGAACCTGAGTTTCGAGTTGTGTATTTCCTTTGTGAAAGGATACCAGATAGCCAGCCACTTCTGGTGAATCAGATTTTGGACCAGCTACTTCTGCAGAGGACGTTCCAGCAAAACGGACATTTATCTGGTGCAGGAGTCAAGGCTGCTGATACAATCCTTAAGAAACATCCGGAACATGGAGAGACTTTGTGCATGAAGGCAAGGGAGTGGCTTGGACCACCGGTGGATCTTCTTGATGTGGGCTGGCATCCCTTTTTTTGACATGGCACAGAGCATCCCAACGGTTGACATCATAATTTAATCATAATTTCCGATCAACATGGCCATTCTGGTGGTCTTGTGATGTCTTGTGAACCATTTATCTCATTCAAATGGTATTATGAAAGATGAATTCAGGGATTTCAATTTCGAAAGCTTTTGTCCGGATTTTCCTTATAGTTCCATCCTTTTCACCTCACTTTTTCCATTTTTCATGGGTCTTTCTGCTTTTCGGCTTCCCAAGTCACCCTTCCCTTCCGTGTTGTGCGAGGGCTTGACGGTCAGCTACCTGGACCGCAAGGAGGAAGCGTACGAGCTGGTTCGGAAGGTGGGATGATTGGGATGATTGGGATGATTGGGATGGGGATGGGTTCTCCAGGCCTGGAGGTTTCCTAAGTCATTTGGGTAGCCCATTTCATAATCCATGGATAGGATTTTCCATGGTTCTCATTGGATTGATTTGGGGAAATATTGTCATTTTTATCACGGAAAGCCCCCATGATCAAAAAATGATGGGAAAATACCAATGGTCTCCGGTATTTTCCCAACCAATCCATTGATATAAACCATCCCCCCATATGAAACACCTCCCATGGATGGGCCTGAAGAGGTGAAACACCTCCGTTGTATGGTCCCGAAATAGGTGGAATTTTTCAATGGAAATCCCCCTACGAACCCCCTATGGTTTCTTGGGGGGTGTTGAATATTGGGAAGGGATGAAGAATGGGAGTGGTTGACAATGGTGAATTGTTCGCCTAGTTAATGGTACCCTCATTTTAGGAAAACTCCACATGGGGGAACTTTGACAGTCAGCTATGGGAAAATGGATTAACATGGTCCATTTAGTTCCATTCTTAGAGGATTGAAGTTTGTAAAGTCTTTCTCTTCCTCTCAGAATCGGCATCTGATTGTTTTATGCTCGCACTTTGAGCGCATTCAGCAGAATGGACGTAAGAACAAGCTGCTGGCACCTGTGAAACTTAGCAACCGGTATTTAGCAAAGAAAAAAAGGCAGGTTGCCAGTTCAAATCACCTTTTTCCATACTTTTCCAACCTCTTAGCGGTTTCCAACGTGACCAATCACTTGTCGCCAGGGAGTGAAGTGCGACTTGAAGAGCCACGTCTGTTGGCACGTTGGGGAGCTCTGGTAGCGGTCAGGAGATTTTAGGGGACATGGTTTTTCCCATTGTCTTTCCATGGTTTTTCCCATGGGTTTTCCCAACCATTTACCCCACGGAACTGGAATTTTCCCCCGGTGGAATCAGGTCTTCGGTCTGCTGTATCGACAAGATCGCGACTATCACGAGGCGGTGAAATGCTACCGACAGGCGGGGCGAGTTGAGGAGAGGGATGAGCTGCTCCGGCGCTCGGATGCGCTTGGATGAGACGAAGGGTTAGTTGGTAATGTTAGTAGCTGGTGGTAAAGGCAATGCCATAGTCATCCCCAAAATCAAGGTAAATATCAATAAATGGATGGAAAAACAAAACCATCCCCAAAAGGTTGGTTTAGGGTTTACCGTTTAGCACATTAAGAGGTTGAAGCAGCTCAGTTCCGAGCATGAACAACAGAAACTATCAGAAATGTCAGTAACTGATGGGTAGTAATGTTTGGAAAGAATGAATGGTTGGCAACTGACTCATTTACTGACATCACTATTCATTACACTCCGGCAAACATGGCAATGTAAAGTCCCCTATTTACGTTTTTCCTAGCTATAAACCTCCATTTGCAGGGTATCTTCAGTTGCCATCTTCTATGGAGGGTCCGGATGTCTCGTGAACTCGTACACTTACTGCTGAAAGGACAGCTTTTTTCTTGGCCAATCAGTAACTAGGGGTAGCAAGTTATACACAAGTTACCATATTTTGGTGACCTAGGCCACTGATTTAGTCATTTGAAGTAGATCTATTCATCCCATTTTCATCCATTGTCTAGAAGTGCCAAATCTTAAGGCCATCGTTTTATGCAAAAAAGACCCAGTTACCCCAGATCTGTTCGCCACGCGGCCAGCAATGCCACCGTGCCGTGCCAGGCCTTGCGTTTCGATCCTGAAAACATTCAGATCCTCCGCGACCTGTCGCTGCTGCAGATTCATCGTTCCTGGGTGAAGGGATGGGTTCCAGGTCGTGGGAACCGATGGGAGGAAAAGTCCCACTGAAGAATAGTGGTAAATGGTGATTCATGATGATTCATGATGATTCATGATGATTCATGATGATTCATGATACTTTTCTATCTTTTTAGGGGCAAACAACGATTTTTGGAGGGTTCAAGATTGTATGTTTCAAGAACACCTTTCCATTCCTGAACGGGACGATTTTTGGCCGCAACCCATGCGTGTTTATTTGTAGGACGCGTTGTGACCGCTCTGGTGGGAATGATGACAATTACAATGAGGAAACACTGCGATTTTGTCCCATCAAGTCCCATTTGAGAATTTTGTTTGGTAACAAGGAAAATAATGATATACATATATATATATATGTATATATTATAGATTACATAGGTTATAATTCCTATTACAACCTACAAAAAATGCTTTCACCATTGTATGCCCATCCCATCCCAGCCATCACCCCCATCCTCAGGTCGCGATGTCACAGGCTTCGCTGAGACCAGGAGAAAACTCTTGCAGGTGTGGGTGAGATCCATTGTAGGGTCTGTCTAAAGGGTTAACCAACATGTTCTGCAGGGAAATGAAATGGTTAGTAAAGCAATAATCAAAACACCCATATGAATTGATGGTTGAGAAGCCAGCCAAAAGTAAAAACAATGGGGATGGTGGATCCTATTGCTTTACTAGCATTGGGTTTGGGTTTTTCCAGACTTTAGATGCTGAGATCGTGTGGTTAGGTGAAGCCGAACAATCGGCTGAACTGGGCCTGCGCCTTAAGGGGTGGGGAGGCGTTGATGCGAAGATTTTGGTGATGTGTAGGGTAGTTTTTCCTGCGAAGATTTTGGTGATTTCAACCTAGAAAAAATGGGAAATTTCACCACAAAATGCGAAGTCAAAATGCAAAACTTGGCTTACAATCAGGCTGTGATCAGCAGGTTTTACCAACCAGTATGGTGATACAACTGTCCAACCCATGGCCGAAAAAGCCCAAGGTAGATGCTTCAAATCAAACGTCCAACCCGTTCCAGATCCATACCTGTCCACAATTCCGCACCTTTTTCCCTTCGGAAATCGTCCAGGTGGGCTATGCAATCGCAGAGCACCTGTGTAAGAGCTATGAATTTGCGTGGACCTGCATCGACAACTACGAGAATTCTTTTAAGGACGCGAAGATGTGATGGTGAGATGTGATCGGGATTCAGGCCCGTCACCCCCCAAAAAAACATGATAGCTCATATGATGATAGAAGAAACTCCCAAAAAAGGTGGTTCTAGTTTTTTTTAAAGCTCCACCGTGAACCATTGTTGGGGACAGGATCGATCAAATATTGTGGTTTCAGACGCCAGTTGGTTGCGACCTACAAATTTCAGGCCTGTTGCTATTGTCCACATTGTTTGGGCTGGGTTTACTCCCATTTTTTCCCATGTTTGTGGCTTCAGTTCCCATTCCTTTTGGTCCCGAGTTTTAGTGGCTTAAATCCGATGTAGACATGTTTTTCCTGCTTTAATTGCAGAAACCGACCTATTTCAAACAGTTCCCCCGTTTGGTTTCTGACCGTGGCTCATACCCAGGAGCAAGACCAAGTCTCGAACTATGAGAATTCGGAGCTCCACTTGTACAAGGTCAAGTCATGTAGCCGTTGGGATGAAAGCGGTTGGGAGCTGTTGGGATGGCCATGAGCCACAAACATGGCATCCAAAATAGCTGAGGATTTCTATTGGGTTCCTGGAAGATCCGATCATCCCTGAAATTCTTCACCCTCAAACCACCGGGGAAACCCCGGCACGTGGCCGGGGACATGCATGGCCGGAGCATTTTTTTTGGGGGAGTCAGAGGTGCCGCCGACCGGGGCTGGAAAATCTATGCACATAATCGGTTGATGAATCGACTTGAAAAGTTCAAAACTGACCTGAACAACACTCAAAACACTGCGGTATCTCGACTCAAAATTTTCATGAATGTGCCAAAAACCATCAAAAACCCATGTCGCCTTGGTGAATTTTTCCAGGAGCCCTCCCCGGCTTGAACCGTTTCCAGTACTATATTTCTGACATCCACAGCTAGGCCTCCATCATGGAAGAGGCCGGCAAGTTCGAGGACCGCAGAGATGTGAGGGTTTTCTTGGGCGATCTGATGGGTGATGTGGGGCTGGCTTTAGGTCCAAAACTAGACCTGAAACGAGATGATTCCCTACTCAACCTGCTTCCTGATCCTGATCGAAAAACTGCGCCGAAGGTGAGTTGGGTCAATGATGTATACTCTGCCAAATTTGGATGGGTTTTAAGGTCCTAAACATGTGGGAAAGTCTGAAAATATCCCCAATTCCAATGGATCACCTATTATTTGATGGCCTTTGGGGGGGATCTGCAACTCTAAAACCGACCAGCTTTATGTGGATCGAGTGGCAGCAGGAAGCTTTAGCCTGCCTGAAGCAGAACGAGTCGCAAATCGTCGACAAGTCCCCTGGCCTTTCATGAGACCATGGGTAAAACGGAACGAAAGAACCACACAAGAAGGACCCAAGCAAGAGATATATCATGATATATTGACCACAAATCCTAGCTTCTTGGGCCTAGTCATGAACCAACTTACCAATCAATAGATCCCCTTTCTGCATTGAATTTATGGCTGTGAAATCCCCAAGGGCCAAAAAAAAACATCCACAGGTCATGGAATTTTCCACCTTTTTGGGGAATTTGAAAACAAGACATATTTGTAATTGGAATTGGTTATCCTCATGAAATATACCCAGCAATGCTTCGTTGAATCCCCATCTGAGGATTTCCCAGGAAACACTCATGACATGTTCCATTGTTGTTGGTATACCCGGGATATCCCATTTAAAAACGCGCTCGGTCAATATATGATGAATTCCCATAAGATATTCCGTAAGCTAAGTATCCTTATCTTTGTAACCAGGGCTTCCACTCCTATAGATCATATTGTTACAATGAAATAACCATTAGATAGTCCCCATTTACTGCAAAAAATAGATGACTTTCCCATGTCCAAATTAAATAAATCTTAGATCTTTTCAGAAGCCAAAAATATGCTGGGTGATATATTCCCAAGAAATCTCCCCATTTTTCAGTTTTGCCTCGGCCCCAAGGCTCAGCCTTTGGGAGGCCAAGGGCCGTATTTCGATGTTCCTGGGACGACATGAGGAAGCCCAGGAGCAGTTCAAGAAGCCGCGACCTCGGATGACTGGGATGGGGATGATGGGGATGGCCTTGTGGGGAAAAATGGGGAGAAATGAGGAGATAAAATGGGGAGATATGATTTTCAGAGAAAGCCGGATAGGATGTATAGGATGGGATGGGGTTCCAGTGCCAGGCTTCCCCCCTGCTTGTTTTTCTCCCCAAACTTCTGGTGAAAGAGAGCTCGATTTTTGTTCCGAAGTTTCGAGCCGTTTCCAAAGATGACCAAAGTGCCAGGGCGGTGAAACCAGGCCCTTGGTGTCCTTGGTGCCAGGTTGGTGAAGATCAACCCAGAACATCAGGTCTACGCCCTTGCATACATGGTAGGGCTCACCCAGAGCCGCTTTTCGGCTTCCTGTGGCAGTTTCCGGTAGTTCTACTGGCTAAGGATCTTGGAAAACACAGACTTCAGCAAGAGATGTAGATTCTATAGGGGCCTGGACTTCCGAGTGGGAAATGGCTACCAGGTCGAGTTGGGAAAGATCAGTTTTTCACCCCTCAAAACCCTCAGATGGACAACCCTGATTGGCTTCGCAACTTCCGTTGATTCTGTAAGGCCTCGCAGTCCGAGTTTGCGAGTTTCTGGCCTCCTTTGCCAGCGCCGCAGAATGGCGAGGATCATGTGGGCCCAAAGCCGTTTGCTCCAGCCCAACATCACCATTTTCATGGGTGGGATTGAAACCATCCCTAAAGGTAGGTTTAGGGGTTAGGGTTTCCCACATTACTTGATGTAAAAAATGGATCAAATTGGACGAAAATGATATATCCAACATCTGTGGCCTCCCGCGTCTGAATTTTGCATCGCTCGCACAGCTGTAGAAAAAGTTGAAGCTGTAGGAAAATCAGGTCCAATTGTTTGTGTTTCGGCTGTGTAATGACCTAAGGGGGACATCAACCAACAATCCCTTTCTATCTATAGTAGTCATACGTGGAAATCCCAATTCATGATTCCCAACCATCATAGAAATTCTTAGAACCAATATGAACCAACCTATTTTGTTTTGAAACTATATAGTTAAGTTAAATCATGTTAAATCCATTTCTATCTACTTGCGGGTCTTCTCAATGCAGTGTTTTGAGCGCAGCGCCATCACTGTTTCCCTCGTTTTGGTGCAAGGCAATAAACACTTGAACACCTTTCCTGATCCCAAGTGCGGCCCAAAGACAAAAACATCGATGTTTGCATTCCACTTAGATCGTCACGAGTCAAACTACCCAAGGCTTTGTAGTGCACATTTCGCGGCAACACCAAGCGATTCAGTATGATTTGGCGATCTTGTTACATCTTTTCATGCATCACCCCGCCATCTCATCTATCTATCTTCCCAGGAGAACCCTGCGGCTGTTCCCAAGTCGGTGCTCTCCTTTCCCAACACCCTGCATCCGCAAGGCGAAATTGGACGAGAAGTCGAGAAATGCTGTTTTGTTTCACGAGCCTTCCAGATTTTGCTAGTAAGATTCAGCAAGATCCAACATTTTCCTGGTTATATGATGTTATATGCATATATGCCACATTCATCCCACATTTTTCCTGGTGAGATCACCTTTTCTGCCTCCAGTCTCTCGGAGGTATGCCCGTCTTCGGCTGGCTGCCTCCCCGGCACGCCCTGAAGCCGCAGCGGCGGCTGGTCATCGGCCGGAAGCAGTCGGGGCTCCTGGTGACATCTCCAAAATTTTGGGATCCAGCAAAATTGGGAGACATTCCAATGTGGGGATGGGTCATTTTTGTTTGTGTCTTGGGCATGGCTTCAGATTTTTTTGAGCACACCCAGTTTCTGGGTGTTTTTTTGGTAACAAAAGCTGTGGGAAGTTCCTTCTGGGAGCTTTTGAATTGTGTAATGATTCCATTCTTGTAGAGATTTTGAACACCCCTTGAAAACCGGGCCCTCCACAAGCCTTGCCTTTTTTGGGAGCAGCTGAGTCCTGGAATCCGCCCAAAACTTGGATGAATTCCATGAAAGTGGGTGTAGTAAATCATGGTTCCACTGTGCTATAGCCCCCTTCTTGGGTTGTAACAACTGATAGTTTTCCCAGTTGCCCACTGGGATGATTTGGGTCATCTGGAGTCGAGGCACAAGCGACGGATTGACACCCTCGAGACAGAGGTTGGGGGCGAGTTGACGTGTGAAGAAAAAAGCTGGGCAATTGGAGTTTTTGCATGGGTTTTTGCGGCACTAATTTTCCCATATATATATATATAATTTATCAAAGAAATTCCCAGAGTTTATGTGTAAATTTGCAGGTTTTACCCGCTGGGAAAAGCCATGGTCCGAAGGTGCCCCTGAACGACGAGCAGCAGGAAGCTGTTTGGGGCACCCAGAGGCGGAAGCGTTTAGAGGTCGAATCATCAGGATCACCATGCTTCCATGGTAATGGTTTAGCTTGCTACTGTGGATGGGCCAGCGAAATCCTGCAGTTTGGGTTTCAAGTTTCAACCAGCCTTTTAAGGTGATTTCGCTGGCCCATCCACAGTATACTTTTAAGGAGAAATGAAGCACATGGGGACTCATGACAATTGGAAAGACTATTGGGAACTAATATTAGGACTAATGAGGACTAATAATCAATGTTGTTAATAATCAATGATTGGGAATAATCAATGATTGGTAATCAATGTCAATCAATATTAGTCCCACGAAAAACTCATATTGATTAACATTGATGATTCCCACTTGTTTATTCACTACTGAGTTCATTGGGACTACGACAAAAAATTGGCTCTTTGTTGGCGAAGTGTTTCCCTCAGGTTGTGAAACTCTTCGAGGAGCTTCGGGAAGAGTTCCCCAAGTCCGACTCGTTGAAGAGGTGACTTCGTGGGGCCGGGGTGAACTGTTCAGCGGTCCAACATGGTGCTAAAAAAGCAGGCAATTTCAATGGGGATTTCTGAAGTTATGGAACTATATAAAAGTGGGCTTTGATGCGGTCTTAACACGAAAAACATTTTTTTTTTTCAGCCACACCTTTTGAGGAAGTTTGCATTGCAAGAGCTCCAGTTTTTTTTTAAACGTGTTGTACGACCAAGAACAGCACCGAACTCACCATTCACCATATATATATATATATATCAATATATATATATATATATAGATAGCCCGTGTGGCGACCGGTATCGTGTCGGCACCGCCGTCGGGAGGCTTCCGCTGTTTTTCATCACTGGGCAGCTCTTCAAGGCCAAGTTGGACGAGTACCTCCGGAACCGGCTCCGCAAAGGCGACGACTCCGGACAGGTTCCCATGGTGGCAACCCCAGATTTTTCGGGAAAATATGGGTTTTAAATGGGTTTTTTACCTCATTTTTGACCATCCACATGTTCGTTCTATTGATGTTGGGAAGATTGGGTTCATAGCAGCAACCTCACCTAAAATAGGTGTAACTTGTGGCTTTTGGAGTGCTGGACGACAGGCGTGCCGTCGTTGTTTCGGACCATCCGCTCGTACTACTTCTCGTCCGGGGCCATGGGGCCCCTGCCATGCTGGTCGTTGCCGCGTTGATGACAGGTCTCCAAAGTGTCTGAAAAGTATTCTTTCCCTTTTTTAAAAAATCTTAGGGCAAAATAGCCCTGAGTACTTGTTTTTTTGGCAGCAGTCCTAATATGTTTTGAATGTTTTGGTTTTGCAAGTGCTTCTACTGATCCGAACTGGCATGTCCCCTTTTCCTGCGGTTGCCCTTGATTGGACTTGGCAAAACTGCCTATGGCTATTGATGTGGAAACATCAGGAATCAGGAACCCAAAAAATCATCCATACCCAATTTGAGCGTTCCATATTTTTACATCAGCCCGTTGTTTTATACTATGTTACCTCATTTACCTGTAGGACTTTACCAACAGCAGGGTTTACCCCTTTACCCAGTTGTAGGGATGCAGGATATCCCAGCAAAAACAGCAGCTTGCTGAGGCCCGAAAAACCCGAGTTGCCGTGCCGGCATGTTGGGAGTGCTCCAATGTATTGTATCTCTGGGCTTTCAGCCAGAAATGAATGGTGATTTTACCACCTGAAGTGACTGAAGTGTTGGAATTCACCTGCAGAAGATATCAAAAGATTGAGATTTTAAGTGAAATAAATCAAGGGTTTTGCCTCATATGAAGCTTCTCTAAGTTCCAGACACTCTTGAGATCTGAAATGCATTGCCCATCATTGGGTGACGTGCACGTGACCATTTCAGGAGTTTTCGCTTTTTGTGTCCTGCGGGAAGTCACTGGAAGTCACCAATGGCCTAATTTCTGTACAACAATAATAAGCATCCCTATTTTTGACCCAGCTAAGTGGCTAGGATATCGAATATTACCCCAGCGAAGTGGTTGAAAATCGCCAGGGTCCAGGAGCTGCTCCTGCAGTACGTGAAATGTCTGAAGGAGGAGCCCCGAAGATGCTGTGAAACGTGGCGACCAATGGGCCAAAAGCTCCGAAGAAACCTGGCGTCTTGGAGTTTTTTCTCCAACTTTTCATGGGAAGGGTTGTTATTTAGAAATGGTCCCAGTTGATAACCTTGGTTTGGGAGCTCTTCAAATGATGTGGACTGAGACAACCTTCCCAGTTGCTGGTGAAGTGGTGTACACCAGCTTGGAGACTAGCGAATGGGTTGATACTAATACCAGATCAATCCTTAGAACTGTTTCAACCAATGCTTTTTGGTTGGACCATTGCCGTAGCACTGCCACAACATATCAACAATATGAAAATATGCCACATCCAAATCAATATTGATACCAACATCCATACCCATCACTCCATGTCATACCATCTCATGGCATACATTACCATCTCTATAGCCAGAGAAATTCCCACAGGACATTTCTTGGTTTGGACCTCCTGTTGGAGGGACTGCAGAGCCTCCTAAGGCCCTAGTGGAGTTTTGGGTGCTTTTTGATGCTTATTTGATGGGGTATGAAGCATACATATTTCTAAAAGCTCGCGGGACCAAAAGCCAGGATCTAGTTCATATAATCCTCAAATGATACTTTGTTGAACTTCATGCCAACCACCTGCAATCCGTAGAAGTCGAAGACGTCAAACCCAAAGAGCCACGGAAAACCAACATGCGAAGATGTCAAACCCCAAGAACAAGTCATTGGACCCAAAAAACATCGAATATCCAATTGGACCCCCCAAGTTCAACATAGTTCAACCCGTCTCCTTTGATGTGCCCTGCAGATGTGCGATGAAGAGCCGCCCACCGCCCTGCTGTTCACCTTGATGGTCTGAGCTGCTCAGATCCGGGGCAGGTTTTCTTTCCCAGATCATTGGATATTGACCTACATTGGACCTACATTATACCCCAAGAATCAATCGTTTCCACGTAAATCGCAGTACAATGGGGTATGTACTCCTTTTTTGGAAGCCAAGGCGCACGTCTACGATTATTTGCGTCGTTTTTTCCTTCTCCTTCTCCTTCCTTTTTCCTTCTTCTTCTGCTTCTTCTGTTCTTCTGCTTCTGCTTCTTCTTCTTCTTCTTCTCCTCACTCCTTCGTTCCCAACATGCACACCATTCACAGCATGAGCATCTCTTTAGATAGGTAACAAGGACCAGTTGCCCTATGGGTGTGGCGTTGCCTCTCGATGTCAGCTAACATTCAAGCAAATTTTGCAGGTTCGTCTCCTCCCTGGTCCGCCTCTCGTTCTTTCGTTCTTTCTTTCTTTCTATGCTTCTTTATTTCTTTGTTTGTCTCTGTTTGTTTCATTTTGTTTCTACATTCATGGGGCGGGCAGAATCTTCATCCCCCTTCATTTGCGCTGCGAGACTCTGGCGGAGCACTTCGACTTTATGGGCGAGACCCACAAGGCGAATGGGCCGCCCCCCTGAGAAATCATCAGCTGGGGTTTTATCGCCATAGATTGGGGGTATACGCCATTTTCAGATACCCTCTGGTAATTTAGCATAGCTATTGAAAATGACCATTTATAGTGGATTTTCCCATGAAAAATGGTGATTTTCCATAGTTATGTTAGTTTACCAGAGGGTACATATTCTAACATTATCAAACTAAAGAGCGTCCACCCGAAGTTCTGCTTCGGCGGGATGTGAACCAAGTTGCCTACCATAAATCGACTATACAGATCCACTGTTTTCGTTGGTTACATCTGCCACTTCCAGCATCCATCGCCAAGAGATGGGTTGTCTATTGGTGCTGATCCCATGGTTTCCTTTTTTGTGCATAGAAACGTTGATGTTATCAATGACCAATATCATCATTTATCCATAACAATGACATATATATATATAATACTGTATATTATATATACAATGTATATATATATATATATAATATAATATATATATATACAATGTATATATATATATATAATATATATATATAATATATATAATATATAATATATATATATATATTATATATATATAATATATATATAATATATACACATGTACATATCAATCATATCACACATACACCGTTTAAGAACCATCTAAACTCCCCAAGGGAGTAGCCCGAGGCCTTGGAGCACGTGGACGAGGCCATCGCTCACACGCCCACCTTGGTGGAGCTCTACGCCTGCAAGGCGCGGATCTTCAAACACGTCCGGGGCGCCCAGGGACGAAGAACTTAGGGCCTGGGGATGGCATTGGGGAGAGATTTTGTTGGGAAAACCCATGGGAAAACCGAATTTGGATGGTTTTTTTTGGGATGATTTTCTGGAAATGATGAATCTGGTAATGTTTTAAGCCATGAAGCGATTTATAAATGGAGGTTTTTCAGATCATGGGTTTTGATCTTCCCAGGGATGGTTGGGATGGATGCTTTCTGAGTGTTTTTCCGCAAAATTGTCTGGTGGAGCGTTTGGATGGTGGGAGGGAATCGCGCGTAAATGAGACGATTTCACCATGTTCATGGGAATTGTCATGAATATACACGAAACAGTGGGATAAATGGATGGTTTCGAATGGACGGGGATGGAAGACGATGTTTGCTTAGGCTTAGAGAATTGAGCCAACTTTGGTGTTAGAACTTGTTGGAACGGCAGAGCTGTGATGTTCTGGTCGATTACAGGGGTTATCAAATCCTGGGAAGGAAAGGTCCAGAGCCCCCAGCATTTCAAGCGGTTGGCCAAACTCACACTGAGGCTGGCGATCTTGAGAAATCTGCCAAGTGCTATGAGGAGGTGACTGTCCGTCGATCCCTCTGGGACTGTCCTTGGCCTCTGAGAGTAGGGACACTCACTGTTTTTTGGGTCTTCAACTACTTTAGGGAATGTCCATATCACTGGGTTGCAACCAAGGTTATTTTCACCACTGATTTGGGAGTTCCAGTTGAGAAGTGGGTAGCCAGCCAGTTGCAGAGGTTAGATTCGAACTTATAGCAACCACCGGAAAAAACATATGGAACACTGATTGATCAGAATTTTAGTAGGTTTTTTTCTGTTCTACCCTTTTGGGGGTTTGCTCAACACCTCGTGATTTGATCCATGGTGATTTTTTGGGTCTCGCCAGGTGAGAGAAATGGACTTGGCGGATAGATACCTCAACACGCAGTGTGTGAGGCGGTCGCCTGGGGATGCAGTGACATTGATGCCATGGACGATGAGTTTTAACCAAACATGTTGGATGGTAAGCACAATTCTAATCTGACTGTGGTAAACCGAATGCCATACACTTACCTCTCATTCTGTGGATGACTACAAGCCCAGCGATTTATTTGGTTTGTCCTTGGGGATGGAGATGGCTGAGGGCGATGCTGAGAGTGGATGATACGCAAGGTGGCATGGAGAAGGCCTGGGTGGATGTCAGGTCCGAAAAATGGGGGACCCCAGCAATTTTTTTTGGAACATGATACAACATGATCAATAAAAAACAGTGTTTTTTTTTGTGTGTACCCCATTTTCAGTCACATTATAGAAGGTTTCTCAAACTTTTTTTTCAAAAACTATACCATACTGTAAAGGCTCCCAACAAAAGGACAGCATTGTTTGATATGTCTTGGTGTTTTGCAGCATGGTTTCCCATGCATGTCTTGGGGTTGGGGATTCTGCAGTGGAGCTGGTGACCGTATCAGCATTGAATCCAAGATTGAATCGTGTACTTATCAATCTGCAAGAATAATCAATACATCCACTTTGATGATGTACTCATAAATCTGCAGGAACATCAAAAAAAAATATAGACTTCCAACATCTTCCAACAGCCTCCAACCAGCAACATCCACTAAGATTGGTTTCTCAAACAGCCTTCCAACCTGCAGGCCTTGCTCTTTAGCAAGGAGCCAGACTCGCATGAGGCCGGGGATCCATGGCCCATGGGTCGACAGATTTTTTCCCCATATTTTCCCCCAACCCAGGCGGCTAACCTTCACGACATGCAGTGCATGTGGTACGAATCTGCCGTGGCTCGGTGAGAAAAAATTGATCCCTGGTGATGAAAATGGCAGGAGAAAGAACTGACTTTGACCCATGGGTTTTTGTTTCAATAGTCAAATAGACCTTGAAACAATGAGTTTTGATATGTTTTGATAGAATAAAACCCTGAAAGATGTTTGAATTATACTGGTAGAATGAAGCTTGTAAAGCAAATTGGGGTTTATCGGAGCTTATCGTTTGGAGTTGATACGTAACGCATCTAATCTCTAGAATGATTTATAGATCTTATATAAAGGTGTAAGCAGCAAGTTTTTGAATCCAAATTTCCATCTACGTCCTCCTGTTTTCATGGAACTGGAATTTGGGCCAAAAAAATATACTTCATCTACTTCCACCAAAGAACCAGCTATTCTGAAGAATGCATGGAACCTTCAAGGCCAAAAGGATCCCGTGGGAACCGAGGTGGGGCGGAGCTACTACAGGCAGAAGAAGTATGGCAAAGCCTTGAAACAGCCTGGGACCCTAAGAGGTCTGCGATACTGGAGATGAACTTACCAAGGGATCCTTGAAGGATAGCATGTCTAGAATTATGGGGAGTAGGCCAAAGTGAGTTGGGTACCACCAATCTCTTCAACTTTGGATCCTTGGATTTCAACCAGGCAGCTACTTGGGGAGTCTTTGGCTCAATGACTCAATGTGTATCCCATCTTAAACCAGCTTGGTCCTTTTCATGAGGAATCATCTCCAGAACCACTTTTTCTCACTGTTGAATCAAGACATATCGTTTTGGGCGAGCGACTTGCGTGAACTCCCAAGCTCCAAGCTTTCAGGGGTCAAGAGGCAATATGAACCCCGATCTGAAACCATCCAATTCTTGGTACATCAACGGTTCAGATTTTCTTCATTAAAGGTTCTACATCATTGGTTCAGATTTTCTCCATTAAAGGTGTATATACCCCAGTTTTTTGAGATCACCGGCAATTTTTTCTGGGTGTCCCCCCTTTTTTTCCTCCACCCCTCGCGCTTGCGCCGCGCCTCCGGATGGCATGGCCTCCAAAGCCGCCGATGTCGACGCGCCGGGGCCGCTGATCGATCTGGGCATGGCGCCGGCCAACGGCAACGGCGCGATTTATCCCAAGTTCTCCAAGAGAAGTTGGAAGGAGATGGGTATGAATCAAAACCTTGGTACCCTTCTGTTCACCCCAAATAACTGGATGGATGTTCATCCCCCCAAATAGAGCAAGATTGGTTTTGATACATCCCCAGATGGTTTCTTTTTTCTGTTGGATGGTTTTGGGGGAAATGGATCAGGATGATTTTGAAAGCGGTTGAAACAGATGTGAGGGGCTGGAAATTTGGGTTTCATCAAGTCGTTTTGATCGATATTGATGGGCTTGCGATTTGGGTGAAATGGACCTGGCCAACATCTATGGCTTTGATCATTTCCAGCCAGGAAGATCTCAAAATCCTAGGGCCCAAAAGGGGTGGAGGGTCCAGAAACGCCAGGAATGGGTGAAGTTTCTCCATTATGGCCTTGGCATTTTGGTGACTATAGGTGCCTACAGCTCCTGAGCTGCGGTAAATATCACTGGTGGTTTGGGAAGGGGGGAAGGGGATATCACCCCCGAAGATGTTGTTATGTGAGCTATGGTCAAAACTCATGGTTAATAACCATTAATAGGGGCTAGTCATCCAATGATTCATAGGGATTTATAACCATTATAAGGATCCTTATTATGGATGGGATGACCATCAACCATATAGTGAGTATTGACCATGGCTCATGTAATTATTGAGCACTTTTGGTTGAAGCGAATAGTAAATAGGATTATTTCAGGTTTGTGAGCCACGATAAATTACCGGACAGATGGTGGCTTGATTGGGAATCAATATATAAATGTTGGAATATCACCCACGTATTCGGATCTATATAGGGTTTTTTGTTTAACAATGGGGATTGCATGACCGCAAAAGTGGATTTTCACTTAATTGCACTTGCAAGAAAAGGATTCTCCGGCTTTCGCTGGACTCAGCAACTATGGAGGTGATTAAAATCCATCTTGTTCAATAGGAACATCATTGACAAGTGGGGATCAGGACCATAGATGTCCTTTTCCCATTGGTTAGTTGATTAATAGAGGGCTTTGTTTTTTCCCCTTTAACAACAGGTTTCTGTGATGATAGATGGTATACCAGCTCCCGGCCCCTCTATTTTTACCAAAAGGAGCATGGCTCAGGCTTTCTACAAGAACGCATCGTGTCCAAGAGATACGAGGGGGAAATCTTCAAAGCCACCATGTTCTTGGTCTTGTGCAATCGATTGGTCTCCATTGCTTCTCGACTCTTGCGAAAGCCTGCGACTGGTGGTTGTACAATGGGGGTAGGAATCTTCTCATGTCTGGATCGATTTGATCACGCCGATGATGTCTTGAAAAATCCCAAACCTCAACCGTTTTCCAGAAAAGTCTGCAGAACATTTTTGAATTTTCAATTTCCCACCTGCCAGTTCTTGCTGCAAGTCCTCTCCCAACTCTCATGTCCTTATGAGGCCACCCTGCCAGAACTGTCGAGCCAGGTTTATGCGCTGATCATGATCATGGTGACGGGTGAGAGTTGGAGAATGCAGGCGATCGTCTGGAAATATCTGGTGGTGTCCTTCTCCAACATGTGCCGTGGCAGTTGAAGGGGCAAACCGAACAAAGGAGGGGGAGAAGCAGGGTCCAGGTGGAAGGTTGGGTGGGGGATGATAGAAATTTCGCATTTTTTCTGTGTTTTGCCAAAAAATGGGAACAGAAGGAGCTAAAATGGTGAAAGTGGCTGACGCTCGAAGAAGCAAGTTGAAACCAACACCTGGAAGGTTTTTGGATGGCAACATGACTCATTGGATATGTTTCAGCATCCCTGCCTGCACCGTGACACCAAGGTTGTCAACCTGGTGTCAATATGAATCGCTGCGCCCCTCGATAGCATTCCGCGTGGGCTGATGAGAAAAATCAGGAACCAATGCCCCATAGGAGTTTTCCATGCTTTCGGGAATTTGGACAGGTAGGAACATTCACCAGGTACTGAGCATGATGGGCCATGGCCCATGGCATTACTTAGGCTATGTGTCGCTGATCTTGCAGACCATGGCGAAGACCTTCAAGATGCTGCCAGTGATGTTGGTTGGCATGGTCATCAGCAGAAAGAGACACTCCCTACGAGAAGTTTGTGTGGCCACTGGGCATTTTGAAGTTCACGGCTTTCAATGTTTTGGAGGCTTTTGTTTGAAGTGAAGAATTTTTCATCTTGGCCTGCGGATAGCTAAATAGCCTAAATAGCTCAACTCTTACTTTTGATAGGACTAAACTGCTGGGGTAGGGAATTGCGATCTTGAATATCTCGATCTTCGCTCCTTGGGTCCCTTTCTTTCTTGTAGCCACAAACTTCTGCGGCCCTGGCCCTACGGGTTCCAACCTTCGCGGCGTGGCCAGGTGACTCTGCTGACGTTGGGCCTGTCGCTCTTCGTGGCCGGTGGCAATGTGAGTTCCGAAAATGCCGAAGGCTCCAGCTTCTATGGCGTCTTGGCCCCGGGAGTTGTCAAGATTTCAGATCTGGGGATATCTGGGGAACCAAATATCTATGGTCATTTTTTCCAGATCTGGGGAGCCTTTCGAACCACAATAGCTTGGAGAACTTTGAGTTCTAGTGGCCAACATTGTAGTCATCAGCATCCGCAAAACCCTACGATTTTTCTGACTGCAGAGCCATCTTGTTGGCCTGGCAGTTTCTGACGAAAGGTATCTGTTTGCTGATGGCCTTCCTGGTTTTCGATAGCTTCACCTCCAACTTCCAAGAGAAGTTGTTCAAAGAAGTTGCTGGGTTTGATCGGTTGGGTGGGGACGGTGGGGATTGGTTTCAAGGGCCAAAAAGCCATGGGGGATGAGACATTTTCGCCAAAACTGGGGGGTTCAATGGTGGATTAGGGCTATGACTCCTGAGACTATAGTCCAAACATTGGGGTTCAAACTTTTGTTCAGACAGTTTGAAGGGTGGGGGTTTGATGGTCACGAACTATGGGGGGAAGGAATGGGAAGATGGCAGATGGAGATTTTGTGAACATCCCCAGGGGATGGCCATCCGAGGATAACATGTCCAAGTACAACCAGATGCTCTATATGAACTTGAGCTCTGCGTTAGTCTCCACGCCGCTTGATCTTGATGGTGGACTCTGTGGACTCTGAAAGTCGATGCAATCACCTCCAAACCTCTCTTGAGAAGGGAATGGTCAAGGAATGTTGATTGAGGCATTTGGATCTGGACAGTTATGTGGGCAACTGGTGTTAGATGGGTCTTGCTGCTTCAGACATTCCGAAATTCCTGTCTTGGACCATTTTCATCCATGTTAACCTCCATTTTCATCAAAATGGTGCAGATTTTTCATTTCCAAGAATCTAAGAATGCAGGGATCACGGATAAAAGGATCACCTTTCTTGGCAATTCTTGGCATGATTGGCATCCATTTTTCCAAGCCTCCAACCAGGTGCCTTTTGGTCTTCGGCGGCATGCTGCCCTACAGCTTGGCCTTCCTGGACCATCCCGGCTTCGCCAGCCATGTGCTGATGTCGCTCCGGCAGCGTAATCTGTTGGACCATCTTTGATGGAGGGTTGGAACCAACTTTTTTGGAGGGTTGGACTCTTTGATGCTTAGACCATTTTTTTTTGGAGGGTTAGAACCAACTGTTTCCAACTTGACTGTTGGACCATCTTCGAACCCATCCTTTCCCCCCTTTTTTGGGGTCAAATCCGTGGTATCTCCACCCCAGTGCCCCAGGTTGTCGCTCAGCGCCGCAGCTGGGCAGTACTACATCTTCTCCATGGTGCAGAGCTTCGGGGCGCTGGCGCTGGCGGCGGCCATGAATGCGCGGCAGGTGAGCACCATCTTCCTGTCCTATCTGAGACTTGGAAAACATGGGGGGAGTTGTGGGATAGATGATGCTAGTATATGGATGTATATGGTTCTAAGAGTTTTTGGCAACATGAAATGAAGTGTAGGTAATTACTAATTACGTCTAAATTGTGAGGTTTAGGTGTCGAATACGGTTTAATTCCAAGTTTCATGTGCAAACAATGCAATGAATAGCAATGACTTTGCCCAGGGCCAAATGATTCATTCAGAGGTCATGCCTGGAAGCCTGTTTTCGAGATACTAGCCAGCGTCAACCTGCAGCTGTAGCTCTCACTTAATGACGCTCTAGGTAGGTGCACGTAGATACCACCTGTTACAAGGATAGGCCCCTGCCAGCTACTGCCGTGTACCAACAGGGATTTCAATTCGTACTGTATCCTTAAAGCAGGACTGATCCAGCAATTCTGAAACCTACCCTCTGGTAAATTAACATAGCTATTGAATTTTACCATTTATAGTGGATTTACCCATTGAACATGGTGATTTTCCATAGTTATGTTAGTTTACCAGAGGGTACTTTCTGCTAGCCGGGGTGCAAACCTAAACCTCCAACTCCAAGCCGTTTCCACGGGGTGCCAAGCTGACGAGGACGCAGACGCAGCCGCTGACGTGGATCCAAAGAATGGGGCTCTTCATCCTGTGCTTTTCGCTGATGATGAAGGCGTCCTGTAGCTTGGCCCAGGTCCGGCTTTGGCAGAGTTTCCCAGCATTCACGTTGGCTGGTCAGTTCCGTGTTTCCTAAGTCCAACCTACTTGGGATGTCATCTGAAAATACCCCGAGTTATCAGATATTTCTACCCCACCTTCAGCTGGATTTGTTCCATTCCCCGCAGTGCTCCTTGACCGAAGCCCATTGAGGCAGCTTCATCTTGGAGCCCGACGTCAAGCAGCTCAGCGGCCAGGACCCGCCCAAGGAGGTGGAGCTGGAAGATGCCGAGGAAGGGGAGCTCGAATCCCTGGTGCGCGGAGGCCGGGATGATGGGATCATGGATATGATGGATATGATGGATATGATACCCTCTGGTGAACATACAAAAAGCAATGGAAAATGGCTATTGAAATAGTGGATTTTCCCATGAATAGCATGGTGATTTTCCATTGCTATGTTAGTTCACCAGAGGGTAGGTGTTTTCATTTCTGGAACTTGTTGGGTTGTTTGAGGTTGTAGTGTCCTTTGTTGTTTAGATGATGGGACAGATGGGACAGTTGATTGGATGGCACAGGTGTTTTGGTTTTTCCCGAGAGCGTCTGAGCGCAGGGTTCTTCCAATAGTGGGGGTCTGTATCTCATCTTCTCATCTTCACACCTTCTCATCTTCACACCTTCTCTCACACCTTCTCATTTTCACATCTGCTCATCTTCACATCTTCTCTCACATCTGCTCATCTTCACATCTGCTCATCTTCACATCTGCTCATCTTCACATCTGCTCATCTTCACATCTGCTCATCTTCACATCTTCTCTCACATCTGCTCATCTTCACATCTGCTCATCTTCACATCTGCTCATCTTCACATCTTCTCTCATCTGCTCATCTTCATATCTTCTCTCACATCTTCTCTCACATCTGCTCATCTTCACATCTGCTCATCTTCACATCTGCTCATCTTCACATCTTCTCTCACATCTTCTCTCACATCTGCTCATCTTCACATCTTCTCTCACATCTGTTCATCTTCACATCTGCTCCTCTTCACATCTGCTCATCTTCACACCTTCTCTCACATCTTCTCACCTTCACATCTTCTCTCCTTTCTCTCTCCTTTTTCTCTCTCACGCCTTCTTTTTATCTTTCTCTCTTAAGGCCGAGGGTGGTGCCGGCGGCGAGTCACGAAACGTCAACCCTTTCGCACGAAATGAGGGTCGATCGTCAAAAACTGAGGAAAAATTGCGATTTGACTTGTCCCGGAGCAACCCTTTCGCACGAAATGAGGGTCGATCGTCAAAAACTGAGGAAAAATTGCGATTTTACTTGTCCTGGAGCAACCCTTTCGCACGAAATGAAGGTCGATCGTCAAAAACTGAGGAAAAATTGCGAGTTTACTTGTCCCGGAGCAACCCTTTCGCACGAAATGAAGGTCGATCGTCAAAAACTGAGGAAAAATTGCGAGTTTACTTGCCCCCGAGCAACCCTTTCGCACGAAATGAAGGTCGATCGTCAAAAACTGATGAAAAATTGCGAGTTTACTTGTCCCGGAGCAACCCTTTCGCACGAAATGAAGGTCGATCGTCAAAAACTGAGGAAAAATTGCGAGTTTACTTGTCCTGGAGCAACCCTTTCGCACGAAATGAGGGTCGATCGTCAAAAACTGAGGAAAAACTTGCGATTTGACTTGTCCTGGAGCAACCCTTTCGCACGAAATGAGGGTCGATCGTCAAAAACTGAGGAAAAATTGCGAGTTTACTTGTCCCCGACAATTTCGCACGAAATGAGGGTCGATCGTCGAAAACTGAGGAAAAATTGCGAGTTTACTTGTCCTGGAGCAACCCTTTCGCACGAAATGAAGGTCGATCGTCAAAAAGCGTCTGTGTGTCAAAGCGTCTGTGTGTAAAAGCGTCTGTGTGTAAAAGCGTCTGTGTGTAAAAGCGTCTGTGTGTAAAAAGCGTCCGTGTGTAAAAGCGTCCGTGTGTAAAAGCGTCCGTGTGTAAAAGCGTCCGTGTGTAAAAGCGTCCGTGTGTAAAAGCGTCCGTGTGTAAAAGCGTCCGTGTGTAAAAGCGTCTGTGTGTAAAAGCGTCTGTGTGTAAAAGCGTCTGTGTGTAAAAGCGTCTGTGTGTAAAAGCGTCTGTGTGTAAAAGTGTTTGTGTGTAAAAGTGTTTGTGTGTAAAAGCCTCTGTGTGTAAAAGCGCCTGTGTGTAAAAGCGTCTGTGTGTAAAAGCGTCTGTGTGTAAAAGCGTCTGTGTGTAAAAGCGTCTGTGTGTAAAAGACTGTGTGCACAAGCGTCTGTGTGTAAAAGCGTCTGTGTGTCAAAGCGTCTGTGTGTAAAAGCGTCTGTGTGTAAAAGCGTCTGTGTGTAAAAGTGTTTGTGTGTAAAAGTGTTTGTGTGTAAAAGCGTCTGTGTGTAAAAGGCTCTGTGTGTAAAAGCGTCTGTGTGTAAAAGCGTCTGTGTATGTCTGTGTGTAAAAGAGCCTATGTGTAAAAAGCGTTTGTGTGTAAAAGTCTCTGTCTGTAAAAGCGTCTGTGTGTAAAAGCGTCTGTGTGTAAAAGCTTCTGTGTGTAAAAGCTTCTGTGTGTAAAAGCGTTTGTGTGTAAAAGTGTCTGTGTGTAAAAGCGTCTGTGTGTAAAAGCGTCTGTGTGTAAAAGCGTCTGTGTGTAAAAGCGTCTGTGTGTAAAAGAACCTATGTGTAAAAAGCGTTTGTGTGTAAAAGCGTCTGTGTGTAAAAGCGTCTGTGTGTAAAAGCGTCTGTGTGTAAAAGCGCCTGTGTGTAAAAGTCTCTGTGTGCAAAAGCATCTGTGTGTAAAAGCGTCTGTGTGTAAAAGAGTCTGTATGTAAAAGGGTCTGTGTGTAAAGCGTCTGTGTGTAAAAGGGTCTGTGTGTAAAGCGTCTGTGTGTAAAAGTGTTTGTGTGTAAAAGCTTCTGCGTGTAAAAGCGTCTGTGTGTAAAAGCGTCTGTGTGTAAAAGCGTCTGTGTGTAAAAGCGTCTGTGTGTAAAAGCGTCTGTGTGTAAAAGCGTCTGTGTGTAAAAGGCTCTGTGTGTAAAAGCGTCTGTGTGTAAAAGAGCCTATGTGTAAAAAGTGTGTAAAAGGCTCTGTGTGTAAAAGCGTCTGTGTGTAAAAGAGCCTATGTGTAAAAAGCGTTTGTGTGTAAAAGTCTCTGTCTGTAAAAGCGTCTGTGTGTAAAAGCTTCTGTGTGTAAAAGCTTCTGTGTGTAAAAGCGTTTGTGTGTAAACGTGTCTGTGTGTAAAAGCGTCTGTGTGTAAAAGCGTCTGTGTGTAAAAGCGTCTGTGTGTAAAAGCGTCTGTGTGTAAAAAAACCTATGTGTAAAAAGCGTTTGTGTGTAAAAGCGTCTGTGTGTAAAAGCGTCTGTGTGTAAAAGCGTCTGTGTGTAAAAGCGTCTGTGTGTAAAAGACTGTGCGCAAAAGCGTCTGTGTGTAAAAGCGTCTGTGTGTCAAAGCGTCTGTGTGTAAAAGCGTCTGTGTGTAAAAGCGTCTGTGTGTAAAAGTGTTTGTGTGTAAAAGTCTCTGTGTGTAAAAGCCTCTGTGTGTAAAAGCGTCTGTGTGTAAAAGCGTCTGTGTGTAAAAGTCTCTGTGTGTAAAAGTCTCTGTGTGTAAAAGCCTCTGTGTGCAAAAGCGTCTGTCTGTAAAAAGTTCTGTGTATGAACAACTTTACAAAAATACGATGCAATCTATTGTCTTGTACTAGTCATATATTGTCTTGATACTACTCTTTTCGTCTGCCTATAATACATCTTTAATATATTATCTTGTAATATAGTGTCTCCATACTAACAACAGAAGACTCTGCTCCTCTACGCTCTCGGGCCATCCGTCGTCTAGTTGTCTGTCTCGGAGAAAAAACGTCGGAATGAAGGTGAAGCACAACATTGTTTTAATTGGATGGGGCAAAGGACTGCATGTGGTTTTCACTTCGGTTAACCATCCATGGTCTGAAACTCCAGCTGAGCAGTTCCACATCAAGAGCTGTAGGGCTTGACGCAAGCTTCCAGGTTCCCAGTCCAAGATGGAACTGGCTCACGTACTTGGCGCCAAGAGTGGCTTGGAGAGCTAATTAAACAGAATCCGCTCAAGCTTGTTGATTCCAGACGTTGAATGGTAACAGATTCCAAGAATGACCACTGATTGCTGGGCCTGGGGCTCCGCAGTTCAGAGGTGGCTGAAAAAATCCGGTTGGAACATTCAAGGGGCTTGCGCTGTAATGGAAAATTGCGAACAAGCTTGTGGATGATATATCATGGTTGATATCATGGTTATATACCAATGGTCAATGGTTGATATAAGTTTTGGGTTGAACCTCATGTCAAGCTCCTTTTTCCAAATCACCAGGAATATCACTAGCACCCGTCATCAGGACATTTCAGTGATCCAATTGTGTTGCATCCAAGCCATAGGAATCGATGGAATCTAAGCATCAGCATCCATCTTCCACCAGCCGAGGTAGCGCGACGGAGGGATGACTGGACATCCACACTGCAGTTTTTCAGCCGCAGTCCGACCTCCCGGGCCGAACGAGGCGATCTCCGACATCGCCGCGGCCGAAATCTGCTGACCCCACCGGAAGATCTTCGAGGTTCGAGATGGTGAAGGAGAGATCCCAAAAGGAGAAGTGGCAGCGTGCCGCAGTGGGACCGGTGAATCGACTTTGGGGGTCGAGTGGAGAAGTATGAGAGTTCCTTCAGGTTTGTCTCCCAACCTGAAGCCCTGAAGCCATGGCAACTGGGTGGGCGGGAAACGAACCCCACCAAGCGTTGATTCGTTTCACCTGATGGTGGCACCAAAAGGTGCTCGCTATGAGAGCATACCGCTGGCCTTGGCCGTGCGAACTTGGAAAAGTTCTGAGGGATGAACTGAGTGAATTTTTTGGATTGGTCATATGCCATATGCCCAACTTGGTTCTGGCTTTGAAAGCAGACAAGTCTTTGGAGGCTGTACTTACAAGCTGCAAGCTTGTGCTGACTCTGGGCAATTTGTGATTTAGGCCGACTCGTGTAGGTGTTGCATGGTGTTGCCACTTCAAAGAGTTTGGAAGAACATTTTAGGAAGTTGGCCAAGCTGAATCTTTACGTCATATGAGTCATATTCCTGCAAGGAAGCTGGCAATCATGTGGCTATCGATCCCAACCAAACCCACGGTAGGCATTTTCCATCCCATGCCCTCCAGGGGGCGGGCTGGATCCCAGCTGCAGCCCAGGTTCCACGAGACCTTCAAGCATTTCAGCGACATCGCGGAGGATCAGTTTGACTTCCACAATTATTGCCTGCGGAAAACCACGCTGAAGGCGCCATTTTTTGGTGGATGGTGAGGGATGGTTGGTGAGTTGGGCTGTACTTCCGTCGTGTTTTTTGGGGGACTGAAGAGACACTGACTGACATACACCGTGGTAAACCCAAGAATGAACTATGCCCAATATTACCATCAATGGGTTGTAAACCGCATCCCAAAATGGTCGGTTTATTCTCAAGCTCCGGTGGCTGTGCTAACAGCAGGCGTATGTGGCGATGTTGAGGATGCAAGAGAGGCAGCCGGGAGCTGTCAGGGAACTGGTCATAGGCGAAATCCTTCTTTCCGATGCTGATCCACGTGATTCATCCCTGTCGTTGTTGGTTTTGGATCTTTTTGTAAATTTCAATCCTGTTTGGTGGGCATGACTCATGACAGTTTTCGTTGAGTGAACAGCAACAAATGACCAGCCCTTTCAGTATCAGCATGGTGTGTGAGATTTTGGGTCGTACCCCTTGTCGTATGGCTGGGTACCTAATCATCATTAAAGGCAAACTTGAAGGGACACCCTTGATCTTGTATTGATTATACCAATTAGATAGATCCGTGGCATGGGGATGGCCGGGTTCCATGGCGTTTCACCAGGCTCTACTCGCACAAATTCTACCGCCGCGCCGCCAAGGTCAGATGTTGGGATTCCGGATGGGAAGATGGTGATTTTTTGTGAATTTTCCATAGAAAATGGCTTTGTTTAAAGTTTGAGGTTGAGCAAATTCAGAAAGCTGAAACTGGTATGGGCCACTTTGCAGCGGAACGTGGACTATGATCTCTTTGCTTCTTGCATGTACTAAATCGACCAAGAAGATTCATCGTTGCAGCGACAAAATGGTTTCTGGATGGTCCTCGTATCTTCATCAAAATCCCATCCCATCCCTTTCACCGCACTGGACCTTGTACCTGGCCAAAGTCGTTTCGCAGGACGCAGTCAAGATCTATCTTGAACTCTACGTGGCTGCACCCAGCTGGGCAGTTGATGCCTTGAAACTTGAACCCGTGACCTGCAGGAAGGTAGGGAACTAGGAGTCTAACTTAGGATCACAATGGGAAAAACCTGATTTGATCTTTGCTGAGAACCCCAGAGATGCACACCTCAGAAGACTTGAAACTACACCAGCGATTGGAAGAACCATGGTAGTGGCCTTTGTAGTGACGAATGCTTCACACGTAAAAACATGTCCATGGATAATATTTTGACCATGGATCCAGTCATATTCACGTCGCTTCGCGACGGCAACCGCCCGCACCGCATCGTTGGGCTCACACAGCAGGGGCATATGATGATGGTGATCATGATGATGACCGTTTCCATAGAAAACCAACACATCAAGGTTTAAAGAGCATGCACGATTGTAGATTTGATGATGGTAATCATGATGATGAAAAGGCATGTCGGATGAAGACGTTCTTTGTGATTGAAACGACAAACCTGATTTCATAGAAACCCAAACAACAAAACGGACATAGAGTATAGAGGCGATACTGTTTTTTTTTGCCTGGTGTGGATCCTGGGACGGCAGGTTTGCGAACTTTCCGTCCGTGAGCGGCCAGAGCAAAAAAAAGAACTGAGCCTGAGGTTGTGTGGTGCTGCCTTGCACCAAGCAATAAATTTGAAAGCTTTATAAATATCGTATCTGCAAGATGTAGGCTTTTGTTGTCTGGACGCTCCACACTGGCAAAGATGTCGGCCAACCAAAATAGATAGAGAAAGATAGACCGATAGATAGATAGAGAGATATATCTATATATATAAATTATAAAGATCATATATGTACATATCGAGTGAACGGTCCACACTGTTAATGATGTCAGCCATTGTTCTCTTCTACTGCCATTGTTCTCTTCTATTGCCGTCGCTCCGCGACAAGAACCCCTGTGCGGCCGCCACGGTTTGAACGATGTTGTTCTCACACCTTCGCGACCGCTCGTAACTGCCAATGATGTCGGCCATTGAGACCAAAAACATCCGAAAGTACTGATTGTCGGAAAAAAAAATGCGAAGAATTTGATAGCCATGTATAGCGGACCAACGCAATTCAAAAAATAACGAAAAACATGAAAAAACGGCGAAATTGCTGTTATTTACAGTGTTTTTGCGCGGTGAGAAGCAGAAACTACTGCAAATACGATGGTTTTTGAGGGTCAGGTGGAAAAAAACACTGTAATTTACAGCGTTTTTTTAACCAACGGCAAAAAACACTGGTATTTACGATGTTTTCATTCACACCGTAACATAAAACAGCGTAATTTACGAGGTTTTTGGAAGTTTTGAAGCTAGCCGTCAAGCATGCAGAAAACAGAAAAACACTGTAAAAACCAGTGTTTCTGCTATCACAAAACGACGAAAATCAGTCCGAAAACGGGTCCAAAAACTCAAAAATCCGCTTCCGGGCCAGGCCACCTGCGGAACCGCAAAAAAAGATGTTGCAAACCAAAAAATTGAGGTCAAAAAGTTGAAAAACACGGGTTTTTTTCACTTTTCGCTTGCCGATTTTGGACGGGCGCGTTCACGAACAGGTGTCTTCCGTACTGTTTTTTACAGTGTTTTTTGAAGGCGAGCGTCACGACCTATCAAAAACAGGAGGTTTTGGCCGAAAAATGGGGACCCCCCCCCCGTACGTTCGACACTTGGAGGCTATATCGCAAGCCAAGAGGCTATGGATCAATACTAATCAAAAGGCAGCGAAGCAAACCATAGGCGCAAAATGGACGCAACTGATTCCGCCTGCTTCGGGCCGTAATAGGCTTTCCAGAAAGACATGCCGATGAAGCCGCTGGAACCGCTGGCGCCGATCAGGCCAATTGAGCCGATGAGGCCGCTGGAGCCGCTGAGGACGATGGAGCCGATGAGGCCGATGAGGCCAATGGAGCCGATGAGGCCGCTGGAGCCGATGAGGCCGATGGAGCCGCTGGAGCCGATGGAGCCGCTGGAGCCGATGACGCCGATGAGGCCGATGAGGCCGATGGAGCCGCTGGAGCCGATGGTGCCGCTGGAGCCGATGACGCCGATGAGGCCGATGAGGCCGATGAGGCCGATGAGGCCGAGAGGCCGATGAGGCCGATGGAGCCGCTGAGGCCGATGAGGCCGAGCCGCTGAGGCCGATGAGGCCGATGAGGCCGATGAGGCCGATGAGGCCGATGAGGCCGCTCGAGCCGATGGATGGAGCCGATGAGGCCGATGGAGCCGATGAGGCCGATGGAGCCGCTGAGGCCGATGAGGCCGATGAGGCCGATGAGGCCGATGAGGCCGCTGAGGCCGATGAGGCCGATGAGGCCGATGAGGCCGATGAGGCCGCTCGAGCCGATGAGGCCGATGGAGCCGATGAGGCCAACTGGAGCCGTTGAAGCCGATGGAGCCGATGGATCCGATGAGGCCGATGGACAGGCCGATGGTCAGGCCGATGGACCAGGCGCGCCACAATGCAAAGCACCCATGCTCTGAAAGTGGCGCTTGGCGCCGCAGATAAATCCTACGCAGTATTGCCAGTATAAAGAGAGTTGCAGGTTACAGCTACATGTATCGAGACACCTTAACCCATTTCACCCTGCCTACCTACATGCACAAGAAGTGGTGCCGCAAAATCGACGCCAACCGTCAATGGCACGACCCCCCCCCCAGGTAAACCTGTAACCTTTTACGAGTGCCATCCGGACGATCACGCCCCAGCACCTTCGGTGCGGGCGGATTTTCTCCTGGAAAGGGGCCTGGAGCTAGATACTCAAATGCCTCTTGGGTTGCCCTTATCGGCTGTGCCGAGGACGCCAAAGTCGCTGGTGCCTTGACTTGGGGCAGTTCTGTTGAATCGGCAACTGGGGATTCATCCAGCTCAGACTGAGCCCTAACGTAAACATGTTGGGTGATAAAACCAGCGCGTGCTGGCGCCAGTTGGGTCCCGGTTGGGTCTAGATGGCTACGCCGATCGGAGATGTGCAATGCCAACACAGTTAGATGGCTAGGAAATCTGCCAAGGGATCTAAGATTCATTCCGATCTATGTGCAAGCCCGAAAAGGTTCCTAACAAATCTTGAAGACTACAACCATTTCCATCTGGAAGTCTTCAGTGAGACCGTGTTGTTGTTCCAAATAGTTCCGGACTTGTCGCGTGGCAGGTGTGGATGGTCCGGATCTTAGATCGGAAGGTGGGGACGCTGAAGGCTTGAAGGTCACTTTTGAAACCCACCGGTTTTGCCGATCTAAATACATGGGCAAAACCATGCAACACGCTGGTGGATTGTGACTTCGCAGCACCCAATGCTTCGGCCCTGAATCCACCTGAGGTGTGGCCGGAGGCGGGTCCTCTACTGGGGACTTTGGGGGTGGAAGATGGCCAAAGGTTGACCACCAGGATTTCGAGGAGTTTTTATTTCCCAAAATCCCTGGAGTTACTAGAAAAGGGGTTTGTCTCGAAGTTGGTCCCCATTTCCAAGCAGATCCATTTTGAGGTGAAAGAAACTCAACATGTTGTTTCAGACCCCCAACTTCGGGCCTGATGCTGCAGGCGACAAGGCGGATGGATACCCCCAGGCTGCTGGTTCCAAGCTTAGTGAGTCAGCAAAACGAAACGAGGGGCACGTCCAATGGGAACAGAGAAATCTCACCATTCAAACATAGACCATGAAATATGATGGATGACCACAGCAGTCCCAAGCAGCTCAATCATTCACTAAAACATAAATTTCCAAACATTATGCCAATGAGGAGCGAGTTGATTATGAGATATTGAGACCTAGTCAAAATCTGGTTGACGGGTGAATTCCCCAAGGTTGGGCAGGCGATGGGGCTGCAAAGACAGGTGCGGAAGGGGTCCGTGAAGGAAGGAGGATCTGGCCTTTTTTTTTGGGTGTTTTGGTCGCCTACAAGCTGGGATGGACGGGGTTTGTGTGACATTTCCTTTGAAACTTGCGAATGTTTGATCACTTGCCGCCAACACGGCTGCCGATGCTCAGGCAATGAAGATGAGCTGAGTGCGGAGGAAAAGAAAAAGCTGAAGCATAAGAAAAAGAGAGAGGTGCCCCACAGATGGGATCCAAACAAAGGGAGCTATCGAATTAATGATTGAATGACATCCCGACCACTATCTGAAGTCCTGATTTGAATGCGTTCTTTTGGATCAATCTACGCAGGGGAACTCGATTTGGCTTGCACTCTCAGCCTATCGGCGCTACATGTTCACCTATTCGAGAACCAACAGACTCCAAGGGCCTTTAGTGGCTGCTCCGACACGGTGGTGAGGCACAAAAGCAAGAACAAAAAGCCACGTGCCTCTGGCTGGTTGCTGACTGTTGAAGTGTGTCTGAAGATGGGGTATCACCCCAAAGCGTATTTTTATGGGAACCAATGAGCATTATAGAACAGTGGAATTGTGGGACACAGACAAACAGTATAAATGGACCTTTGTTTCCTGTTTGGCCGACCATGGAGCAGGAAACAACGGTTCTCAGCAAAACAATTAAAACATGCCAGATCGTTTCTCCAAAAGTTGTGCATCCGAAATTTTCCCAAATCAGGGTGTCCTTAGTGATCTGCTTTGTGGTAGGGTCAAAGACACATCACCTGGGGCCTTGGTGGTATTGCCAGGACGACGGCCCAGAATGCCACGGCCACCACGGGGAAGCCGAAGAAGGTGGATGATGATCCAGATGGTGAGAAACTCCTGCGGGGGAACACAGCGTGCCATGTGGCTTTGGGATATGTTGGGGCCATGGGGAAGTGGTGGAAACTTCTGTTGGTGAGTCGAAGTTCTGGAGTTCAACAATGATGATTGATGGTACAAGTGTTTCAAAAGTTGACATGTTTGACTTCATCTCTGAAATTGAAAACTACTTCTGACCTTCCAATTTTCTTCGCCCTTTTGCCAAACCTGAGGCAACAAGACTTCATGGAGCAGGCCAGTAAAATTGTTTGGGAAGCCCAGAGAGCTCAGCTTTGACAAGTTGGGACGCAGAATTCTTCGAATTTTGGGCTTTTCGAACTTGCGCAGCACCACATGAGCCCACATCACTAAGCAAGTAAGTAAGCAAGCAAGCAAGCAAGTATAGGAAGACAGCAGGATGCCGAAGTGCTGCCAAAGGCACCTAAGCTGGAGTCACATCCAGGACATAGAACGTAGCCACACGGGCCACCATCATACTTCGGGAGCATCCGAATGGTTTGTGATGTTGCTGACGGGAGATGATTGATTTACAGCAGTGTCTTTCACTTGGAAGTTGCACGGCTCACAGTCACCTCTTGATTTCCTCCTCCCAGCGGTCTCCACTCTGTGCAATGGGAAACCGGTTGATGCTACTACTGGTCTGGCTGTGTGGTGTGGCGAGTGAACCGTGCCTCGTCAGTTGAACGTCTTTAACCCCCAACTGGGTATGGTAAAAAAAATACTTTACTTCGTGTGATCCCCACAATGACATTTATACATTTTCTTACTGGCAAATCTTTTGGCATTCTATCTGGCATATCTTCTGGCATATGTTCTGGCATATCTTCTGGCATTCTATCTGGCAAATCTTCTGGCATTCTGTCTGGCATATCTTCTGGCATTCTATCTGACATATCTTCTGGCATTCTATTATCTGACATATCTTCTGGCATTCTATCTGGCATATCTTCTGGCATATATTCTGACACATCTTCTGGCATTCTATCTGGCATATCTTCTGGCATATTATCTGGCAAATCTTCTGGGATTCTATCTGGCATTCTACCTGGCATTCTATCTGGCATACCTTCTGGCATTCTATCTGGCATACCTTCTGGCATTCTATCTGACATATCTTCTGGCATTCTATCTGGCATATCTTCTGGCATATGTTCTGGCATATCTTCTGGCATTCTATCTGGCAAATCTTCTGGCTTCTTCTGGCATATCTTCGCATTCTATCTGACATATCTTCTGGCATTCTATCTGGCATTCTATTGGCCGTTGAGGTCCAGGTTGAGCCAGGTTCCCAGGTCCAGCGGTGCACACTGAGCTGGGCAGGTCCCAGGTTGAGGTCCAGCGGTGCACACTGAGCTGGGCAGGTCCCAGGTTGAGGTCCAGCGGTGCACACTGAGCTGGGAAGGTCCCTGGTTGAGGTCCAGCGGTGCACACTGAGCTGGGCAGGTCCCCGGTTGAGGTCCAGCGGTGCACACTGAGCTGGACAGCTCGCAGGTTGAGGTCCAGCGGTGCACACTGAGCTGACGAGTTGCCAAGGTTGGCAAGGCGGAAGTGGAGGTGGAAGAGGCGGAGGCGAGGAGGAGGGCGAGGAGGACAGGTAGTCGAGGAGGAGGACAGCTAGTCGAGGAGGAGGAGGAGGAGGAGGAAGAGGCGGCGGGCGGGCATGCGCTCTGATAAAATCTAACCACCCTCACCTGGCAGGTGGGGAAAAACAAAATTGGATAAGGTTTTTTGGCTTTACCCGGTAACCTCGGTAACCCCCACTCCCAGATTGGCCAATTCCTAAGTGGGGCTGCCAGCCATCCAGATCTGACCCGAAATATCAGGGCTGTAGTTGTAGTTGGCCAGTTCCATCTATCAATTGCAGGGTGGAGTATCTGCATCCATTGAGAGACAGACCCTTGCGTAGCAGATCCAAGTGCATTGGGAAATGGTAAAGTGGTAAAGCCACTCTGGAATTCTGGCCAGGTTTGCAATGGATGCCACTCTTCATCCTCCCTTCTTTTGGAGATCTATCTGCATATCAATATCCAGCGTATCTATCCATCCGTCTATCTAATCTAATCTAATCCATTCGAATCCAATCCGACTAATGTAATCCAAGCCAAAACTGAAACTAAATCTAAATCTAATCTGATCTATATAATGCAATCGAACATCAATCTAATCTAATCCAATCTTGCAAAATCTGTCTATTCACCAATTCTCAACCACACACTCAGCATGCTATGAAACACTTCGCCTGTCACTATTTGAGCTGCCCCGTGAGGTCGGTGTGTCCCGCCGGAGCTTTTTGCAAAGCGCGAAGTGGTGCGCCGGAGCCGTGCCCCGATGGCCATTTTTGTCCTCCCGGCAGCACCGAGCCTCACGCTTGCCCTGGGAAGCACTTCTGCTGCTTGTGATTTGGGGAAGTTGTGGTGAGCGGTGTTCGGGCGTTAACTTGACATTGGCAGCTTCAGCCACGTGCGCAATATCCACATTTTTATTTCATCGCATCATCGGGCTCTGGAAGATGTTTTTTGGGGCGAACTTAAATGTTGGGGTCTGCAGTGAGTTTCTGTTTCTTTTTTTGAATTTAAGTTCGATCAAATCAACCAATCAACGAGCTGCTGGCTGGGAGATCACGGAGGTAGCTTGATTTCGGCAAGCAGAGAAACATCTGTGAATTTCCAACAAACTCGTGAAGGGATGAATTCTGGGCGGATTCTATTCATTTGCCCTTCATTCATCCAAAACCTCCATATAGCATTCCTGATTCCGCGGTGGTTCTTTCTTGCCGGCCACATCCAAAATGATGGTTGATCACACATCTACCGAACACTTGCCAAATCAGAGCGAGCTTTCCTGGTAAAACATTCCTAGATGTCGCCTGGCAACCTGTCGGCCCAGGTTCCAATCAAACTGCCACGCCGCAGAAATGCCCGGCGGGCTACTTCTGCTCGCCCAAGAGTAGCAAGCCGACGCTGTGTCCCCTGCACCACTACTGCCCTGAGCAGAGCTCCGAGCCCCGCGTTTGTCCGGCGGGATTTCGATCCTTGGCTGCCAAAGAATGGAAAATATCGGAAGGTGCAGTGCTTAGATCATAAGAATTTGGACTTGGATCATGCAAGTGTTGACTTCTGCCTCTCAACATGACACAAATTCTGTTGGACAAGCGAACCACACGATCACAAAAGGAAGGTTGTGAAGGAAACCTGATATCCGCACTTGGGAGTGTGGGCCATAAATGATAGAATTGAATGGGTATTATATTGGCATTTGTTAGTATTTGTTATATGTGTGTGTTTGGTCCACCAACCACGTGCTGCAGACTGAGGATGCGAGGGCCAGGACTTGCAGAAGGTGCTGCGCGGGTCGCTGGCCGAAGCCTTGCCGTGGTGGAAGCAGCTGACGGCCTCCACCGAGAAGTTTGCGCTCGCGGCGGGTTACGCACACAGCCTGGCCATGTTGAAGGGACAGGTGTGGGCATGGGGTTTGAATGACAACGGCCAGCTGGGGCACATGGTGAATCAATGGCGCCTGGTCAAAGTACCCTCCAGCAAAAACTTTGCGGCAATTGCTGCTGGTATTTACCACAGTTTGGCTTTGTCGGATGATGGCACCTTGTGGACATGGGGAGCTAACAGCGGTGGTCAGCTGGGGATTGGAAACACAAACGACCAGCTGAACCCAGTCCAAGTGGCAGTGGGCAAGAAATTGGTGGCAATTGCTGCTGGTGCTGACCACAGCTTGGCTTTGTCGGATGATGGCACCTTGTGGACATGGGGAGCTAACAGCGGTGGTCAGCTGGGGATTGGAAACACAAACGACCAGCTGAACCCAGTCCAAGTCGCAGTGGGCAAGAAATTGGTGGCAATTGCTGCTGGTGCTGACCACAGCTTGGCTTTGTCGGATGATGGCACCTTGTGGACATGGGGAGCTAACAGCGGTGGTCAGCTGGGGATTGGAAACACAAATGACCAGCTGAACCCAGTCCAAGTCGCAGTGGGCAAGAAATTGGTGGCAATTGCTGCTGGTGCTGGCCACAGCTTGGCTTTGTCGGATGATGGCACCTTGTGGACATGGGGACACAACAGCCTTGGTCAGCTGGGGATTGGAAACACAAACGACCAGCTGAACCCAGTCCAAGTGGCAGTGGGCAAGAAATTGGTGGCAATTGCTGCTGGTGGTGTCCACAGTTTGGCTTTGTCGGATGATGGCACCTTGTGGACATGGGGATACAACAGCCTTGGTCAGCTGGGGATTGGAAACACAAACGACCAGCTGAACCCAGTCCAAGTGGCAGTGGGCAAGAAATTGGTGGCAATTGCTGCGGGTGATTACCACAGTTTGGCTTTGTCGGATGATGGCACCTTGTGGACGTGGGGACACAACGCCAATGGTCAGCTGGGGATTGGAAAGACAAATAGTCAGGCCAGCCCAGCCCAAGTGGCAGTTGGGGAGAGCTTTCAGCTCCCCAACCATTTTTTTCTTTCGGCTTGGTGTGATCCAGTTGCCTCAGCCTATCCTTACGGCGCGTGCGATGCATCTGCCAGCAGTCCCTTCCCCTGCAGCTCAGCATTTCTGAAGGCAAGGTCCTGCAGCGAATCCGATGGCTGCAGCATCTTCGTGGGTGCGAAGGCAGCTGAACCTTGCGATGCAGGAACATTTTGTCCTGCAGGCAAGGGCTCTGCCATCACCTGTCCTGAGGGACATTTTTGTGCCTTGGCATTTTTGGATGTAAATCTTGAACTAAAGCAGAACAAGGTAGGCTCAATTCATGATAGACTGCCTGAGAGTTAGCGTCTTGAAGGGAACCCCAATGATGCCCATTTGCAGCGAGTTGTTTTGGCCCGGACTCCGGACCCACCAAGGCAACACGCGCGCCGCCCGGCCGGAGCCCTGCGCCGCCGGCTTCGTTTGCCCTGCCGGCACCTCCAACCGCACCACGGGCGCTGCTGCTGAGGAAGCCCCAGTGGCCGAAGAAGGCGCAGAACTGCCTGGTGCATGTTCTGATTTCTCATGGGTTAAAGAAGCATGTTTGACACAGAGTGCTACTATGGATATTCTTGAATGTTTCATATTCTATTAAATTATATTCTATTCAGAACCCAATTTTGTTGGGGTCCCGTTTCCATCCTTGGCTGGGAGGCTTGAATGTGTTGTGTCCTACGGAGCTGAGCGATTTGAAAGTAAAACACGCAGCATTAAAGAATCAAGCTGCGGTTTTTGCTGCAGAATTGGATGATGTGAGGGCAAAGCTGGAGCAAACAACTGCAGCAAAAGCCCAGCTTGAACAGACATCCAAGGCCGAATTGGATGATGTGAGGGCAAAGCTGGAGCAAACAACTGCAGCAAAAGCCCAGTTTCAAAAGACATCCAAGGCCGAATTGGATGATGTGAAGGCAAAGCTGGAGCAAACAACTGCAGCAAAAGCCCAGTTTCAAAAGACATCCAAGGCAGAATTGGATGATGTGAGGGCAAAGCTGGAGCAAACCACTGCAGCAAAAGTCCAGTTTGAACAGACATCCAAGGCAGAATTGGATGACGTCAAGGCAAAGTTGGAGCAAACCACTGCAGCAAAAGTCCAGTTTGAACAGACGTCCAAGGCCGAATTGGATGATATGAAGGCAAAGCTGGAGCAAACCACTGCAGCAAAAGTCCAGTTTGAACAGACGTCCAAGGCCGAATTGGATGATGTGAAGGCAAAGCTGGAGCAAACCACTGCAGCAAAAGTCCAGTTTGAACAGATGTCCAAGGCCGAATTGGATGATGTGAAGGCAAAGCTGGAGCAAACTACTGCAGCAAAAGTCCAGTTTGAACAGATATCCAAGGCGGAATTGCATGACGTCAAGGCAAAGCTGGAGCAAACAACTGCAGCAAAAGTCCAGTTTGAACAGATATCCAAGGCAGAATTGGATGACGTCAAGGCAAAGCTGGAGCAAACAGTGGACCTGAAGCAGATGTCCCGAGCAGAGGTGCAGGTTGTCAAAGGACCTTCAGATATCGGAATGACCTGGTATGCAAGTCTTCTTATTGCGGCCGGGGCAGGGTGGTGCTTTCTGTGGTTTGTTCACTGGAGGAAAGCGCTGCTAGAACAGGACTTACAGGACATCACGACAAGGTTCGAGCAAACATTTGCTGCAAAAGCACAACTAGAAGAGACATTGGAGGATGTGAAGGCAAAGTTGGAGCAAACAGTTTCCGCAAGAGCTGCAATCATTGATTTTCCTGTGGGGACCTTTGTCCAAGACGATTGGACGGTCATAGCAGTCCAATGCCCCGGGGTGAAGATCCAGGACATTCGCGTGGAGTACTGTGATGGTCCCAGGCAAGGGAAGATCCAAATCGATCGCAAGGAAGCGCTCGGTGTTCAGCCCCTGCAGTGGGAACATCCGATCCACTTCGACTCGCCCCATGAGTTTGTGCCGTCCGAGACAAGGCCGGGGGCTTTCCTTTTTTGGTGCTGTGGTAAGAAGCTTTTCTCAAACCTCAACCTCAGGTGTCCCGGAGCAAACTTTGCACGGCCGCTTAAGATTCAGAATGACATTAAGTTATCCTGGTTATCCTCCCTGCATCAGGTGCGAAGATGGTCTCCTCCTTGTGAAGTTCAGGTCCTTCCAACCGCAGCTGCAGGCTGGGATGTAGTGTCGCGATAATAAGTTTTCGTGCTGCAACCAATCACCATAATCTAACTTTAACTGCGCAAGACCTCAAGTTGACATGGATCTCCAGCAACCTTGTTGTTTCTGTTTCTTGGTTCCCTTGACGAGTTTCACCCTGTGCAGAGAGGTGTTTCAAATGGGGCAAGGGTCGCAACCTTGCCGCATGGCGTTGGATGATGGTGGCGAGCCGAGCGAGAAGCGCAAGGCCATGTCCCAGGCCTTGTGCCAGCATTTGTTTTGCAGCAGATTTAGCAATGACTGCATCTAGGAAGCTGGGTATATGGAACATTATGGAACCAGAATCACATGGATGGTCTGCTAGATCGATGGACGGATCTTAATCAGCAACTGGCCATCCTTTTGGAGACTTTTTTGCCGATCTCAGATGTTCTGCAGATGTGTTTTCTTTGCCTTGGCTCTGAGGCTGAGGAGGGACGTTCCAGCGCAAGCAGCTCCTGTTTGTCCTCCTGGAAGCCTTGCTAGGACTGAGGGTGGAACTCAGCAAGTACATTCGTATCCAGTCAGCAGGTGCAAAGATGAACCTGACTTGGCAAGTCGACAGCTTTGACAGAGACCTCTTTCAGTTTCCACAGATGTGAGATTTGGCAACTAGGATTTCATGCAATGCCTTGGTTGTGCTTTACCTGCTGGCTGGCCACGTTACCAAGATGAGAAGGGGATCGCACGCCAACTACCTGCATACAACTGCATAACAAGTCCTGTCCTTCCCTAACATTCTCCAACGTGAACTTTACCAATAAATAGGATTAAATAGGTAGTGTTTGTTCAGATGTTGTTTTGCACTATGAACCACCAGGCGTTGAATTCCACTTGGGAGGCTCTGTAGTACGTAGCCTTGGTCAGTTCCTCGACGGTGCCAGATGTGGTACAGGGAGGCCCGCCCCGCAGAGCCCGCCAGCAATGACAATCAAACCGTCTTCCCCAACTGTGCCATGGTTCATTTCCTGCGGGTGGCCGACATGGTAGTTATTGGTCGCTAGTCCGTGGTCATACAAAAAGGAGCCAACAGCTAATTTTTCTTTCACTTTGACTTTCTTTTTTCCAGTACGTCCCAGAAATCCTATTTGGAAAGCTGGTTGAAAATCCCTTCGCAAGGGCATTAAGTGACCGCGGCACAGATGTCGTGCTGGTGGAAGCTTCCAGTGGTGTTGCAGGGCCCCAAACAACGCCTTGAGTCCCTTTGGGGCTCTGTGCCGCTCGTGGAAACCTCCCACAAGCGGAGCAGATTAGGAGGAACGTCTTGGAGTGGCGACAGCAATGAATGTTGACTTCGGGCGCAGTATACTGTCTCAAGCTTCTGTAAAACTATACCATTGCCTACCATTGTCTGACATTGTCTCCTTCTTTGAACAGACGGACTACTTCTTAGTAGCCTAGTATGGATTTCCCTCTTGAACTTGCGCTTTTTTATCTTTGATATCTTTAAGAAGTTTGAAATCAACACAGCCTTCGGATGCTTGTGTGTCGTGGGTTCCGTAGTCTGAGGGCACGCCTTGGACCGAAGATTCCTTTTGTTTTGCAGCATGATTTCCACGGCACCTTGGAAGTTGCAGGGCTCACAGCACACGCAGCGTTCGCCACTCAGATTCCTTCGCCGCTCCACTCTCCGCGATGTGCTGCTGGGTGGCGCTGCTGCTGACCTGGCTGGTTGGCGCCACGAGTGAACCACGCCTTGGCAGTTTGACTTGTGAAGGGGTGGAAAGCGATGGATGTCCAGCCAACTTTGTTTGACCATATTTGACCAAGAAGTACATAACTACGTGTTTATTGTGGGAGTATGATCCATGATGATCCATGATGATCCATGATGATCCATGATGATCTATGACAGAGTGGTCAGTAGCATTATTAGTGAGGGAAAGATACATCAAAAAACCATGGGAAAGGAAGTGGGAACCTTGCATTGGAGCTTGTGTTTTGTAGGATTCTGATCCCATCCATGATGATATCCATGTATCACCCAATACTGGGGCATAGTGACAGAGGTGGTCCTTGGCTTGTTTGGTGAGGGAGAAATACAGAAAGGGATTTGGAAAAGGAGTGTGACCCTTGGAGTGGAGCTTACATGGTGCAGTGCGGTGAGCGAGGAAAAGTTGAAATCAGGATATTCTGGAATCAAAATCCCAACAAGGCCTGCAATATACGCTATTTATTTGTATTTATCTCCCCTTTTCCGTTTGGAGGTTTATATCATTTATGTCAATCTGCCAACTCGCTGTTGATTTGGGGATTCCTTCCTTCCACTGCCCCGAGATCGGTGTGTCCCGCCGGAGCTTTTTGCAAAGCGCGAAGTGGTGCGCCGGAGCCGTGCCCCGATGGCCATTTTTGTCCTCGCGGCAGCACCGAGCCTCACGCTTGCCCTGGGAAGCATTTCTGCTGCTTGTGATTTGGGGAAGTTGTGGTGAGCGGTGTTCGGGCGTTAACTTGAATTGGCAGCTTCAGCCACGTGTGCAATATCCACATTTTTATTTGTACATCGCATCATCGGGCTCTAGAGTTTGGAAATGTTGGGGTCTGCAGTGAGTTTCTGTTTCTTTTTTTGAATTTAAGTTCGATCAAATCAACCAATCAACGAGCTGCTGGCTGGGAGATCACGGAGGTAGCTTGATTTCGGCAAGCAGAGAAACATCCGTGAATTCAACAAACTCGTGAAGGGATGATTTCCGGGCCGGATTCTATTCATTTGCTCTTCATTCATCCAAAACCTCCATTTAACATTCCTGATTCCGCGGTGGTTCTTTGTTGCCGGCCACATCCAAAATGATGGTTGATCACACATCGACCGTGCACTTGCCAAATCAGAGCGAACTTTCCTGGTAAAGCATTCCTAAAGATGTCGCCTGGCAACCTGTCGGCCCAGGTTCCAATCAAACCGCCACGCCGCAGAAATGCCCGGCGGGCTACTTCTGCCCGGCCAAGAGTGGCAAGCCGACGCTGTGTCCTCCGCACCACTACTGCCCTGAGCACAGCTCCGAGCCCCGTGTTTGTCCGGAGGGATTTCGATCCTTGGCTGCCAAAGAATGGAACATATCGCAAGGCGCAGTGCTTAGATCATAAGAATTGTAAGAATTTGGACTTGGATCATGCAAGTGTTGACTTCTGCCTCTCAACATGAGACGACCAGGAAGGCAAGACGAGCTTCACACAAATTCTGTTGGATAAGCGAACCGCACGAACACAAAAGGAAGGTTGTGAAGGAAACCTGATATCCGCACTTGGGAGTGTGGGCCATAAATGATAGAATTGAATGGGTATTATATTGGCATTTGTTAGTATTTGTTAGTTATATTTGTTTGTTTGGTCCACCAACCACGTGCTGCAGACTGAGGATGCGAGGGCCAGGAGTTGCGGAAGGTGCTGCGCAGGTCGCTGGCCGCCTTGCCGTGGTGGAAGCAGCTGACGGCCTCCACCGAGAAGTTTGCGCTCGCGGGGGGTTGGCGGCACAGCCTGGTCGTGGTGAAGGGCCAGTTGTGGGCATGGGGTCGGAATGACCACGGGCAGCTGGGGCTCAGCAACGCGCTGAATCAATTGCGCCCAGTCAAAGTACCCTCCAGCAAAAACTTTGTGGCAATTGCTGCTGGTCATGAAAACAGTTTGGCTTTGTCGGACGATGGCACATTGTGGACATGGGGACACAACGCCAATGGTCAGCTGGGGATTGGAAACACAAATGATCAGGTGAACCCGGTCCAAGTTGCAGTTGGCAAGAAATTTGTGGCAATTGCTGCTGGTTCTCACCACAGTTTGGCTTTGTCGGATGATGGCACCTTGTGGACATGGGGACACAACGCCAATGGTCAGCTGGGGATTGGAAAGACAAACGACCAGGTGAACCCAGTCCAAGTGGCAGTGGGCAAGAAATTTTTGGCAATTGCTGCTCGGGATAATTGCCACAGCCTGGCTTTGTCTGACGATGGCACCTTGTGGACATGGGGGTGTAACAGCTATGGTCAGCTGGGGATTGGAAACGCAAACGGCCAGCTGAACCCAGTCCAAGTGGCAGTTGGCAAGAACTTTGTGGCAATTGCTGCGGGTGTTTACCACAGTTTGGCTTTGTCGGATGATGGCACCTTGTGGACATGGGGATACAACAAGTTTGGTCAGCTGGGGATTGGAAACAAAAACGACCAGGTGAACCCAGTCCAAGTGGCAGTTGGCAAGAAATTGGTGGCAATTGCTGCTGGTGATTACCACAGTTTGGCTTTGTCGGACGATGGCACATTGTGGACATGGGGACACAACGCCAATGGTCAGCTGGGGATTGGAAAGAAAAACAACCGGCTGAACCCAGTCCAAGTGGCAGTTGGGGAGAGCCTTCAGTTCCCCAACCAGTTTTTTCTTTCGGCTTGGTGTGGTCCAGTTGCCTCAGCGTATCCTTACGGTGCGTGCGACGTCTCTGCGGGTAGTGCTTTCCCCTGCAGCTCAGCATTTCTGAAGGCAGGGTCCTGCAGCGATTCCGATGGCTGCAGCATCTTCGTGGGTGCGAAGGCAGCTGAACCTTGTGATGCTGGAACATTTTGTCCTGCCGGCAAGGGCCAGGGCTGTGCCATCACCTGTCCTGAGGGACATTTTTGAGCCTTGGCATCTTTTGATGGAAATTTCAAAACCAAAGCAGAAAAAGGTACTAGTAGGCGGCTCAATTTTCATGGTAGATGGCCTGAGAGTTAGCTCCTTGAAGGGATCTGAATGATGCCCATTTGCAGCGAGTTGTTTTGGCCCGGATTCCGGACCCAATTTGACAATCCAAATATCAACAGAATGTAACAGTGTTTGCAGTTCTCCAGGGATTTCATGTGCCTAGCCTTGCTCCAAGGCAACACGCGCGCCGCCCGGCCGGAGCCCTGCGCCGCCGGCTTCGTTTGCCCTGCCGGCACCTCCAACCTCACCGGCGCTGCGGATAAAGCTGCTGCTGAGGAAGCCCCAGTGGCCGAAGAAGGCGCAGAACTGCCTGGTGCATGTTCTGATTTCTCATGGATTAAAGAAACATGTTTGACACAGGGTGCTAGTAAGGATGTCCTTGAATGTTTCATGTTTTATTATGTTCCATTCAGAACCCAATTTTGTTGGGGTCCCGTTTCCATCCTTGGCTGGGAGGCTTGAATGTGTTGTGTCCTACGGAGCTGAGCGATTTGAAAGTAAAACACGCAGCATTAAAGAATCAATCTGCGGTTTTTGCTGCAGAATTGGATGATGTCAAGGCAAAGCTGGAGCAAACAACTGCAGCAAAAGTCCAGTTTGAACAGACATCCAAGGCAGAATTGGATGATGTGAAGGCAAAGCTGGAGCAAACAACTGCAGCAAAAGTCCAGTTTGAACAGATATCCAAGGCAGAATTGGATGACGTCAAGGCAAAGCTGGAGCAAACCACTGCAGCAAAAGTCCAGTTTGAACAGACATCCAAGGCCGAATTGGGTGATGTGAAGGCAAAGCTGGAGCAAACCACTGCAGCAAAAGTCCAGTTTGAACAGACGTCCAAGGCCGGATTGGATGATGTGAAGGCAAAGCTGGAGCAAACCACTGCAGCAAAAGTCCAGTTTGAACAGACATCCAAGGCCGAATTGGATGATGTGAAGGCTGAAGCAAACCACTGCAGCAAAAGTCCAGTTTGAACAGACGTCCAAGGCAGAATTGGATGATGTGAAGGCAAAGCTGGAGCAAACCACTGCAGCAAAAGTCCAGTTTGAACAGACGTCCAAGGCAGAATTGGATGATGTGAAGGCAAAGCTGGAGCAAACCACTGCAGCAAAAGTCCAGTTTGAACAGACGTCCAAGGCAGAATTGGATGATGTGAAGGCAAAGCTGGAGCAAACCACTGCAGCAAAAGTCCAGTTTGAACAGACGTCCAAGGCCGAATTGGATGATGTGAAGGAAAAGCTGAAGCAAACCACTGCAGCAAAAGTCCAGTTTGAACAGACGTCCAAGGCAGAATTCGATGATGTGAAGGCAAAGCTGGAGCAAACAACTGCAGCAAAAGTCCAGTTTGAACAGATATCCAAGGCAGAATTGGATGACGTCAAGGCAAAGCTGGAGCAAACCACTGCAGCAAAAGTCCAGTTTGAACAGACATCCAAGGCCGAATTGGATGACGTCAAGGCAAAGCTGGAGCAAACCACTGCAGCAAAAGTCCAGTTTGAACAGACATCCAAGGCCGAATTGGACGACGTCAAGGCAAAGTTGGAGGAAACAACTGCAGCAAATTTCTTGCTTGAACAGATATTATCCAAGGCAGAATTGGATGACGTCAAGGCAAAGTTGGAGGAAATTACTGCAGCTAAATTCTTGCTTGAATTTGAAGAGACATCCAAGGCAGAATTGGATGACGTGAAGGCAAAGTTGGAGAAAGCAAATGCAAGAGCAACAGTGGACCTGAAGCAGATGTCCCGAGCAGAGGTGCAGGTTGTCAAAGGACCTTCAGATATCGGAATGACCTGGTATGCAAGTATTCTGAGTGCGGCCGGGGCAGGGTGGTGCTTTCTGTGGTTTGTTCACTTGAGGAAAACGCTGCTAGAACAGGACTTACAGGACATCACGACAAGGTTCGAGCAAACATCTGCTGCAAAAGCACAACCAGAAGAGACATTGGAGGATGATTTTCCTGTGAAGACCTTTATCCAAGACGATTGGACGGTCATAACAGTCCAATGCCCCGGGGTGAAGATCCAGGACATTCGCGTGGAGTACTGTGATGGTCCCAGGCAAGGGAAGATCCAAATCGATCGCAAGGAAGCGCTCGGTGTTCAGCCCCTGCAGTGGGAACATCCGATCCACTTCGACTCGCCCCATGAGTTTGTGCCGTCCGAGACAAGGCCGGGGGCTTTCCTTTTTTGGTGCTGTGGTAAGAAGCTTTTCTCAAACCCGGAGCAAACTCTGCACGGCCGCTTAAGATTCAGAATGACATTAAGTTATCCTGGATATCCTGGTTATCCTCCCTGCATCAGGTGCGAAGATGGTCTCCTCCTTGTGAAGTTCAGGTCCTTCCAACCGCAGCTGCAGGCTGGGATGTAATGTCACGATGATAAGTTTCCGTATTGCTGCAACCAATCACCATAATCTAACTTTAACTGCGCAAGACCTCAAGTCGACATGGACCTCCAGCAACCTTGTTGTTTCTGTTTCTTGGTTCCCTTGACGAGTTTCACCCTGTGCGGAGAGGTGTTTCAAATGGGGCAAGGGTCGCAACCTTGCCGCATGGCGTTGGATGATGTTGGCGAGCCGAGCGAGAAGCGCAAGGCCATGTCCGTGAAGAGCCATGTGCCTCGGTTGAGATTGGCGGAGCCGGGCCTTGTGCCAGCATTTGTTTTGCAGCAGATTTAGCAATGACTGCATCTAGGAAGCTGGGTTTATGGAACATTATGGAACCATAATCACATGGCCATATACCCAGCTTCCTAGATCGATGGACGGATCTTAATCAGCAACTGGCCATCTTTTTGGAGACTTTTTTGCCGATCTCAGATGTTCTGCAGATGTGTTTTCTTTGCCTTGGCTCTGAGGCTGAGGAGGGACATTCCAGCGCAAGCAGCTCCTCTTTGTCCTCCTGGAAGCCTTGCTAGGACTGAGGGTGGAACTCAGCAAGTGCATTCGTATCCAGTCAGCAGGTGCAAAGATGAACCTGACTTGGCAAGTCGACAGCTTTGACAGAGACCTCTTTCAGTTTCCGCAGATGTGAGATTTGGCAACTAGGATTTCATGCAATGCCTTGGTTGTGCTTTACCTGCTGGCTGGCCACGTTACCAAGAAACAACGTGTTCCCATTTGCTTGCCTGGGCATGCTGTGACTCTTCTGACATGAGCACTTTTCAAAGATGAGAAGGGGATCGCACGCCAACTACCTGCATACAACTGCATAACAAGTCCTTCTCTAACATTCTCCACCGTGAACTTTACCAATAAAATAGGTAGTGTTTCAGATGTTGTTTTGCACTATGAACCAGGCGTTGAATTCGACTTGCGAGGCTCTGTAGTACGTAGCCTTGGTCAGTTCCTCCACGGTGCCAGATGTGGTACAGGGAGGCCCGCCCCGCAGAGCCCGCCAGCAATGACAATCAAACCGTCTTCCCCAACTGTGCCATGGTTCATTGCCTGCGGGTGGCCGATATGGTAGTTATTGGTCGCTAGTCTGTGGTCATACAAAAAGGAGCCAACAGCTGATTTTTCTTTCACTTTGACTTTCTTGTTTCCAGTACCTCCCAGAGATCCTACTTGGAAAGCTGGTTGAAAATCCCTTCGCAAGGGCATTAAGTGACCACGGCACAGATGTCGTGCTGGTGGAAGCTTCCAGTGGTGTCGCAGGGCCCCAAACAACGCCTTGAGTCCCTTTGGGGCTCTGTGCCGCTCGTGGAAACCTCCCACAAGCGGAGCAGATTAGGAGAAACGTCTTGGAGTGGCGACAGCAATGAATGTTGACTTCGGGCGCAGTATACTGTCTCAAGCTTCTGTAAAACTATACAATTGTCTACCATTGTCTGACATTGTCTCCTTCTTTGAACAGATGGACTACTTAGTAGCCTAGTATGGATTTCCCGCTTGAACTTGCGCTTTTTTTTATCTTTGATATCTTTAAGGAAGTTTGAAATCAACACAGCCTTCGGATGCTTGTGTGTCGTGGGTTCCGTAGTCTGAGGGCACGCCTTGGACCGAAGATTCTTTTTGTTTTGCAGCATGATTTCCACGGCACCTTGGAAGTTGCAGGGCTCACAGCACACGCAGCGTTCGCCACTCAGATTCCTTCGCCGCTCCACTCTCCGCGATGTGCTGCTGGGTGGCGCTGCTGCTGACCTGGCTGGTTGGCGCCACGAGTGAACCGCGCCTTGGCAGTTTGACTTGTGAAGGGGTGGAAAGCGATGGATGTCCAGCCAACTTTGTTTGACCATATTTGACCAAGAAGTACATAACTACGTGTTTATTGTGGGAGTATGATCCATGATGATCCATGATGATCCATGATGATCTATGACAGAGTGGTCAGTGGCATTATTAGTGGCATTATTTGTTTTGTAGGATTCTGATCCCATCCATGATGATCCATGTATCACCCAATACTGGGGCATAGTGACAGAGGTGGTCCTTGGCTTGTTTGGTGAGGGAGAAATACAGAAAGGGATTTGGAAAAGGAGTGTGACCCTTGGAGTGGAGCTTACATGGTGCAGTGCGGTGAGCGAGGAAAAGTTGAAATCAGGATATTCTGGAATCAAAATCCCAACAAGGCCTGCAATATACGCTATTTATTTGTATTTATCTCCCCTTTTCCGTTTGGAGGTTTATATCATTTATGTCAATCTGCCAACTCGCTGTTGATTTGGCCATTCCTTCCACTGCCCCGAGATCGGTGTGTCCCGCCGGAGCGTTTTGCAAAGCGCAGAGCGGTGCGCCGGAGCCGTGCCCCGATGGCCATTTTTGTCCTCGCGGCAGCACCGAGCCTCACGCTTGCCCTGGGAAGCATTTCTGCTGCTTGTGATTTGGGGAAGTTGTGGTGAGCGGTGTTCGGGCGTTAACTTGAATTGGCAGCTTCAGCCACGTGTGCAATATCCACATTTTTATTTGTACATCGCATCATCGGGCTCTAGAGTTTGGAAATGTTGGGGTCTGCAGTGAGATTCTGCTGCTTTTTTGGAATTTAAGTTCGATCAAATCAACCAATCAACGAGCTGCTGGCTGGGAGATCACGGAGGTAGCTTGATTTCGGCAAGCAGAGAAACATCCGTGAATTCAACAAACTCGTGAAGGGATGATTTCCGGGCCGGATTCTATTCATTTGCTCTTCATTCATCCAAAACCTCCATTTAGCATTCCTGATTCCGCGGTGGTTCTTTGTTGCCGGCCACATCCAAAATGATGGTTGATCACACATCGACCGAGCACTTGCCAAATCAGAGCGAACTTTCCTGGTAAAGCATTCCTAAAGATGTCGCCTGGCAACCTGTCGGCCCAGGTTCCAATCAAACCGCCACGCCGCAGAAATGCCCGGCGGGCTACTTCTGCCCGGCCAAGAGTGGCAAGCCGACGCTGTGTCCTCCGCACCACTACTGCCCTGAGCAGAGCTCCGAGCCCCGTGTTTGTCCGGAGGGATTTCGATCCTTGGCTGCCAAAGAATGGAACATATCGCAAGGCGCAGTGCTTAGATCATAAGAATTGTAAGAATTTGGACTTGGATCATGCAAGTGTCGACCAGGAAGGCAAGACGAGCTTCACACAAATTCTGTTGGATAAGCGAACCGCACGATCACAAAAGGAAGGTTGTGAAGGAAACCTGATATCCGCACTTGGGAGTGTGGGCCATAAATGATAGAATTGAATGGGTATTATATTGGCATTTGTTAGTATTTGTATGTATTTGTTATATTTGTTTGTTTGGTCCACCAACCACGTGCTGCAGACTGAGGATGCGAGGGCCAGGAGTTGCGGAAGGTGCTGCGCAGGTCGCTGGCCGAAGCCTTGCCGTGGTGGAAGCAGCTGACGGCCTCCACCGAGAAGTTTGCGCTCGCGGGGGGTTGGGGGCACAGCCTGGCCATGGTGAAGGGACAGCTGTGGGCATGGGGTCTGAATGACCATGGGCAGCTGGGGCTCGGCAACAGGGTGTATCAGTGGCGCCCAGTCAAAGTACCCTCCAGCAAAAACTTTGTGGCAATTGCTGCGGGTGAATACCACAGTTTGGCTTTGTCTGACGATGGCACATTGTGGACATGGGGATATAACAGCTATGGTCAGCTGGGGATTGAAAACACAAACAACCAGCTGAACCCAGTCCAAGTGGCAGTTGGCAAGAACTTTGTGGCAATTGCTGCTGGTTATTTCCACAGCTTGGCTTTGTCTGACGATGGCACATTGTGGACATGTGGATACAACAGCTATGGTCAGCTGGGGATTGGAAACACAATGAACCAGCTGAACCCAGTCCAAGTGGCAGTTGGCAAGAACTTTGTGGCAATTGCTGCTGGTGATCACCACAGTTTGGCTTTGTCTGAGGATGTCACATTGTGGACATGGGGATACAACAGCCATGGTCAGCTGGGGATTGGAAACACAAACAACCAGCTGAACCCAGTCCAAGTGGCAGTTGGCAAGAACTTTGTGGCAATTGCTGCTGGTGCTGACCACAGCTTGGCTTTGTCGGATGATGGCACCTTGTGGACATGGGGAGCTAACAGCCTTGGTCAGCTGGGGATTGGAAACGCAAACAACCAGCTGAACCCAGTCCAAGTGGCAGTTGGCAAGAACTTTGTGGCAATTGCTGCTGGTTATTTCCACAGCTTGGCTTTGTCTGACGATGGCACATTGTGGACATGTGGATACAACAGCTATGGTCAGCTGGGGATTGGAAACACAATGAACCAGCTGAACCCAGTCCAAGTGGCAGTTGGCAAGAACTTTGTGGCAATTGCTGCTGGTGATTACCACAGCTTTGCTTTGTCGGAAGATGGCACATTGTGGACATGGGGGTATAACGGCAATGGTGAGCTGGGGATTGGAAACACAAATAGTCAGGCCAGCCCAGCCCAAGTGGCAGTTGGGGAGAGCCTTCAGTTCCCCAACCAGTTTTTTCTTTCGGCTTGGTGTGATCCAGTTGCCTCAGCCTATCCTTACGGCGCGTGCGATGCATCTGCGAGCAGTCCCTTCCTCTGCAGCTCAGCATTTCTGAAGGCAGGGTCCTGCAGCGATTCCGATGGCTGCAGCATCTTCGTGGGTGCGAAGGCAGCTGAACCTTGCGATGCTGGAACATTTTGTCCTGCCGGCACGGGCTGTGCCATCACCTGTCCTGAGGGACATTTTTGTGCCTTGGCATTTTTGGATGTAAATCTTGAACTAAAGCAGAACAAGGTAGGCTCAATTCATTATAGACTGCCTGAGAGTTAGCTTCTTGAAGGGATCTGAATGATGCCCATTTGCAGCGAGTTGTTTTGGCCCGGACTCCGGACCCAATTTGACAATCCAAATATCAACAGAATGAAACAGCGTTTGCAGTTCTTCAGAGATTTGATGTGCCTAGCCTTGCCCCAAGGCAACACGCGCGCCGCCCGGCCGGAGCCCTGCGCCGCCGGCTTCGTTTGCCCTGCCGGCACCTCCAACCGCACCGGCGCTGCAGATGGAGCTGCTGCTGAGGAAGCCCCAGTGGCCGAAGAAGGCGCAGAACTGCCTGGTGCATGTTCTGATTTCTCATGGATTAAAGAAGCATGTTCGACACAGAGTGCTACTAAGGATATTCTTGAATGTTTCATGTTCTATTATATTCTGTTCAGAACCCAATTTTGTTGGGGTCCCGTTTCCATCCTTGGCTGGGAGGCTTGAATGTGTTGTGTCCTACGGAGCTGAGCGATTGGAAAGTAAAACACGCAGCATTAAAGAATCAATCTGCGGTTTTTGCTGCAGAATTGGATGACGTCAAGGCAAAGCTGGAGCAAACCACTGCAGCAAAAGTCCAGTTTGAACAGACGTCCAAGGCAGAATTGGATGATATGAAGGCAAAGCTGGAGCAAACCACTGCAGCAAAAGTCCAGTTTGAACAGACGTCCAAGGCCCAATTGGATGATATGAAGGCAAAGCTGGAGCAAACCACTGCAGCAAAAGTCCAGTTTGAACAGATATCCAAGGCAGAATTGGATGACGTCAAGGCAAAGCTGGAGCAAACCACTGCAGCAAAAGTCCAGTTTGAACAGATATCCAAGGCAGAATTGGATGACGTCAAGGCAAAGCTGGAGCAAACCACTGCAGCAAAAGCCCAGTTTGAAAAGACGTCCAAGGCCGAATTGGATGATATGAAGGCAAAGCTGGAGCAAACCACTGCAGCAAAAGTCCAGTTTGAACAGATATCCAAGGCAGAATTGGATGACGTCAAGGCAAAGCTGGAGCAAACAACTGCAGCAAGAGTCCAGTTTGAACAGATATCCAAGGCAGAATTGGATGACGTCAAGGCAAAGCTGGAGCAAACCACTGCAGCAAAAGTCCTGTTTGAACAGACATCCAAAACAGAATTGGATGAGGTCAAGGCAGCACAAGCGCAGCTTGAAGAGACATATAAGGCGGAATTGGATGCCGTCAAGGCAAAGCTACAAGAAACAACTGCAGCAAAAGCGCAGGTGGAACAGCAACCGGAACACTTCCAGGCAAAGTTTGAGCAAGCCTGGCCAGCAAGTCTTGCAACTGGACTTGCCGAGTGGTATGCATGCCTTCCTTTTGGAACTGGGATGCTGGTGGCAATCGCCCTTGTCAGTCACTTTGTGGAGATGATTGCAAAGCTTGTCAAGAACGACAGAGGAGAAGACAGATTTGGCTGCTACTTCTGCATCCTAAGTACGTACTGTAGTCTAGCCCGTACATAGGTGAAAGATCTCTTCTTCAGGAGGTGAAGAATGTCTTGCTAGTGGAATGGCCTTTGACCCAGCTACATCATGGACACCTTGCTGAGTTTAGAGAATTTGTGAGTTCGTCGGTTCCATTTCTTGCTGTGGAAGTGAGCACCTGGTAGGTCCATTGTGTTTCAACAGATGCGCTTCCGTTGCTTCAATCTGGAGGACATCCTGATTTCCCCGTCAAGATGGTGGTGGAAGATGATCGCAAGGTCATTGCTGTGCATTGCCCCGGGGTCACCATCCACGATATTCGCGTGGAGTATTACGATGGTGTCAGCAAAGGAGAGATAAAAATCGATCGCAAGGAAGCGCAGGGTGTTCCGTCGTTGCAGTGGGGATGGACATTCCACTTCGACTCGCACCATGAGTTTGTGCAGTCGGAAACAAGGCTGGGATTTCTCTTTTCTGCTTTTGCTCGTGCTGGTAGGTTTGAACGGAAAGCCGCCTTTGGTTCATTTCAACCTTGCCTTTTTGAAACTTGTTCACAGGACAGACGCAGTTTGAAAGGGCACTGAACTATAATACCTTCGGACAGGATCTTTGTCTTTTGTAACACTAGCTTTTGAAAGGGTTCTTGATTCTTGACAGTGATTCGAATGTCAAAATCACATGGTCACTGCTGGTGTTGAGGGTTGAAGTCCCACGCAGACAGTAGGTGTGAAGATGGCATCCTCCGCGTGAGTTTCAAGTCCGTCACACCGCAGCCACAGGCTGCGGGTCGCAGTGTTTGCCTCCTCCAGTGGTCTGGGGTTGTGGGTTGAAAATTGGGTACCGCCCAACTGGGATGAACGCCTTCAAATAGATTTCTGTTCTCAACAGCATGACCTATCTCCATGTTTGTCCCCTGACTTTCCGGAGAGGTGTTCCGCGTGCCGCAAGTCTTCCACATGGCCCTGGATGATGAGTCCGAGATGTCGGAAGGGAAGATTTCGAAGGCCGAGAAACATGAGGTCATGTCCGTCAAGAGCCTTGCACCTTGGCAGTTTCAGATTGCCGGGGACGATGGGCAGCCCATGTCAGGTAGAGATGAGGTTTATGTTTGCAACCTACAACTGCAGGTTGAATGGGTTGGTTTTCAAAATGAAACCGTCAGTTTTCATGAGTAGCAGAAACTGCATCAACATGCCATGTGCGAGCTGTTATCAGTTTAAGCATTTAAACTTTGAGCTTCTCAATGCTATGGTCATAGGATTACAGAGCCATGGCCCAAATTTTGGGCTTTTGAGTCTTGAGTTAGTTCGTTTAGCATTGCAGGGTGAAGCGTGATTCCACTTAAGTTTCGATTCATTTTGGTCGATCAACTTGGAGGTTTAGTCCAACAACGTCTTTTTTTTTGGGCCCCACTGGAAAGAAAAAGGTGACTTTTTTTCTTCCAAAATGAGATCATTATATCATTATATATTGTTCCAAAAAAAAACTGCCGATATACAGCCTTTTTGTTCTTTTATTTGGAAAGCTCACCTGCTGCGGCTTTGAGGCCGAGGAAGGAAACTCCATCGTCAGCTACCCCGGATCTTCCTGGGAGCGGTGCTCGGACTGAGGGCGCTGTGAAACCCAGCAACTGTCTTTGGCAGCGAGCAGGTGCAGTGTAGTCCTTTCAGTGATATCTGTCCAAAACTTGGGTGAAGAAACATGAAGCTCAGTGGGAAAACCCAATGTTTGCAAGAGGTTGCCAGATTTTTGTTTGGAAGGCTGCCTCAATTTTGTCAAAATGATGATATGCGTTTTTGATATCCTGCTATGCTGTTGTTGCTGTACCTGCACGCTGGCTTGGCATGTTCCCAAAAGGAACTATGTTCTCTTTAGCTTGCCTGGGCATTATGTGTAGCCTTTTCCAGTTCATTGCAAGACAGGGAGGGAACAATGAGCAGGAAACATAAGACTCACATCGAGAAACAGGATTGTATGTCGCATATTTAGTGTCCATCCACTTGCTTTGGATGTTCAGGGCTACAGCTGCAAATGCCGTGTGAAACCAGGCAATTGATTTAGCTTACAGTAGATGGCGCATGGCTTTGTACTAGTAGTACGTTGCCCTGGCCGGTCATTCCACGACACCAGCCGTGGTACACAGGGCCACCACACAGAGCTCTGCAGCGACAGCAAAACCGTCTTCCCCAATTGTGCCAGGGTCAACTGCATCGGCTTCGGTGTCATAGTTCTTGGCCCACTTTCCATTGGGGTTGTAGCGTCAATTTGAATCAATTTTGATATTGCTGGCTTTTACGCTTTTCCCTCGGTCAGATCACGTCAATCCAGTTGGTTCTTACCCTTGACATGCCTTGAATGATCCTGGCACAGCTGTCATGCTGGTGGAGTGGTGGAGGAGCTCCCAGAAGCGGAGCGAAACCAACAGAAAGAGCCTAGAGTGGTCGCAGATGAAAGATGTCTCGGAGCTCTCTGCAGCCTGCAATCGTACCTCTACTGAGACAATTTTCGGGGTGCCCAAGACTTGGGCATAATGTGGTAGAGCGGTAGAGCCATCAACTATCCTCAATCAAAATATCATAAATGGGTGGTAAAACATCCTAGTTATGGTAGGTTTATAGGGTCTACCCCATGGCTCAGGTTCGCACCATGGTGACCTTCAGCGGCCTCGATTCGGCGACCCATGCCTGGAACCTAGCGGATCATTGGGGGCGGAGGTCTTCGCAAGGGAAACATCTACAGGGAACCACGGCTTTATCACGAAAGCTAGCGTCAGCTAGCTGGAGTCTTCTTGCTTTAGCAAGTATTCCGGGGGCTGCTCAAGGACATCACGTGATTTTTCACGCGAAAGGCCCCCCCCCACCACCATCATCAGCATCATCGTCATCATCGTCATCGTCATCGTTTTCGTCATCGTCATGGTCATTGGCATGATCTCATCGTCATCATCATCATCATCATCATCATCATCATCATCATCTCCTCATCCTTATCATCCTCATCATCATCATCATCATCCCGATCATCTGCCGCATCCGCTTCATCATCATCATCATCATCATCATCACCATCATCATCATCATCATCATCATCACCATCATCATCACCATCATCATCATCATCGTCATTGTCAGTGTCATCATCATCATCATCATCATCATCATCATCATCATCATCATCTTCATCTTCATCATCATCATCATCATCAACATCATCATCATCATCATCATCACCATCATCATCATCATGAGCATCATCATCACCACCATCATCATCATCATCACCATCATCACCATCATCGTCATCATCATCATCGTCATCATCATCACCATCATCATCATCATCATCGTCATTGTCAGTGTCATTGTCAGTGTCATTGTCTTCGCCATTGTCATCGTCATCGTCATTGTCATCGTCACCGTCATTGTCATTTTCAGCCGTCATCGTCGTTGTCAGCGTCAGCGTCATTGTCATCGTCATCAACTTTGTTATCATCATCATCATCATCATCATCATCATCACCATCCTCATCATCATCGTCATCATCGGCATCAGGTTCGATCCCCCCTGGTCCCCCCCGAGCCTTCCCGAGAGGAGATTTCCGGCTGTTAGAGGGTCAGCATCCTCACTTAGGGTTTGACGCGGAAACGCCACCGACATTTCCCTGCTGACACTGAAGCTACGTCTTCCCTTCCTTCTTTCTCCTACCCCGCTAGCTTTCGTCATCCACCCCCGGCCTCAAGTGTGGTTTTACTATGTCTTTAATTGGGGTAAATGAGTTCAATGACTTTTTTTTTGCTGATTAATCTAATTTTTGATTAATATCATCCAAAATCGTCCTGGTTTGCGCTTGGGTCGCGTCGAAAAAAAACACTGGCCGGATCTAACATGGGATGAGCCGGGATTTTGGGATTCGACACACTTTCAGAGGGGACCTTCAGTTTTATCTTCCGGCGACCACCATTTTAGTCCCACCATTTGTTGTGTGGTCCCGAAGCATCTCCTTGTGGGTCAAAACTGTGAGGTCATGACCTACGAAGTCTTCAGCCGCCAGAAGAAGGTGCTCCACTGCCTGCAGGCCTGGGACCTGGTGGATTCCAGGCTTCGGATGAGTTGTGGGCAATGGAAGATGTCTCAAAAATTCTCAAAATATGATTCAGAAGAACTGATCCAATGTGGCCCAAGAACAAATCATTTAACACTTCTGAAGTAAAGAACCCTTCAAGATTTTCCTTTTTTGGTTTATCATCCATTTTTTTTTATGTTTTACCAGTGTTCACCACCGTTTGTTACCAACACATTTGACCATTCCCTCCCCAGATCGCACAGGCGCTGAGACAGTTGTGGGAGCTGGGTGGAGAGGACAAGTTCTACTACAAGTTGGTGGCTCCGTTGCTGGGTCGAAAGGAATGGGGCTGCTGGCTCGTTTGTGATACATACCTGGCCCGTGTAAGAAAAATCCTGGCTGGGTGGTGGAATACAATTGTTATTGTTATTTTTCTTTACATGAATTGTTCTTATTTCGATACCTAAGTCTTTTGCTATGGGGATTCGTACTAATTGGTGTATTTAGGTGTCAGTTGGCTATGGCTCTGAAAATGGGGTACGAAAATGCACCCAATTTTCGATTGTTATACAGTGATATCAGTGATACCTGTATACCAAGTAAAAGATTGCAACCAGCAAAATGCGGTCAGTTTGCCCCGCTATCCCGTTGTCATCCATATCCTAAACTTGTACAGCCGTACCCATACTTAGATCACAGGTGTTCCATTTCTTTTCGTGCTGCAGAAGGGTTGGTGAATTTTGTTGAGAGGCATCAACCATCTTCTATCTGCTGAAACAAACCACTACTAACCCACGCAATCCCAGGTAAATCGCAGGTAAATCCCAGCAACTGGGGCATTTTGGGGTGGTTCGAAGTGGTCATGGTCTGCCCACTCCCAGGCTGACGCACTTCTGCTTCGTCATGGACTTGGAGTTCGCATCTCAGATGAGTTTCTGGGGCGTATGGAACTCCAAGCTTGGCATTAAAAAGTGCCTGCTTTCAAGGAGTTGGATTTACGTGACAGAGATAGGATGAAACTAGCCGTTGAACAGTCTACAACCAAAAAGAGAGTCACCGCAATAAACTGGACACCGCAACCCCTGAAATTCTGGGGGAGCTCCCTGGCCACCCTGGCATCTCAGGAAGGACGTGCCGGAGCAGATTTGCAAAGAAGTGGTTGGGGAAGCCCAGTGACAGACGCAGATGTGGGCGCCCACGTGCGCATTGGAGAAGAGACGACTTGGCTGAGGAACTTCTAGTGGTACTTGTACCAGAAAGCTGAAAACAGACCGAACCCTCTATGTTCAGACCGCTTGTCAGCCAAATTGCAGAGACCTTTGCTCTTTCCAATTTGCTCTTTCCAAGTTACACTATGACAGAACTTCTGCAGGAGGAGTTTGGCATTTTGTGAGACGCATTTCTTTGAACCCAGTGGATGACCCCGGTGACAGTTTTTCAAAGATGGCTGAATGGCCATTTCATGAATTTACTCTGGACTGGCTTCCTGCCGACTGTGCTTAGAACTCGACAGGAATGCTGGCGATAAAGGGTTTGGTACTTCTGAGGAAAAAGAGTCAACAGATTCAACAGACCAACAGAAATCAAAAAGGAAAACAACTATCAGATAACTATCATCATGTTGGGAAAGTCTGCCATAAAAGACCTACTGTACCATTTGGGGTGAAAATCTCCCAGCCATGAAAATGGCTGGAGATCACCACAGCTGCGAGGTGCTCCCTGAGATCGCCGTGATCCTGGGCGGCGAAGGTGCAACCAGGGAACAGGGGTTGGTGGAGGAGATTTTTCCTCCAAATCGGATGTGTGATTCGGTAGCAAGTAGAAACCGAAGCTAAGTCCCACCACTCGAAGTGTGAGAAAAGCGCAGGCAAAGGCAACCCTTTTGATGGGGCTGCAAACCATGTAGCCACGGGGCTGTATCCTAGGATGTCCTCGCCCTAGGGGTATATTGGGCCATAGGGCCAGTGAGAAAACAAACAGGATTCCAATCCCACAATTGCATGGCATGAAATTCACACCGGTGGAAATGGAAGTTGGAAAAAGAAAACAGGCATTGCTACCAGCTATCGCAACCTACTGGTGGTTTCACCAGGTGGAGCCTGGTTGTCAGGGTATACTGACCCAGGCAATCCACACAATAAGTGCACCAAGTCCTATGAAGGATCTGTCCAGCTGTGCGATTTCTCAGGCACTGATAGCTTGCATGCCAAGCTCTTCCTTCGGCGGTGAAGTAGATCTGTTGCTGGCACGCTTCAACGATCGTTCTGCGGCGATCGTGGTTGAAGTCTCGGATGATGGTGGTCAGATTGTCGTTGTCGCGCTCCAACTCACGTATTTGTTGGAGATGGTTCTCCGATTCTTCCTCCAACCCGATGTTCCTGAGCAGCAGGGCATTCAGATCGTTGATCAGATCATCTTCAGTTTGGATGGCCACATCCTTGGTCTCCAGGGCTTTTGCCTCTTTGAGGCTCATCACCTTCCAGAGATTCACAAGGATCGCCAAAAGTTGGCGTGGCACTGCCGCAATCCAATGGCACATGGACAACAGTCCAGCCAGCACCAGAATGCCGAAGAGCATCGTAATGATCGTGGTAGTGAGCTCGTACTCGGAGTCGTTGGTGTTCAGAATGTAGGTGAAGTTCATCTCCTGGTCGTAGGTCTCAACAATCTCGTAGGGCATCGCTTGCGTCGCAGCAGTGCAAAATGCTGCAAACATAGTTGTTGCTGTGGTCATCGCCGTGGGCTTTCTGATCGCGTACTTCTCTGCTCCTTTCTTTCTCTCTGCTGCTGTCTTCTTCTTGCTGGCGACAAAGTCCTCGTCACTCTTGAGTCGCGTGAGATGGCTTCTCAGGCGATCTGCCAGCAGTTGGGCCGCACTAGCCTTTGTAAGGCCGTCAGAGTATTGCAACTCTGAACTCACCCACATGCTTCCTGCTCCGCAGCATTGAAGTTTGTCTTGAGTGACCAAGACTTCAATTGCGGTCCTCTTGTCTGTTGAGCTTCCAGCTTGGATCTCCTTCTGTGCTAAGAGGTCGAAGAGGGCCTTCGCGTCCACAATCAGCTTTGGCTGATTTGGTAGCTGAGCAGTCTTTGGGTCGTCCAGTTGCAGCCAGGGGCTCCAAATCAAACGCCAGAAGGTCGTGGCAAAGAGGAGGGCGTCTGATGCCTCACCAGCAGCTTGGCTTTCAGCAGCCAATGTCGATCTGGAAACTCTCGCTAGCTTCCAACTTCTCCAGTCGATGACATTGTAGGCTCCTTCTCCTCCAGTCGTCACATCGCGGTGGACCATGATGAGGAAGTAGCCTCCCTGGCTTGAAAGGTCATCTCTTGATGCAAAGGATGCATCAGAGTATGCTGCAAAGGTGATCTCCTCCTTGGGGCCAATGTGGCGAAACTCCAAACCAACGTCAGAGTTCTGTTTTGCAAACCTGAGGCATCGGTTTGCTGTGTCCAGCGTTGAGGTCGTTGCTTTTGACACTTGGCCAGCAAGGGTTGACACCATACATTGTAGGTGTGGGCTTGATTGAACAGCAGGCCATTGAAGTCCACCAATCAGTCCACGTAGGGCTGTCTTCTCACGATCTGTCACCTCCTTGTTGGATCCTTGACGTTCCTTCGGGTAGGTGATTGGCTTCTGTTTTGTCAGGTACTTCTCATGGTGGATCTTCCAATGGTTCTCACCAAGTTTGGTGATTTGGGCACCACAGTTATATTCCAACTCGTTCTTGTCATTGGCCGTCACCCACTCACGGAAGTTGAAGATGCCCTTGAGGTTCTTCAGCAGGATCTCAGTGTGCTCGTCGTTCTCGTCGTAGCAGCCGAAGATGTCGTCCACGTGGATGCCGAAGAGCGCCAAGAGTCGTGGTTGATCTTCTCCTTCAGGTGGTGGTGGATGTATGGGCTTGTCAAAGGCCAGGAAGAGACAAGCATCGAGTGGATGTTGCACAATGGCACCGTTGCCCATGGTGAGAATTCTCTCCGTTGCCTCTTCGTACCATGCTCGAGGAGCATCACAAAGTCCATACATGGGCTTGACCAATTTCATCAGCTTTCCATGACCTTCAGGTAGTCCAAGAAGTTGTTCTCCATCTTTTGGAAGTTTCACCCAAATGATCCTCTTGGAATCAGGGTCGAAGTTGCGTCCTTGAAGGAAAGCTGTTGAGATGTCGCTTGTGAAGATAGTCATCCCCATCATCGTGGCCACGCTCATGATGAAGTTCCTTGAGAGGCGCGTCAAGGTTGGCGACGCTGTGGAAAGATTTCCAAGGTGAGCATCTGGATCTCGAAAGCCTTGAACCACAAGTCGGGCTTTTGCCCTTGGGGCTCCATTTTCATGCTTCTTCCAAGTCAGGATGAAGCGGGCTTTGAGTACCCTGTCAGCTGGGGCGTTGTCGGCGTCGTCAAAGAGCCATACTTGGTTCTGAAAGAAGCTTTCCAACTCCTTCTTCTTGGCTTCCATGAATGACAGTCTGTCATCCAGGCTCATGTTTCGCTCTGAGAGCGGGGCATTGCTTGTGGCCTTGGCCTCGTTGTAGTACATGGTTTCCTTACCCTCACTCTTCTCCAGGAAGACTCGTTTTGCCTCCTTTCTCCACGCAGGGCAGAGCTTGAACCTTGTGTAGCCGGTCCAGTAGAAGCCGGTGTTGAGCTTCTTGTTCTTTGAAGGTCGCGTCCATTTGTCGCGGACCAGGTGTGATCCCATCTTGGTGTAGCGGTCCTTCATGAAGTAGTTCAGTGGCAATGGACAGGTCTCTTCATCCAGCTTGTAGTCGGTGTTGCGGGGCACATAGTGCTTCCGTGTGAGGTAGTTGCCTTCCAGCTTCCACTCATCCTTGATGGTGTCCATCGAGAGCATCCCCTTTTCCACAAGCCATCCCGTAGGAAGGCCAAGCTCCTTGATGATGTCAACGTCGATGGTGGCGTTGGCTGCATCATCTGAGGACAGGGGTTTTCCAGAGTATGGTGTCGCTCTGGGCTCCTGTGGTCGATCTGGTCCATAGGATTGAGGTGGTTTAAACAGCAAGGCAGTTTGCCTTTCCATTCTCGCACGCTGTTGGGCAAATGTCTCACCTCCCGCAGGTGGTTGGAAAAGTTGTTGCTGGGCTTCAGGTACTTGAAAGTTGGGGTTGTCGGCCAAAGCAGGGTCTGGTCGCACAGAAGGTACCATGGGCTCCTCTGCAGGCTCAGTCTCTTGGCTCATTGGACTGATGGAAATTGCATGTTGATCTTGTTGTCCTTGTTCAACAGGAAGTGGGTCAAGTCCTCGGACGTTTCCTCCATGTGAGGTGTTTCCAAGGTTCGTGGTTGAAGGTCCTGCTCCAGGTGGTTCTTGTTCTGCTTCAGAAAGATGTCCTCCTCCAGGATGTCCTTCGTCATCAGAACGTCGTTCATCGTCAGGAAGTGGGGGTCCAGGGCTGTAGCCGCCGTCGTTGTCGGAGAGCTGCTCGGTGTTGATGAAGAAGGTCGTAGTCCCAGTCCAGACATAGTGCATCTCCCGGTCTGCATTTGGAAGTCGCCATTCGTCTCGGATTCTGATGTGCTCGGGGTTGGGGCTCCCTCGTCTGATGTCAGTGGCACGCTCCGGTAGGAAGAGGTGTACCGGCACATCTGCTGTAAGCTCTGGCAAATAGAGCTTTCGGCGAGGGGTGTTGTGGATCCTCGTCCAAAGTCTGCCATCTTCCGAGACTTGCCATCGGTCAGGTGGAAGTTGATGTCCAGGAAGTTGATGTAGATCTTCATCCATGTCGTCGGCCTCCTCGTCGGTGGCGATCTCTTCTCGATGTCGCTTGTTGCTCTTGTTGAGGTCGATGTAGTGAGTCACTCCGCGATTGCGGATGTTGTTCAAGGCCTGTTTGGCCGTGTCCAGAGGATCTCTTGCCTTCTCAGTCACATCCTGGATAGGCGTTGCCGCCTTGATGTGTTCTGGGGCTGCCCTCAACAAGACTGTCCCGTGGCCAATCCAGTAGACGTCTGTGTGAGGTCCATGAGGCCCGGGCTCGCGCATGATCACTGTGGCCGGTCCACGCCACTTCAACTTTGCAGAACTGCCAGGGGGCGTGTCACGCCAGTAGTAGCAGAGGTCTCCAGGTTGTAGGAGTAGTGGCTGGCCCATGTACTTCCGAAGAAGTGCTCGGCGTAGTCGGTGATCCATGTCGGCCTCTGACATCGCTTTGCAGGCTTGTTGTTGCAGTCGAAGCTTTTCCATGAACCTCTCAGATGGGTCCAGGTGTGCTGGATTGCACAGCGATGATTCTTCTGACAGAAGGCCGGGCACATGTGGCGTGTAGCCCAAGACCCACTGGATCGGGCTGAATCCATGGACATTTGGTGTCCTGTTCAGTTGGGGCACAATGTAGTTCAGCGCTATGACCAGAGCATCTCGGTCAGCTGCCACCGTGGGGTTAGACTCCAAGAAGAGGCTGATGGCCTTGCGGGTCACTTGATGTCTCCTTTCCAAGATGGCCAATCTGGTATGTGCTTGTCCAGGGCTGATCACCAACTGGATGCCTTGCTCAGTTGCCCATTCTCGCATGGCATCTGATGACCAGGCTCTGTGTTCATCGACCTGCAAGGTCTTCATTGGTCCAAAGAATCCAATCCAGGCCATTTCAAATTGCTTGATGTACTCCTCGGTGGTCTCTGCTTTGAGATGTCGTGCTGCAAGAAGTCGGGTCATCGCATCTGACATCATCAGCACAGGCTGTTTGTTGCGAACACCCGGAACCTTGATCCAAAGGGTGTCGGCTTGAACACGGTCATTGAAGGCTGTGTCTTTCGGCATACTTGAAACTGGGACACCCGTTGGCCTCTTGTGCCAATCACACAGGCCACATTCATGCTCTTGTGCAGCTTGTAGAAGAGTGTCACTTGCATTCTTCGACTTCAAAAGTCGGATGAGCTCCTTGTTGGAGGGGTGCCCAAGGTTTCGGTGCAACCGCATGATTGTCCTCTTGGCCGCTTGTCGGTTCTCCCCATCCAGTCGTCGAAGAACTCCTCGACGTCGTTGGATCTCCTGTTTGGGATCAGGGTCTTCAGCAGGTAGTGGAGGATCGACGTCGGAGATGGCGTCCAGGTCCACATCGTTGCGCTCGTCAGTCTCCTCGCCAGCGTATACCTCGGAGTTGATGTAGTGAGCGTCCTCGATGTCCTGGTTGATGAAGATGTTCACGATCGCTTGACTCAGGCAGCTGCAGAAAACACCTTGGTAAACTCCTGATGCTGCCGCTCTGTTTCCAACTCCAGGTGAGCTGCCTTCCAGAGGAAGGTGGTAGTGTTCACCTGGGCAGAGCCGGTTGAGCTCATTTGCCATGCCTTCATCGGTGCATTGCAACCTTGTGGGTTTCTTGATGTACTGGTCGTTGCCGTCGTTGTCAGCCATCATGACTTCGAACTGGCATTGGTCCAAGAGGCATGGTGTGCCAGGCAAATCATGGAAAGTTCGGGTCTTCCAAGACACCGCATACCTGGGCTGCTCAATGGCTCCATGTCGTCCTTCACGTCGTTGCTTCAGATAGCTTCGACGGACCATTTTCAGGTGCACTTTTCCTGATAGTCACGTTCATCTTGAAGAGCTCGTCGTCGATCTTCTGTCATGTTCAGCTGTTGCAGAGGTGACCACTCAGTGCACTTTGGGCTGTACCAGATGAAGTCTGGGCACACTCGATCTTGAAGATCCAAGAACTCGCGGCGATGAGCTGCGATGTCAAAGTCCCATCCCGTGTTGTAGTCGAAGGAGAGCACCTCCCATCCATAGTACTTCATCGTCTCAGACAAGTTGGCTGAGCCGCTGTAGACCTCCCAGAAGATCCGTCGGCCTTCTTGATGGGCATAGAGAACTTTCTCCACGGTCTCCTTGCGCTTCTTGTTGAAGCTGTTGAACTCCATGTGCATGGTCTTGATGAGCTTCGAGGTGATCTCACGGCGAACGGCCGTAGGGTCCTCGGTGTAGGTCTCGTCCAAGGGGTCGTCGGAGAAGGTCTCGTCCTCGGCAGTCTCGTCCTCCAGGAAGGCGGTCTCAGGTGGTGTCCTGTTGGTCATCGAGAGGTACTCGTGGATGGAGATGTAGTTGTCCAAGTCCTCGTAGTTGTTGATGGCATCACAGGTGTCGCTTGTCACGTAGTCGAAGCTGATGTTCTTCCCTTCGGGATCGTCTCCAACTCCATGATCCAAGCACAGCAGGTATTCACCTTTTTCACCCATGGTGGCATCTTTCCATTCTCCATCTTGGATGGAAACCTTGTTGAGGTTGTAGTCGATCTTGATGTTGAGGGCTTGCAAGATTGGTCGGCCAATCAGCAAGGGAGTGCTGCCTTCCACAATGAAGGTCTCGATGTAGCCAGCTTTTCCTTCTATGTAGACTGGAAGTCTGACTGACCAGTCTGCTTGACGGTTTGCATCACCGCCAAATCCAAACAGCTTGTTGGTTGAGGCAAAGAGGAAGCGCTCCACAGGGACACCTCTGGCTTTCATGTGGTCGATGATCTTCATGAGCACTTCGTGTCCACATAACTGAAGAGGCTCCTCCATCTTGAATGCCATAGAGGCCAGCTTGACCAAGCATTGGTACCCCATTAGGTCGTTTCTTCGCCAAGTCACGGACCATCATGGCACTGTCCGTTTTGGCTTTCTTCGTTGGTGAAGAAGTGGTTGAAGGTGCAGGGCTCGACCTTGATGGGGAGTTGGTGCAGTTTGCTGCCCAATGTCCAGCTTGTCCGCAGCGCAGGCACTTCGTAGCATTTGCTCTTGAAGTTGGGCTTCCACGTTGAGGAGGATGAGATTGCCTGTAAGAAGGCGTTCCTTTGATCTTGCCCTTACCAGGCTTCCCTTTTCCCACGCCCTTCTTCATTGGTGGTCGGGGTGCTTGTGATGAGGATGGCATGGACCGAGCTCCTCCATCTGCCAGTGCCACCACAGGGTAGTACCCTCTTGCCGCTTTCAACTGAGAGAAGTGGCGCCTGGCGTCAAGGTATGACGCGTAAGCTTCTTCCAATGAAGCTTCATCACCATAGACCTCGTCCGGGAACTCGGTGTCCTCGTAGTCCAGGGCGTTGAAGGCGTCCTCATCGTAGTAGGGCTCTTCGCACTCTTCAGGCCAATCTTCATCGGCTTCAGCCTCATCCCATTGCTGGTAGGCATAGTCCTCCATGTAGGGCTCGTCCATCTCGTAGACCTCCTCAGCGTTGTAGCCATATCCACGGTTGTTCCATCGTCCATAGGTTTTGCCCTTCCATCGAGAGGCTGTGTCGACAGGCTTGCCCTTGTAGTCCTGTCCCAGTAGGAAGTACATAGCTTCCACCACCTTGGCATAGGTCAGCTTGGGGTTCTGGCTCAGAATCAGTTGCTTCTGCTCATGGGTCAGGCCGGAGCGACGCAGAAGGATCCATCCGCTGACTTTGTCAGAGATTTGAACTCCATGCTTCTCGACCTCGCCCAAGGCTTCACGGTGGTCAGCCACGTAAGACAGCAAGGTCTGGTCTGGCTTCCTCGAAGTCCCATAGAAGAACTTTTCGAATGCCCTTGGCATCTCCACGTCCTCATTGTATCTGAAAGTTGCGTCCAGCTCGGCCAAGATGAGGTCGAAGGCGCCCTCGTCCTTGGCCAGGATGTTGTCCACCTTTGGTTCCAGCTGTCTCCAAGCCACTCCATGAAGGCTCGTCAGCACGTTCAAGACAGCTTCCTTGCCCTTGTTCTGAAGCTCCAGCTTTCGTCGGTACAAGTTGATCCTCTGTCTCCACTCGCGGTAGTCGGTCGGCTTGTTGCTGAAGACAGGGATGTACGTGTCTTTCATCAGCTCCATTCCTGAGGTTGAAGAGGTAGTAGTTGGTCCATCTGCTGCGCTCGGCATTGCAGTTGGCCAGGCTGATGTTGACGTCCAGGTCGTAGGCGATGTCCTTGTCGTAGGCGATGTCCAGGTTGTTGGCGATGTCCAGGCTGTAGTAGGGGACCAGGTGGTGAAGATGAAGTTGAAGAGGTAGAAGTGGATGTAGTTGCGCAGTGGTTGGTGTAGGTGTTCAGGTAGTACAACTTTTGCAGGTTGTTGTGTTGCCGTAGAGCTCCGGAGCACGCCGGCTCCGCTACCAATGTGATTCGGTAGCAAGTAGAAACCGAAGCTAAGTCCCACCACTCGAAGTGTGAGAAAAGCGCAGGCAAAGGCAACCCTTTTGATGGGGCTGCAAACCATGTAGCCACGGGGCTGTATCCTAGGATGTCCTCGCCCTAGGGGTATATTGGGCCATAGGGCCAGTGAGAAAACAAACAGGATTCCAATCCCACAATTGCATGGCATGAAATTCACATGATGGTTTATCTTTACTTTCCCCAGAAAAATCACATCTGAGGGGATATATGTCCTTTTTTCTTGGTAGAATGGATTTTGCCAAAATTCCACATGGATTTTTTGGGCAGATCATTTGCCAGAAGGGTGACTTGTCTGGCCAACAGCATGGACATGACTTGACCGAGGTGCCACACCTTTCACCTCGGTGGCGCAGATGAGAGAGGCCACTTGGGAATGGGACCAAGGAATACCAAGGACACCTCTGAAACCCATTTGAGTCTTCTAGAAATAGAATGGTCATAAGATGTCATAAGAAATTTAGAACCAGAATCCACAGTTATAGAAATCATTTTGGTTTTCTACGTGGATTTTGATGATTCTTTGGTTTCCCACATATGCAAAATGCTCATGTTTGGTTCAACCAATACTATTTCGAACAACAACGAACAATATTCAACAATTCTTCCTTTATCCTGGTTGCTCAGTTGGTGACTGCGTCAGAACTTATAGTTGGGAACCCTAAACAACCAGAAATAAATTGTGATTCACCCAGTTCCAACCATTTATGAATGTAGGTATTCTTCACTACCATAGGGAAACAACCACTTATTTTTTGGTTCTTTGGGGTTCCAGGTAGTTTGTGACACCTGCGAGGCGGCTTCCAAGGTGGTCGACCAGGTGGAAGTGCGGATCAAGGCTGTGATTTTTGGGGCGGTAAACATGGGTTGAACATGGTTGAAGTGGGATTGAAATCTGAGTGAGTGACTTGTGATATTTATTTCAAGATGAGTAGGATCATACGCTTTTTTGCACGCGGATTTCATCGCAAAACGCCCAGGGAGCATCCGACATCTTCCTAGTGGAGGTGCTCTATGGTGCGGGACCCCAAAAAGAGGTGGACCATGGTGGACCCGTCGGAAACTCGTGCATTGGTTCATAATATACCCCCATCCCATGCCTGTTAGATACACCAAAAAAGATACACACTGGTGATCATCATTATCTCAACAGATGCAGATTCAAAGACTTGGTTTGTTACCACCAACTGATAGGCGTAAAGCCGGTTTTCCCAATGAGAGATGCGACCTGCCAGGCCTGAAATGCCTGAAGGCCGCTGGAAGAGATAGAGCAGCACTGCTGGAGGCAGCAACGTACCGGCGCCTTTTCTTCTTGTGCCGTGCACAAAAAGCGAGCAAAACATGGGGGATATGGTTGGCTCATTTGTCTGACCAGGAACACCTGGGGCCAGTGACCAAGAATTGGATGTGAGCAACCAAGAATGGATGTTAGAAGTGATATTGTTGGGTATTGAATCATCAGCTGGGGTCAGACATCCCTTGGTTGGAGCACAGGACCGATGCCAGGATCTCTGCACGGAATGTTAGAGGGTCAAATGAATGACAGTTTTATTGATGAACAATCTCATCAAACTCCCCATTTTATTGGTAAACTGCCCATTTCTCAAGAGATTGTTGATCAGTAAAGCGGCGTCTTTGTTTGGGAAAATCTCCATTTCATTGCCATTCAATTCAATAGCTGGGCCTAATAGATATATTCGCTTTGAAATTATACAGCAGATATTGAAGAGTCCCCCCAAAAAATAATACAAAGTCCGAAGTCCCCACAAATATAGTCTGGTTGGTGGTTTCAAACATGGCTTTTATTTTCCATTTCATATTTGGGATAATCCTTCCCATTGACGAACTCATATTTTTCAAGATGGTTAAAACATGTTAAAACCACCAACCAGTAGTTCATTTACATTACTGATATCAACTAATGAATATTAATCACTATGAATGGACAATCACTATTAATGGTAACCCACATATTATGGACATTGTATAATGGATTTCCCCCAAAAAGTCCATGCAGCTATGAACATTTCCCATTTTCTTCTGTCGACATCTCCGATCTTCCAGGCCTGGAAGCCTCAGGGCGTGCCTTGACCAAAACAGCAGGATCCATGACCGGCCATTTCGCGGTGGTTCACGAGAAATATGGACAATGGAGAGTTGAGTTTTTTTTTTTTAATGGTACGTTTTTTTTTGTGAGAAATGAGTTCTTGTTGATGTTGTTGATGTTGTTTTTTTCTATGGCACGAAATCATTGATGGTGCCTTTTCAGATTCATTGCATCGGCGGTCTGCGGTATGCAGAGCGTTCGCGGATGGCTCAGGTGATGTGCCTGAAGGAGAGCAGGAAACTGCTCGCCTACCTGGAGAAAGAGTTCGGCAAGGCCCAACTGGGGTTTCAGCTGCTTTTTCTTGTGGTTCATGGTCTACAGTTAGTTTATTCCATATCAAAAACCCTGCTACAATCAAGGCGTACTACAATCAATGCATCTTCACGGGCCATATCCATTGGGTGTCACTGATATCTTCGCATAGTGGATGGGGGTTGAAGACCATACAAGATCATATGAATCCATTCAACTAGTATCCCACTATATCCCACTGTATCTCACCATATCCCACTGTATCCCACTATGTCCCAATAGAATGGTTGGGGATATCCCCCACGATATCAGTGGTTGTAGACCTGCCATTTTCGCCGGCCAAACGCATCCAGCTGACCACAGGACTCTCCGGCGTGGACCAAGTTGCAGAAGCGGTGCACGGAGTTTTTCCCCTTGATGGTCCTCTGGATGTTTACTGGGATCCCTCCGGGTGGTGCCCAGTTCGTTAGCGATCAGTTGGTTGAAATAAGTCCAATAACTTGGGTTTATGGTAGATATATCAACCATATATAGTGATATATCTTATCTACCATAGGTTTATAAACCAGCTGATATATCTAACATCGATGTGGAAAATCTAATAATCTAATAGTTCTAGATGATTTTCATAGGGAAAACACATGGGTTTTCCAATGTTAGCTTCCCCTATGGTAACCAAGCATTTCTTGGGAACCCCCCGGGGAAGATTCACCAGAACTTGATGATACTCTCTGCTAATTTGGACAAAAATGCTTGCAATGTTGGTGGGCGCGATACGGCTTGGTTTTGGGGGCGTAGTAGGGATAGGTATTGTTGGATGTCCAGTGATGGCCATTTGGCCATTTGGGAGTGATCTGCACAAAGGACGCTGAAAGATTCAATGGTCTGTGATTCTTGTGCTTTTGACTGTGAGATTGGAAAAATCCAAAGATCCACGACCACAGTTTTTTGGGCCCTGAAAATGGGCAATATATGGTCAAATGGCTATCAAATCATCGGGGAAAATGATGATCAACGATGAAATTTGGCTGCCTCTGCAGGTCATTTCCTGACGCCCGGGGGTAAGTTTTGGAGACTTCTCCGCTGCGCCGCGGACGTAACACGAACAGTGGGCCCCCCCAAAGGCCCAACGCCAACACCACAGCCATTGGGACAACCCACACCACACCAACCTGCCCTCAGGGTATTGTTCCTGCCGTGGGGCACCACTTTAGAGTTCAGTGTCTCACAAGTTCTGACAAGCACAGCGCCAACTACATGATTTTTGGACAGCAATTTTTACTGGCAAGCAGTGCAAGATTTTTTTTTGCACTGCAGTTTTAAATTGAACCTTTTTTGGTTATAGCGCAGTGCTTTTCAGGAGTATTTGCTCCATTCTGAGTCCCGCAGGAACGACAAAAAAGTGCGAACTCCGGAGTATTGCCACCCCAAAACGGATGCGTTGGATTCTCAACACAACTTAGGGTACTCTTGCATGGATTGCCTACTTAGAATGTATAGACATAGATGCCAATTCTGGGCCATGGTTCCCAGTCCGGAAAGACCAACTGTTGAGATAATAGAAACCAAGTTGGATACATACCTACATTATATGTATAATATATATATACACATACATATTTATCATGAAAGGCCTGGTGGTCCTGCAAAATTCAACATCTTTCTTGCTCCAGGGAATTGGCCTCGACCCGACGCCGACAGGGCTCATTTTACAGGCAAGTTAGCAGTCGACACTGGGACGCACTCGTGGCACTTGAGCAGGAGCAGAAATCTGTGGTCAAGTGGTCCCTAAACCCTAAACCCAAAGCTCCGCTTCTTGGGATGATTTGGTATGGTTACCATGGTTCAACTTAGCAGATCTTCAAGAGGTGTTGACAGAGGGTGAGAGAGTGGGGACTCTGCTGCCACTTCTTTTGCAGGACATGGCATTCCTCATGCTCTTGACCGGCTTTTGCGCAGGTGGGCAACAGATGTGGCCGATATTCAACCTCTTTCGAGCTCGACACTGGAAGCTCCAAAATTGGGACTTGCCCGGAGGTTCCCTACAGCACCAAGTTACAGTCACATGAAACAGCTAGATGTTGCAATGGTAATGACTAGTGTTGATATTTGTTAGTAACAACCATAGTCATTTGAATTGCACTAAATTACAGTAGTATAGCCATATATTTGGTAGTATATAATTATAAATCATAAAACATAATGAGTATTAATGAGTAATATAATAGCTATTGTTGATATTTGGCAGTTATAGTGGGTCATCGGTTATTGTTCCCCGTATTGCTGCTTTCTTCAGCTATAGCTGGGGGACCTGACCAGGTATTGCCCTGGGTGCGTACCAGGAGGGGAAACTCTTGGAATGTGAGGCTTAAGATACGGTCGGAAAATATCCCCTGGACCAGATAGCATATGGGATGTTCAAAGGTATTCCGAACTCCTGTTTATATAGTGAGTTTTTTTTGACATGTCCATATTCTACTTACTCCGGGATGACTTTTAAATATTTAACTTGGATGGATGGGAAGTAGCTGCAGCTGCAGCTATCAGTAGCCTCCTGGAGTTCCACACTGCTGGAAAGTCACAGCGAAACCAAATTTCTGTCGGTCAGGACAAACATCTGAAGCCCGTCTATGACACCGTCTTTTCCAAGTCCGCCACCCTGTGGCAGGACCACGGGACGACTTACTGGAAACAAATCGCTCAAGCAATCGCCAGATCTGAGGGTTTTTATGTCATGTGGTATAAGACACAGAATGATATACCACGCCTGATTTTACATTATTGAGACAAACCTCACGGCTCGTGACTTTGGCATTTTTCCGTGAGTTTATTTGGAAGGGTAATTTGAAATGAATGCGTTTGCGTAGGCATGATTTTCCGTTTATCGGAAATTCACTTGGCCTCAAGTGGTGAAGAACTGAAACAAGTGCCTATGCCTAGTTCGTATGTGAAAATACCCATAGTGGAGCAGTGACTGTCTCAACCCATCGACTGATCCCAGCTACCCAATTGCAACACATGGGGTAGTCCCAATGGCTTGCCAGTCAACAACTAGAAAGTTCTCCATCACTATTCCATTGATCTCTGTTCTTGTTGGTCATCTGATACCCCCCATTTGCAACAAAAGGTCACCATGTTTGTTTCCTAGCACAATAGTAACCAATGTCAGTTGGAATGCTTAGGGACTCAGCCTCCGCTAGGACAAAGTGTTGGCCGGATTGCAGAAGCCCGCAGAAAGTTGAGGTGTGCGGTGGCAGGATGTGGGATGATTTGGAGATGTAGGGCCCAAGGTCAAGTATCTGCGATGTCTATAGATATCTCAGCAACGAACAAACTGGGACATTTGGCTAACAAAACCCCGGCTTTCTGCATCACCCACCATCGCGGGTTTCACCAACATAGAAACCAACCGAAATGGGTGACTGGTTGTGTGAGTCCCAACGTGATTAGCATAGCCGATGTGGCTTGACCATCCCAGTGGCTGATGTACTCCGCGGAAAACCGCCATTCGGCAGGACGACACGGCGGACCATGCAACATCCTGGTGGATTGTGACTTCGCAGCACCCAATGCTTCGGCCCTGAATCCACCTGAGGTGTGGCCGGAGGCGGGTCCTCTACCGGGGACTTTGGGGGGTGGAAGATGGCCAAAGGTTGTACAGGGACCACAAGGATTTCACGAAAGGTAGCCTCCAAGCGGGCTACCTTGAGTTTTACTTTGCGAAGCAAAGGGGCGGGGCTGGACCCCTTATCCCTGAACGACCAGGAGAAAGGGACCCCCCCCCCCCCCCCCCCCCCCCCCCCCCTCATCAGCCTCATCAGCCTCAGCCTCAGCCTCAGCAGCAGCATCATCATCATTATCGCAGCATCAGCATTCATCATCATCATCATCATCATCATCATCATTCATCATCGTCATCGTCATCATCGTCATCGTCATCGTCATCGTCATCGTCATCGTCATCGTCATCATCGTCATCATCGTCATCATCATCATCATCATCGTCATCGTCATCGTCATGTTACTCCTATCATCTTCTATCATCCTCATCCTCATCCTCATCATCAGCCTCAGCATCCTCATCATCCTCCTCCTCCTCATCATCCTAATGTTATTCACTTGTTCCTTCCTGTCGCTCTACGCACACACAGACGCCTTTACACACAGACACTTTTACACACAGACCATTTTACACACAGACACTTTTACACACAGAAGCTTTTAAACACAGAAGCTTTTACACACAGAAGCTTTTACACACAGACTCCTTTACACACAGACGCTTTTACACACAGACACTTTTACACACAGACTCCCTTACACACAGACGCTTTTACGCACAGACACTTTTACACACAGACCATTTTACACACAGACACTTTTACACAAAGAAGCTTTTAATCACAGAAGCTTTTACACACAGAAGGTTTTACACACAGAGGCTTTTACACACAGACTCCTTTACACACAGACGCTTTTACGCACAGACTCCTTTACACACAGACGCTTTTACACACAGACACTTTTACACACAGACTCCTTTACACACAGACGCTTTTACACACAGACACTTTTACACACAGACTCCTTTACACACAGACGCTTTTACACACAGACACTTTTACACACGGACCATTTTACACACAGACACTTTTACACACAGAAGCTTTGACACACAGAAGCTTTTACACACAGACTCCTTTACACACAGACGCTTTTACACACAGACACTTTTACACACGGACCATTTTAGACACAGACACTTTTACACACAGAAGCTTTTACACACAGAAGCTTTTACACACAGACTCCTTTACACACAGACGCTTTTACACAGACGCTTTTACACACAGACTCCTTTACACACAGACGCTTTTTCACACAGACGCTTTTACACACAGACAATTTTACACACAGACACTTTTACACACAGAAGCTTTCAAACACAGAAGCTTTTACACACAGAAGCTTTTACACACAGAGGCTTTTACACACAGAGGCTTTTACACACAGACGCTTTTACACACAGACTCCTTTACACACAGACGCTTTTACACACAGACCATTTTACACACAGACACTTTTACACACAGAAGCTTTTAAACACAGAAGCTTTTACACACACAGAAGCTTTTACACACAGATGCTTTTACACACAGACTTCTTTACACACAGACGCTTTCACACACAGAAGCTTTTACACACAGAAGCTTTTACACACAGAGGCCTTTACACACAGACGCTTTTACACACAGACGCTTTTGCATACAGACCCTTTTACACACAGACCCTTTTACACACAGACGCTTTTACACAGCGAAGCTTTTACACAGAGAAGCTTTTACACGCAGAAGCTTTTACACACAGAGGCTTTTACACAGACTCCTTTACACACAGAGACTTTTACACACAGACGCTTTTACATACAGACACTTTTACACACAGACCCTTTTGCACAGAGAAGCTTTTACACACAGAAGCTTTTACGCACAGAAACTTTTACACACAGAAACTTTTACACACAAACACTTTCACACACAGAAGCTTTTACACACAGACACTTTTACACACAGAAGCTTTTACACACAGAAGCTTTTACACACAGACTCCTTTACACACAGACGCTTTTACACACAGACACTTTTACACACAGACGCTTTTACACACAGACGCTTTTACAACAGACACACAAACACTTTTACACACAGACTCCTTTACACACAGACGCTTTTACACACAGACACTTTTACACACGGACCATTTTACACACAGACACTTTTACACACAGAAGCTTTGACACACAGAAGCTTTTACACACAGACTCCTTTACACACAGACGCTTTTACACACAGACTCCTTTACACACAGACTCCTTTACACACAGACACTTTTATACACAGACTCCTTTACACACAGACGCTTTTACACACAGACTCCTTTACATACAGACCCTTTTACACACAGACCCTTTTACACACAGACTCTTTTACACACAGAAGCTTTTACACAGAGAAACTTTTACACACAGAAGCGTTTACACACAGAGGCTTTTACACACACAGACTCCTTTACACAGACCAGAGCTGCTGCGGGTGTTGGAGAGGTATCCCATGGCTCCTGCTGCTGCAGCTGTGTTTTGCGTTGGACAAAAAGGTCACCCGCGTCCCCCTGCGACGCACCTACCTTTCGTGTCACCCCTTCTCAAGTTTCCCAAAATCCCTGGAGTTACTAGAAAAGGGGTTTGTCTCGAAGTTGGTCCCCATTTCCAAGCAGATCCATTTTGAGGTGAAAGAAACTCAACACTCAACATGTTGTTTCAGACCCCCAACTTCGGGCCTGATGCTGCAGGCGACAAGGCGGATGGATACCCCAGGCTGCTGGTTCCAAGCTTAGTGAGTCAGCAAAATGAAACGAGGGGCACGTCCAACGGGAACAGAGAAAACTCACCATTCAAACATAGACCATGAAATATGATGGATGACCACAGCGGCCCCAAGCAGCTCAATCATTCACTAAAACATAATTTTCCAAACATTATGCCAATGAGGAGTGCTTTGATTATGAGATATTGAGACCTAGTCAAAATCTGGTTGACGGGTGAATTCCCCAAGGTTGGGCAGGCGATGGGGCTGCAAAGACAGGTGCGGAAGGGGGGCCGTGAAGGAAGGAATATCTGGCCATTTTTTTTTGGGTGTTTTGGTCGCCTACAAGCTGGGATGGATGGGGTTTGTGTGACATTTCACGTGTGACATTTCACTTAGATCAGTGAAACAAATCCTTTGAAACTTGCGAATGCTTGATCACTTGCCGCCAACACGGCTGCCGATGCTCAGGCAATGAAGATGAGCTGAGTGCGGAGGAAAAGAAAAAACTGAAGCATAAGAAAAAGAGAGAGGTGCCCCACAGATGGGATCCAAACAAAGGGAGCTATCGAATTAATGATTAAATGACATCGCGACCTCTATCTGAAGTCTTGATTTGAATGCCTTCTTTTGGATCAATCTACGCAGGGGAACTCGATTTGGCTTGCACTCTCAGCCTATCGGCGCTACATGTTCACCTATTCGAGAACCAACAGACTCCAAGGGCCTTTAGTGGCTGCTCCGACACGGTGTGAGGCACAAAAGCAAGAACAAAAAGCCACGTGCCTCTGGCTGGTTGACTGTTGAAGTGTGTCTGAAGATGCGGTATCACCCCAAAGCGTATTTTTATGGGAACCAATGAGCATTATAGAACAGTGGAATTGTGGGACACAGACAAACAGTATAAATGGACCTTTGTTTCCTGTTCGGCCGACCATGGAGCAGGAAACAACGGTTCTCAGCCAAACAATTAAAGAATGACAGATCGTTTCTCCAAAAGTTGTGCATCCGAATTTTTCCCAAATCAGGGTGTCCTTAGTGATCTGCTTTCGGGTCAAAGACACACCTGGGGCCTTGGTGGTATCGCCAGGACGACGGCCCAGAATGCCACGGCCACCACGGGGAAGCCGAAGAAGGTGGATGATGATCCAGATGGTGAGAAACTCCTGCGGGGAAACACAGCGTGCCATGTGGCTTTGGGATATTGTGGCCATGTGGAAGTGGTGGAAACTTCTGTTGGTGAGTCGAAGTTCTGGAGTTCAACAATGATGATTGATGGTACAAGTGTTTCAAAAGTTGACATGTTTGACTTCATCTCTGAAATTGACCAACTACTTCTGACATTCCAATTTTCTTCGCCCTTTTGCCAAACCTGAGGCAACAAGACTTCATGGAGCAGGCCAGTAAAATTGTTTGGGAAGCCCAGAGAGCTCAGCTTTGACAAGTTGGGACGCAGAATTCTTCGAATTTTGGGCTTTTCGAACTTGCGCAGCACCGCATGAGCCCACATCACTAAGCAAGTAAGTAAGCAAGCAAGCAAGTATAGGAAGACAGCAGGATGCCGAAGTGCTGCCAAAGGCATCTAAGCTGGAGTCACATCCAGGACATAGAACGTAGCCACATGGGCCACCATCACACTTCGGCGGCATCCAAATTGTCTGTGATGTTGCTGACGGGGAGATGATTGATTTAGAGCAGTGTCTTTCGGAAGTTGCACGGCTCACAGTCACCTCTTGATTTCCTCCTCCCAGCGGTCTCCACTCTGTGCAATGGGAAACCGGTCGATGATACTACTGGTCTGGCTGTGTGGTGTGGCGAGTGAACCGTGCCTCGGCAGTTGAACGTCTTTAACCCCCGACTGGGTATGGTTAAAAAAAGCAAAATTGGATATGGTTTTTTGGCTTTGCCCGGTAACCTCGGTAACTCCCACTCCCAGATTGGCCAATTCCTTAGTGGGGCTGCCAGCCATCCAGATCTGACCCCAAATATCAGGGCTGTAGTTGGCGTGGAGTATCTGCATCCATTGAGAGACAGACCCTTGCGTCGCAGATCCAAGTGCATTGGGAAATGGTAAAGTGGTAAAGCCACTCTGGAATTCTGGCCAGGTTTGCAATGGATGCCACTCTTCATCGTCCCTTCTTTTGGAGATCTATCTGCGTATCAATATCCAGCGTATCTATCTATCCGTCTATCTAATCTAATCTAATCCATTTGAATCCAATCCGACTAATGTAATCCAAGCTAAAACTAAATCTAAATCTAATCTGATCTAATGCAATCGAACATAAATCTAATCTAATCCAATCTTGCTAAATCTGTCTATTCACCAATTCTCAACCACACACTCAGCATGCTATGAAACACTTCGCCTGTCACTATTTGAGCTGCCCCGTGAGGTCGGTGTGTCCCGCCGGAGCTTTTTGCAAAGCGCAGAGCGGTGCACCGGAGCCTTGTCCTGATGGCCATTTTTGTCCGCGCGGCAGCACCGAGCCTCACGCTTGCCCTGGGAAGCATTTCTGCTGCTTGTGATTTGGGCAAGTTGTGGTGAGCGGTGTTCGGGCGTTAACTTGAAATTGGCAGCTTCAGCCACGTGTGCAATATCCACCTTTTTATTTGTACATCGCATCATCGGGCTCTAGAGGTTGGATGTTTTTTTGGGGCAAACTTAAATGTTGGGGTCTGCAGTGAGTTTCTGCTTCTGGTTGGAATCTAAGTTCGATCAAATCAACGAGCTGCTGGCTGGGAGATCACGGAGATAGCTTGATTTCGGCAAGCAGAGAAACATCCGTGAATTTCCAACAAACTCATGAAGGGATGATTTCCGTTGGTTTTTTCTTGCCGGCCATTTTTAAAATGATGGTTGATCACACATTTACCGAGCACTTGCCAAATTAGAGCGAACTTTCGTGGTAAAGCATTCGTAAAGATGTCGCCTGGCAACCTGTCGGCCCAGGTTCCAATCAAACCGCCACGCCGCAGAAATGCCCGGCGGGCTACTTCTGCCCGGCCAAGAGTGGCAAGCCGACGCTGTGTCCCTCGCACCACTACTGCCCTGAGCAGAGCTCCGAGCCCCGCGTTTGTCCGGAGGGATTTCGATCCTTGGCTGCCAAAGAATGGAACATATCGCAAGGCGCAGTGCTTAGATCATAAGAATTGTAAGAATTTGGACTTGGATCATGCAAGTGTTGACTTCTGCCTCTCAACATGAGACGACCAGGAAGGCAAGACGAGCTTCACACAAATTCTGTTGGATAAGCGAACCGCGCAATCACAAAAGGAAGGTTGTGAAGGAAAACTGATATCCGCACTTGGGAGTGTGGGCCATAAATGATAGAATTGAATGGGTATTATATTGGCATTGTTAGTATTTGTTATATTTGTTTGTTTGGTCCACCAACCACGTGCTGCAGACTGAGGATGCGAGGGCCAGGACTTGCAGAAGGTGCTGCGCGGGTCGCTGGTCGAAGCCTTGCCGTGGTGGAAGCAGCTGACGGCCTCCACCGAGAAGTTTGCGCTCGCGGGGGGTTGGGGGTACAGCCTGGCCATGGTGAAGGGACAGCTGTGGGCATGGGGTCGGAATGACCATGGGCAGCTGGGGCTCGGCTTCACGGAGCACCCAGTCAAAGTACCCTCCAGCAAAAACTTTGTGGCAATTGCTGCTGGTCATCGCCACAGCTTGGCTTTGTCTGACGATGGCACATTGTGGACATGGGGAGCTAACAGCCGTGGTGAGCTGGGGATTGGAGACACAAACGACCAGCTGAACCCAGTCCAAGTGGCAGTGGGCAAGAAATTGGTGGCAATTGCTGCTGGTCATGAACACAGTTTGGCTTTGTCGGATGATGGCACCTTGTGGACATGGGAACACAACTTCAATGGTCAGCCGGGGCTTGGAAACACAATCAACCAGCTGAACCCAGTCCAAGTGGCAGTTGGCAAGAACTTTGTGGCAATTGCTGCTGGTGGTGTCCACAGTTTGGCTTTGTCGGACGATGGCACATTGTGGACATGGGGAGCTAACCCAGTCCAAGTGGCAGTTGGAAAGAAATTTGTGGCATTTGCTGCTGGTCGTGCCTACAGCTTGGCTTTGTCGGACGATGGCACATTGTGGACATGGGGATACAACAGCTACGGTGAGCTGGGGATTGGAAACACAAACAACCAGCTGAGCCCAGTCCAAGTGGCAGTGGGCAAGAAATTGGTGGCAATTGCTGCTGGTACTTACCACAGTTTGGCTTTGTCGGACGATGGCACATTGTGGACATGGGGAGCTAACACCTATGGTCAGCTGGGGACTGGAAACAGAAAGGACCAGCTGAACCCAGTCCAAGTGGCAGTTGGAAAGAAATTTGTGGCAATTGCTGCTGGTCATCGCCACAGCTTGGCTTTGTCTGACGATGGCACATTGTGGACATGGGGATTTAACGGCCTTGGTCAGCTGGGGATTGGCGACACATATAGTCGGTTCAGGGTCAGCCCAGCCCAAGTGGCAGTTGGGGAGAGCCTTCAGTTTCCCAACCAGTTTTTTCTTTCGGCTTGGTGTGATCCAGTTGCCTCAGCCTATCCTTACGGTGCGTGCGACGTCTCTGCGGGTAGTGCTTTCCCCTGCAGCTCAGCATTTCTGAAGGCAAGGCCCTGCAGCGATTCCGATGGCTGCAGCATCTTCGTGGGTGCGAAGGCAGCTGAACCTTGTGATGCTGGAACATTTTGTCCTGCCGGCAAGGGCTGTGCCATCACCTGTCCTGAGGGACATTTTTGTGCCTTGGCATTTTTGGATGTAAATCTTGAACTAAAGCAGAACAAGGTAGGCTCAATTCATGATAGACTGCCTGAGAGTTAGCTTCTTGAAGGGAACCAATGATGCCCATTTGCAGCGAGTTGTTTTGGCCTGGATTCCGGACCCAATTTGACAATCCAAATATCAACAGAATGTAACAGTGTTTACAGTTCTCCAGGGATTTCATGTGCCTAGCCTTGCTCCAAGGCAACAACCGCGCCGCCCGGCCGGAGCCCTGTGCCGCCGGCTTCGTTTGCCCTGCCGGCACCTCCAACCGCACCGGCGCTGCGGATAAAGCTGCTGCTGAGGAAGCTCCAGTGGCCGAAGAAGGCGCAGAACTGCCTGGTGCATTTTCTGATTTCTCATGGATTAAAGAACAGCAACCGGAAGACTCCCAGGCAAAGTTTGAGCAAACCTGGCCAGCAAGTCTTGCAACTGAACTTGCCCAGTGGTATGCATGCCTTCCCTTTGGAACTGGGATGCTGGTGGCAATCGCCCTTGTCAGTCTGGTGGCAATCGCCCTTGTCAGTCACTTTGTGGAGATGATTGCAAAGCTTGTCAAGAACGGCAGAGGAGGAGACAGATTTGGCTGTTACTTCTGCATCCTAAGTACGTACTGTAGTCTACCCTGCACATAGGTGAAAGATCTCTTCTTCAGGCAGGTGAAAAATGTCTTGTTCAGGAACTATCCATTCTGCAGTAGGTCAGGTGGCAAGAGTGGAATCGCCTTTGACCTAGCAAATTTCGGTTTGTGAGTTCGTCGGTTCCATTGCTTGCTGTGGAAGTGAGCACCTGGTAGGTCCATTGTGTTTCAACAGATCCGCTTCCGTTGCTTTAATCTGGAGGACATCGTGACTTCCCCGTCAAGATGGTGGTGGAAGATGATCGCAAGGTCATTGCTGTGCATTGCCCCGGGGTCACCATCCACGATATTCGCGTGGAGTATTACGATGGTGTCAGCAAAGGAGAGATAAAAATCGATCGCAAGGAAGCGCAGGGTGTTCCGTCGTTGCAGTGGGGATGGACATTCCACTTCGACTCGCACCATGAGTTTGTGCAGTCGGAAACAAGGCTGGGATTTCTCTTTTCTGCTTTTCCTCGTACTGGTAGGTTTGAAAGGAAAGCCGCCTTTGGTTCATTTCAACCTTGCCTTTTTGAAACTTGTTCACAGGACAGACGCAGTTTGAAAGGGCACTGAACTATAATACCCTAGGACAGGATCTTTGTCTTTTGTAACATGTGCTTTTCAAAGGGTTCTTGATTCTTGACAGTGATTCGAATGTCAAAATCACATGGTCACTGCCGGTGTTGAGGGTCGAAATCCGGCGCAGACGGCAGGTGTGAAGATGGCATCCTCCGCGTGAGTTTCAAGTCCGTCACACCGCAGCCACAGGCCGCGGGTCGCAGTGTTTGCCTCCTCCAGTGGTCTGGGGTTGTGGGTTGAAAATTGGGTACCGCCCAACTTGGATGAACGCCTTCAAATAGATTTCTGTTCCCAACAGCATGACCTATCTCCATGTTTGTCCACTTTCCGGAGAGGTGTTCCGCGTGCCGCAAGTCTTCCACATGGCCCTGGATGATGAGTCCGAGATGTCGGAAGGGAAGATTTCGAAGGCCGAGAAACATGAGGTCATGTCCGTCAAGAGCCTTGCACCTTGGCAGTTTCAGATTGCCGGGGACGATGGGCAGCCCATGTCAGGTAGAGATGAGGTTTATGTTTGCAAACTACAACTGCAGGTTGATTGGGTTGGTTTTCAATATGAAACCGTCAGTTTTCATGAGTAGCAGAAACTGCATCAAGAGGCCATGTGCGAGCTGTTATCAGTTTAAGCATTTAAACTTTGAGCTTCTCAATGCCATGGTCATAGGATTACAGAGCCATGGCCCAAATTTTGGGCTTTTGAGTCTTGAGTTAGTTCGTTTAGCATTGCAGCTGAGTGAGCGCGATTCCACTGAAGTTTCGATTCATTTTGGCCGATCAACTTGGAGGTTTAGTCCAACATCCCAATCCACACCTTTGAGAATTATTGGGGTGCACAACTGGAAAGAAAAAGGTGACTTTTTTTGCTTCCAAAATGAGATCATTATATCATTATATATTGTAAAGTTCCAAAAAAAAACTGCCGATGTACAGCCTTTTTGTTCTTTTATCTGGAAAGCTCACCTGCTGCGGCTTTGAGGCCGAGGAAGGAAACTCCATCGTCAGCTACCCCGGATCTTCCTGGGAGCGGTGCTCGGACTGAGGCGCTGTGAAACCCAGCAGCTGTCTTTGGCAGCGAGCAGGCGCAGTGTAGTCCTATGAGTGATATCTGTCCAAAACTTGGGTGAAGAAACATGAAGCTCAGTGGGAAAACCCAATGTTTGCAAGAGGTTGCCAGTTTTTTTTTGGAAGGATGCCTCAATGTTGCAAAAATGATGATATGCGTTTTTGAGATCCTGCTATGCTGTTGTTGCTGTACCTGCACGCTGGCTTGGCATGTTCCCAAAAGGAACTATGTTCTCTTTAGCTTGCCTGGGCATTGTGTGTAGCCTTTTCCAGTTCATTGCAAGACAGGGAGGGAACAATGAGCAAGAAATATAAGACTCCATCGAGAAACAAGATTGTATGTCGCATATTTTGTGTCCATCCACTTGCTTTGGATGTTCAGGGCTACAGCTGCAAATGCCGTGTGAAACCAGGCAATTGATTTAGCTTACAGTAGATGGTGCATGGCTTTGTACTAGTAGTACGTTGCCTTTTTTTCGGTCATTCCACGGCGCCGTGGTACAACAGGGCCAGGCCACAGAGCTCTGCAGCGACAGCAAAACCGTCTTCCCCAATTGTGCCGGGGTCAACTGCATCGGCTTCGGTGTCACTGTCATAGTTCTTGGCCCACTTTCCATTGGGGTTGTAGCCTCTGGTAAACTAACATAGCTATGGAAAATCACCATGCTATTAATGCGAAAATCCACTATTTCTATGACCATTTTCAATAGCTATGTTAGTTTACCAGAGGGTAGCGTCAATTTGAATCAATTTTGATATTGCTGACTTTTTACGCCTTTCCAGAGGTCAGATCACGTCAATCCACTTGGAAGCTCTGTTGGTTCTTACCCTTGACATGCCTTGAATGATCCTGGCACAGCTGTCACGCTGGTGGAGTGGAGGAGCTCCCAGAAGCGGAGCGAAGCCAACAGAAAGAGCCTAGAGTGGTCGCAGATGAAAGATGTCTCGGAGCTCTCTGCAGCCTGCAATTGGACCTCTTCTGAGACAATTTTCGGGGTGCCCAAGACTTGGGCATGATGTGGTAGAGCCATCAACTATCCTCAATCATCACCATAAATATCATAAATGGGGTGTAAAACATCCTCCCCAGTTATGGTACCCTCTGGTAATTTGTTACATAGCTATTGAGAATAGCCATAGAAATAGTTGATTTACCCATTAATAGCATGGTGATTTTCCAGTTCGCTATGTCAGTTTACCAGAGGGTATGTGATAAATTGATAAACCCAATAACCCAGTGATAAAGATCCACTATAAATGGTCATTTTTACCAGCGATAAATTACCAGTGGATTTACCCAGTTCGCTATGTCAGTTTACCAGTGATGGTAGGTTTATAGGGTCTACCCCATGGCTCAGGTTCGCACCATGGTGACCTTCAGCGGCCTCGATTCGGCGACCCATGCCTGGAACCTGGTAGCGGATCAGGGCGGGGGCGGAGGTCTTCGCAAGGGAAAAATCTACAGGGAACCACGGCTTGATGTGGTTTTACTATGTCTTTAATTGGGGTAAATGAGTTCAATAACTTTTTTTTCCTGATTAATCTAATTTTTGATTAATATCATCCAAAATCGTCCTGGTTTGCGCTTGGGTCACATCGAAAAAAAACACTGGCAGGATCTAACATGGGATGAGCCTGGATTTTGGGATTCGACACATTTTCAGAGGGGACCTTCAGTTTTATCTTCTGGTAATCTAACATAGCAATTGAAAATGGCCAGTTATAGTGGATTTTCCCATTAAAGATGGTGATTTTCCATTGCTATGTTATAGTTCACCAGAGGGTATATTCTGGGCACCACCATTTTAGTACCACCATTTGTTGTGTCCCGAAGCATCTCCTTGTGGGTCAAAGCTGTGAGGTCATGACCTACGAAGTCTTCAGCCGCCAGAAGAAGGTGCTCCACTGCCTGCAGGCCTGGTGGATTCCTGGCTTCGGATGAGTTGTGGGCAATGGAAGATGTCTCAAAATATGATTCAGAAGAACTGATCTAATGTGGCCCAATAACAAATCATTTAACACTTCTGAAGTAAAGAACCCTTCAAGACTTTCCTTTTTCAGTTTATCATCCGTTTTTTTTCATGTTTTACCAGTGTTCACCACCGTTTTTTACCAACACATTTGACCATCCCCTCCCCAAATCGCACAGGCGCTGAGACAGTTGTGGGAGCTGGGTGGAGAGGACAAGTTCTACTACAAGTTGGTGGCTCCGTTGCTGGGTCGAAAGGAATGGGGCTGCTGGCTCGTTTGTGATACCTGGCCTGTGTAAGAAAAATCCTGGCTGGGTGGTGGAATACAATTGTTATTGTTATTTTTCTTTACATGAATTGTTCTTATTTCGATACCTAAGTCTTTTGCTATGGGGATTCGTACTAGTTGGTGTATTTAGGTGTCAGTTGGCTATGGCTCCGAAAATGGGGTACGAAAATGCACCCAGAATTTATGGTTCATTTTTGTATTTAACCATTCATTTTTTGTAGGTATGTCTTTTTGAACCATTCCCGGTTCACCCTGGCATGATTTAAGATTGTTATACAGTGATATCAGTGATACCTGTATACCCAGCAAAAGATTGCAACCAGCAAAATGCGGTCAGTTTACCCCGCTATCCCCTGGTTGTCATCCATATCCTAAACTTGTACAGCCGTACCCATACTTAGATCACAGGTGTTCCATTTCTTTTCGTGCTGCAGAAGGCTTGGTGAATTTTGTCGAGAGGCATCAAACGGCCTCTCTATCTGCTGAAACAAACCACTACTAACCCACGCAATCCCAGGTAAATCGCAGGTAAATCCCAGCAACTGGGGCATTTTGGGATGGTTCAAAGTGGTCATGGTCTGCCCACTCCCAGGCTGACGCACTTCTGCTTCGTCATGGACTTGGAGTTTGCATCTCAGATGAGTTTCTGGGGCGTATGGAACTCCAAGCTTGGCATCAAAAAGTGCCTGCTTTCAAGGAGTTGGATCTAGCCATTGAACAGTCTACAACCAAAAAGAGAGTCACCGCAATAAACTGGACACCGCAACCCCTGAAATTCTGGGGGAGCTCCCTGGCCACCCTGGCAACTCAGGAAGGACGTGCCGGAGCAGATTTGCAAAGAAGTGGTTGGGGAAGCCCAGTGACAGACGCAGATGTGGGTGCCCACGTGCGCATTGGAGAAGAGACGACTTGGCTGAGGAACTTCTAGTGGTACTTGTACCAGAAAGCTGAAAACAGACCGAACCCTCTATGTTCAGACCGCTTGTCAGCCAAATTGCAGAGACCTTTGCTCTTTCCAATTTGCTCTTTTCAAGTTAGACTATGACAAAACTTTTGCAGGAGGAGTTTGGCATTTTGTGAGACGCATTTCTTTGAACCCAGTGGATGACCCCCGTGACAGTTTTTCAAAGATGGCTGAATGGCCATTCCATGAATTTGCTCTGGACTGGCTTCCTCCCGACTCTGCTTCGAACTCGGCAGGAATGCTGGTGATAAACGGTTTGGTACTTCGGAAAAAGAATCAACAGATTCAACAGACCAACAAAAAACAAACAAAAAACAACTATCATCATAAAGATGATACATCATATAACAAATGGTATAGCAGGTCTTTATCAACAACTATCATCATGTTGGGAAAGCCTGCCATAAAGACCTGGCTCCAGCCTCCTAGGTGCTCCCTGAGATCGCCGTGATCCTGGGCGGCGAAGGTGCAACCGGGGTTGACACCATGGGTTGGTGGAGGACATTTTTCCAAATCGCCATGGTTTATCCGCACTTTCCCTACAAACATGACCATCACCGAGGATATCATGTATACTGTTACTGTGTATATATATAATATGTATATATATATAATATGTATATATATATAATATGTATATATATATATTATATGTAACACATATATGTATACATATTTGTACCACATTTGTAGACACTCCCAGATTTCTGGCTGAAATGTTGCCAGAATTTCACATGGATTTGGCATATCATTTGCCACAAGGGTGACTCAACCGAGGTGCCACACCTTTCACCTCGGTGGCGCAGATGAGAGAGGCCACTAATGGGACCAAGGAATACCAAGGACACCACTGAAACCCATTCGAGTCCTCTAGAAATAGAATGGTCATAAGAAATTTAGAACCTGAATCCACAGTTATAGAAATCATAGTGGTTTTCTACGTGGATTTTGATGATTCTTTGAGCACTTTGGTTTCCCAACCAATATTCAACGATTCTTCCGTCATCCTGATTGCTCAGTGGGATGGACATCCAGAATCCAGCTACACTGGGGACACCTGCGAGGCGGCTTCCAAGGTGGTCGACCAGGTGGAAGCGCGGATCAAGGCTGTGATTTTGGGGGCGGTAAACATGGGTTGAAAATGGTTGAAGTGGGATTGAAATCTGAGTGAGTGACTTGTGATATTTATTTCAAGATGAGTGAGATAGGAGATTTTGGAACATTTGGTGCCTTAATTTTGTTCGTTGGTGCAAGGAGGTCAGTGGGTGTTTTGCAAGAGATATTTGGAGGTGATAAGTCATGGTTTACTCTTTTCACCCGCTTCAGATTCGGTCACCTAGATCCCCTCAGAAACTCGCTGATGTGTTGCTGGAGGCGCACTGGCCTTTGTTCAGACATGTTCCCTGAAGAAAGATCGAATCCACTCAGCAGTTCAAGGATCCGACCAATTCATGCGCTTTCTGCACGCGGATCGTAAAACGCCCAGGGAGCATCCGACATCTTCCTAGTGGAGGTGCTTTATGGTGCGGGACCCCAGGCGAAAAAGAGGTGGACCATGGTGGACCCGTCGGAAACTTGGAGAAGGGGGGGTGAAAGATTTCATGCATTGGTTCATCACCGCATCCCATGCCTGTTAGATACAGAAAAAAAGATACACACTGGTGATCATCATTATTTCAACAGATGCAGATTCAAAGACTTGGTTTGTTGCCATCAACTGATGATATACGTAAAGCCTGCAGGTTTTCCCAATGAGAGATGCGACCTGCCAGGCCTGAAATGCCTGAAGGCCGCTGGAAGAGATAGAGCAGCACTGCTGGAGGCAGCAACGTACCGTCGCCTTTTTTGTGCCGTGCACAAAAAGCGAGCAAAACACGGGGATATCCGGGATATGGTTGGCTCATCTGTCTGACCAGGAACATCTGGGGGCAGTGACCAAGAATCGGATGTGAGCAAGCAAAAATGGATGTTAGAAGTGATATTGTTGGGTATTGAATCATCAGCTGGGGTCAGACATCCCTTGGTTGGAGCACAGGACCGATGCCAGGATCTCTGCACGGAATGTAGAGGGTCAAATGAATGACAGCTTTATTGATGAACAATCTCATCAAACTCCCCATCTCATCTTATTGGTAAACTGCCCATTTCTCAAGAGATTGTTGATCAGTAAAACGGCGTCTTTGTTTGGGAAAATCTCCATTTCATTGCCAGTCAATTCAATAGCTGGGCCAAATAGATAGATTATTCACTTTGACATTATACAGCAGATATGGAGAGTCCCCCCCAAAAATAATACAAAGTCCGAAGCCCCCACAAATATAGTTCATTTACAGAATTCCCCCAAAAAATCCATACAGCTACGAACATTTCCCATTTTTTTCTGTTGACATCTCCGATCTTCCAGGCCTGGAAGCCTCAGGGCGTGCCTTGACCAAGCAGGATCCATGACCGGCCATTTCTTGGTGGTAGCACGAGAAATATGGAGAGGTTTAGTTTTTTTTTTTTAATGGTACGATTTTTTTCTAAGGCACGAAATCATTGATGCCTTTTCAGATTCATTGCATCAGCGGTCTGCGCTTTGCATCAAGAGCGTTCGCGGATGTCTCAGGTGATGTGCCTGAAGGAGAGCAGGAAACTGCTCGCCTACATGGAGAAAGAGTTCGGCAAGGCACAACTGGGGTTTCAGCCGCTTTTTCTTGTGGTTCATGGTCTACAGTTAGTTCATTCCATATTAACGAAAGACATTCAAAAACCATGGGTCTACTCTACAGTTATATAGTTGATTCCATATCAACTAGACGACGGTTGGCCCGAGAGCGAAAAAGATGTTTTTCAAGCAGCTCTGAGGATGGTAGTCGTAAAAGATAGTCGGTGAATAGTTGATGAATTTTATATGAGCTATGGAAAGATATGATGTGAAAAAGTAAGATTGATCAAGAAGAGAATATTTGGTAAAGGGCATCAGATGACATGTGTCTTGCAACCAGAGAGAGAGAGAAAGAGGGGGCAGAGATAAAGAGAGAGAGAGAGAGAGAGAGAAAGAGAAAGCAAGAGAGAGAGAGAGAGAGAATGAAAGGGGTGGGGTAGAAAGAAAACATGGAGAAATGTAATGTGAGCAACAAAAGTGCACAGGAGGCTCAGTGCCATGAGTCTGCGAATGACATGTGCTATCTCATTTTATTATGGTAATTCCCACGCACATTGCGGAAAAAGGCGCGGCACCATCATTCCGTGAACGCGAAGAAACGCGACGCTTTTATACAGAGACGCTTTTACACACAGAATCTTTTACACATAAACACTTTTACACACAGACGCTTTCACACAGAGACGTTTTTCATGCACACACACACAGACGCATTTCCACACAGAGACTTTTACACGAAAACACTTTAACACACAGACGCTTTTATACACAGACTCTTTTACACACATACGCTTTTACATGCAGATGCCTTTTTTTTACAGACGCACACGCACTTTCACACACAAACGCTTTTACACACAGACGCTTTTGCACACAGACACAGACGCTTTTCCACACAGACCCTTTTACACACAGACGCTTTTACACACAAACACTTTTACACACATACGCTTTTACACACGGACGCTTTTACACGCAAACACTTTTACATACAGGCGCTTTTACACACAGACGCTTTTACACTCAGAAACTTTTACACACAGACGCTTTCCCACAGAGACTTTTACACAGAGACGCTCACAAAGCGCGGCACCACTGGGTGACCTCAGTTGCAAACAAAGGTGCGCAAACATAGTTGCAATGGAAATGCTAAAAATCGCAAAAGTGCACAAGACCAGGCTCAGTACCATGATCAACGCACAATCCAATGCAAGGCATCCGCTCTTTGAGATACAAAATAAGCTCGGCACCATGATGCCGTGGATGACCTCAGTTGCAAACACAGGTGGGCAAACATAGTCGCAATGGAAATGCTACAAAATGCAAAAGTACACAAACACAGGCTCCGTACCATGGCATCCAAGAGAATCTAGAAGTCCGTGCAAGAATGCTTTGAATGATTCCACAATAGCAAGTTCGATATCATGATGGCAAGGATGACACCTGTTTCACTGCATTTCTCCGATGTCCCTACAGGATGGAAAAAAATCTTTACAGACAAACAACAGTTGGCTACTGGTTTTGCATGTTCGTCACGAACAGTCTCTCCAGACGAACAGTGCTACAGATTAATTTGCACCAGGGCATCGAAGAAATCATCTGCGCAGCTGCAAACACAGATGGTGGTGCCTGCCTCCTTCCAATGGCACATTTTCTTCAAAACAACTGGCCAACCAGCTTTTACCAGATAGTGTCCGGTTTCTGGTTGCAAAGAGTATTTTGGAGCCAATTCAGCGCTCCCAGGCACAAATGAAAGAATGTGTCGTAGAATTTGTTGTTCGAAGCCTGAGACCACGACTCCTGCGTTTGACAAGCAAAAATCATTGTCGCATAGACATGCAAACTGAACAGTGAAGCTCACTATGAACGTATCAATTCCCACACAGATTACCACACCAAACGAACCAAGCTCCGCACGTCCTAGCATGGATACACTAGCAAGCATTGTCACCCTCAATCTCTAACAGTTCCATGTCGTGCAGTCAAAGTACACACAAAATCTTTTACACACAAACGCTTTTACACATGGTGCTTTTACACAAACACACTTTGACACACAGACGCTTTGACACACAAAAGCCTTTACACACAAACGCTTTTACACACAGACGCTTTTACACACAGACGCAACGCTTTTACACACAGACGCTTTTACACACAGACGCTTTGACACAAAAGCCTTTACACACAAACGCTTTTACACACAGACGCTTTTACACACAGACGCAACGCTTTTACACACAGACGCTTTTACACACAGACGCTTTTACACACAAAAGCCTTTACACACGGACGGTTTTACACACAGACGCTTCTACACGCAGATACGTTTTACACACGCACACACGCTTTCACACACAAACGCTTTTACACACAGACGCTTTGACACACAAACGCTTTTACACACAGACGCTTTTACACGCAGATGCTTTTTACACACGCACACACGCTTTCAAACACAAACGCTTTTACACACAGACGCTTTTACACACAGACACTTGTACAGAAACGAAAGCGTCCATCGCAATTTTTCCTCAGTTTTTGACGTGCAACGTCCATTTCGTGCGAAAGGGTTACGATTGACCAAGTAAAATCGCAATTTTTCCTCAGTTTTTGACGTCCAACGTCCATTTCGTGCGAAAGGGTTGCGATTGACAACTCAAAGTCGCACTTTTTCCGCAGGTTTTGACGTCCAACGTCCATTTCGTGCGTAAGGGTTGCGATTGACAACTCAAAGTCGCAATTTTTCCTCAGTTTTTGACGTCCAACGTCCATTTCGTGCGAAAAGGTTGCGCGCGACACCTCAAAGTCGCAATTTTTCCTCAGTTTTTGACGTCCAACGTCCATTTCGTGCGAAAAGGTTGCGCGCGACACCTCAAAGTCGCAGTTTTTCCTCATTTTTTGACGTTGGCGTGCGTAAGGGTTGCGCGGGACACCTCAAAGTCGCAATTTTTCCTCAGTTTTTGACGTCCAACGTCCATTTCGTGCGAAAGGGTTGCGCGGGACGCTTCAAAATCGCAATTTTACCTAGGTTTTGGACGTCCAACGTCCATTTCGTGCGAAAGGGTTGCGTTTCGTGGCGCTCCGGCACCGCCCCCGCCTTAAGAGAGAATAGAAGAAGAGCGAGAGGAGATCTGCAGATGTGAAGGTGTGAAGATCTAGATCTGCAGGTGTGAGGGTGTGAAGATCTAGATCTGCAGGTGTGAAGGTGTGATGATGTAGATCTGCAGGTGTGAAGGTGTGATGATGTAGATCTGCAGATGTGAGGGTGTGAAGATCTAGATCTGCAGGTGTGAAGGTGTGAAGATCTAGATCTGCAGGTGTGAAGGTGTGAAGATCTAGATCTGCAGGTGTGAAGGTGTGAAGATCTAGATCAGCAGGTGTGAAGGTGTGAAGATCTAGATCAGCAGATGTGAAGGTTTGAAGATCTAGATCTGCAGGTGTGAGGGTGTATATGATGTAGATCTGCAGATGTGAAGGTGTGAAGATGTAGATCTGCAGATGTGAAGGTGTGAAGATCTAGATCTGCAGGTGTGAGGGTGTGAAGATCTAGATCTGCAGGTGTGAAGGTGTGAAGATGTAGATCTGCAGATGTGAGTGTGTGAAGATCTAGATCTGCAGGTGTGAGGATGTGAAGATCTAGATCTGCAGGTGTGAAGGTGTGAAGATCTAGATCTGCAGATGTGAGGGTGTGAAGATCTAGATCTGCAGATGTGAGGGTGTGAAGATCTAGATCTGCAGGTGTGAAGGTGTGAAGATCTAGATCTGCAGGTGTGAAGGTGTGAAGATCTAGTATAACGGCTGCTTTTTTACGAAGAACCCTTCGCAGGCGCTCTCGGGAAAAACCCACGCTACAATCGAGGCGTACTACAATCAATGCATCTTCACGGGCCATATCCATTGGGTGTCACTGATATCTTCGCATAGTGGATGGGGGTTGAAGAATGTTGAAGACCAAACATGATAATATGAATCCATTCATCTAGTATCCCAGTATATCCCACCATATCCCACTGTATCCCATTATATCCCAATAGAATGGTTGCTGATATCCCCACGATATCCCCATCATCAGTGGTTGTAGACCCGCCATTTTCGCTGGCCAAACGCATCCAGCTGACGACAGGACTCCCCGGCGTGGACCAAGTTGCAGAAGCGGTGCACGGAGTTTTTCCCCTTGATGGTCGGATGATCACCGGGATCTGCAGGGTGGTGCCCAGTTCGTTAGCAATCAGTTGCTTGAAATAAGTCCAATAACTTGAGTTTATGGTAGATATATCAACCATATATAGCTGATACATCTATATCTAACATTATCTAACATCGATGTGGAAAATCTAATAGTTCTAGATGATTTTCACAGGGAAACACATGGGTTTTCCAGATCAATGTTCCCAAACATTTTTTGGGAACACCGTGGGGAAGATTCACCAGGACTTGATGATACCCTCTGCTAATTTGGACAGAAATGCTTGCAATGTTGGTGGGCGCGATACGGCTTGGTTTTGGGGGCGTAGTAGGGATAGATATTGTTGGATGGCCAGTGATGGCCATTTGGCCATTTGGGAGTGATCTGCACAAAGGACGCTGAAAGATTCAATGGTCTGTGATTCTTGTGCTTTTGACAGTGAGATTTGACAAATCCAAAGATCATCCACGACCACAGTTTTTTGGGCCCTGAAAATGGGCGATATATGGTCAAATGGCCATCAAATCACCGGGGAAAATGATGATCAACGATGAAATTTGGCTGCGCACAGGTCATTTCCTGACGCGTCCCGGGGGTAAGTTTTGGAGACTTCTCCGCTGCGCCGCGGACGTAACACGAACAGTGGGCCCCCAAGGCCCAACGCCAACACCACAGCCATTGGGACAACCCACACCACACCGACCTGCCCTCAGGGTATTGTTCCTGCTGTGGGGCACCACTTTAGAGTTCAGTGTCTCACAAGTTCTGACAAGCACAGCGCCAACTACATGATTTTTGGACAGCAATTTTTACTGGCAAGCCGTGCGAGAATCACCTTGCACTGCAGTTTTAAATTGAACCTTTTTTGGTTATAGCGCAGTGCTTTTCAGGAGTATTTGCTCCATTCTGAGTCCCGCAGGAACGACAAAAAAGTGCGAACTCCGGAGTGTTGCCACTCCAAAATGGATGCGTTGGATTCTCAACACAACTTAGGGTACTCTTGCATGGATTGCCCACTTAGAATGTATAGACATAGATGCCAATTCTCGGCCATGCATGGTTCCCAGTCCGGAAAGACCAACTGTTGAGATAATAGAAACCAAGTTGGATACATACCTACATTATATGTATAATATATATAATATACACACATACATATTTATCATGAAAGGCCTGGTGGTCCTGCAAAATTCAACATCATTTCTTGCTCCAGGGAATTGGCCTCGACCCGACGCCAACAGGGCTCATTTTACAGGCAAGTTAGCAGTCGACACTGGGACGCACTCGTGGCACTTGAGCAGGAGCAGAAATCTGTGGTCAAGTGGTCCTAAACCCTAAACCCAAAGCTCCGCTTCTTGGGATGATTTGGTATGGTTACCATGGTTCAACTTAGCAGATCTTCAAGAGGTGTTGACAGAGGGTGAGAGAGTGGGGACTCTGCTGCCACTTCTTTTGCAGGACATGGCATTCCTCATGCTCTTGACCGGCTTTTGCGCAGGTGGGCAACAGATGTGGCCGATATTCAACCTCTTTCGAGCTCGACACTGGAAGCTCCAAAATTGGGACTTGCCCGGAGGTTCCCTACAGCACCAAGTTACAGTCACATGAAACAGCTAGATGTTGCAATGGTAATGACTAGTGTTGATATTTGTTAGTAACAACCATAGTCATTTTAATTGCACTAAATTACAGTAGTATAGCCATATTTGGTAGTATATAATTATAAATCATAAAACATAATGAGTATTAATGAGTAATATAATAGCTATTGTTGATATTTGGCAGTTATAGTGGGTCATCGGTTATTGTTCCCCGTATTGCTGCTTTCTTCAGCTATAGCTGGGGGACCTGACCAGGTATTGCCCTGGGTGCGTACCAGGAGGGGAAACTCTTGGAATGTGAGGCTTAAGATACGGTCGGAAAATATCCCCTGGAGCAGATAGAATATGGGATGTTCAAAGATATTCCGAATTCCTGTTTTATAGTGTTTTTTTTTAACATGTCCATATTCTACTTACTCCGGGATGACTTTTAAATATTTAACTTGGATGGATGGGAAGTAGCTGCAGCTGCAGCTATCAGTAGCCTCCTGGAGTTCCACACTGGGAAAGTCACAGCGAAACCAAATTTGTGTCGGTCAGGACAAACATCTGAAGCCAGTCTATGACACCGTCTTTTCCAAGTCGGCCACCCTGTGGCAGGACCATGGGACGACTTGGGACTGGAAACTTCGCAAGCAATCGCCAGATCTGAGGGTTTTTATGTCATGTGGTTTAGAGACACATAATGAATCATAATGATATACCACACCTGATTTTACATTATTGAGACAAACCTCACGACTCGCGACTTTGGCATTTTTCCGTGAGTTTTTTTTTGGTAAGGGTGATTTGAAATGAATGCGTTTGCGTAGGCACACGTGGTTTTCCGTTTATCGGAAATTCACTTGGCCTCAAGTGGCGAAGAACTGAAACAAGTGCCTATGCCTAGTTCGTATGTGAAAATACCCATAGTCGGAGCAGTAACTATCTCAACTCATCGACTGATCCCACCCAATTGTGACACATGGGGTAGTCCCAACGGGTTATCAGTCAGCAACTAGATAGTTCTCCCCATCGCTATTCCATTGATCTCTGGTTTTTATTGGTCACCTACCCCCCATTTGCGACAAAAGGTCCCCATGTTTGTTTCCTAGCACAATAGTAACCCATGTGACTTGGAATGCTGAGGGACTCAGCCTCCAGGACAAAGTGTTGGCCGGATTGCAGAAGCCCGCGGAAAGTTGAGGTGTGCGGTGGGAGGTTGGATGATTTGGAGATGTAGGGCCCAAGGTCAATGGTAATATCTGCGATATCGATATCTCAGCAACAAACTGGGACATAAATTGGCCAACAAAACCTCGGCTTTTTGCATCACCCACCGCCATCGTGGATTTCACATAGAAACCAACCGAAATAGGTGACTGGTTGTGCGAGTCCCAACGTGATTAGCATGGCCGATGTGGCTTGACCACCCCAGTGGCTGATGTATCTGCGGAAAACCGCCATTCGGCAGGACGACCCGGGGCAGAGCCAGTGAGCGTCAATCGGCTTGGTAGTTTTCAGCTTGATAAGAGAAGCTGAATTCATTCGAGCTGAGGTAGTATATGGCGTTTGTGTGGCTGTATGACTTGCTTTGCTCTTCCGAAAGAGCCCGGCTCCCCCGCAGTTGAACTTCTTTGACAATTCTATCGGTTTTTGTGGTGGTTGATGGTTGGATCACAGCATCACAGTGTAGTTCAGGTTACCTTGGGGGGCCTGTGTCGCACAAGTGCAGGCGACGATGTGGTTTCAGAGACCAACGCACAGGAGTTGGTTGATGCAGATGGAAAACTGCGAGTTGCCATCGTCAGGTTGCCGCGTGATTGATGGAGACTTCCAGATAAGAGACAACCATTCTATGACTAAAAGTTTAAAGGCATACCCGCCAGGAATTTGTTAAAATGGGGCACAAGCAAAAGCCATTTTGAAACAGGAACACATTTTGCCAAATCCAGTCTTTGGGTCAGTGGTTTTCATGCACAAAGGCACTACATGCAGGGAGAGGAACACAACATTGTACCCAAAAAGACAATAAAGACACACATTTTGATACACTCTGTATGTACTGTCTACTTAAGGGCATCATGCCTTCCAATCACTCGCAAGCTTGAAAGACTCCAGCCGTTGCACTCTGGAAATCAAAGATAGCAAGCGGCACTCTCTACATCTCAAGGGAATATCACTCTGAGTCCGAGGAGGGTCTTTCATGTCTGCCACGTTTGATTGCTGTTCAATCTTGGTGGCTCCTGTCACCAGTGTTTTGGGCCAGGGAATCTGCAGCACTGCAGCCATTTGGTCTCCACCAAGTGGAGCCCCTCAACCCCGCGTCGCGGGCGCTTTCGAAAGCAGAGAACCCCATTAAGGGCCGTCGCCTGGTCAGAGGGAGGCGGTTTTTGGGACGGCTTGGCACATTCGAAAAGCCACTGAAACGCCACGTGTATTTTGAAAACTGGGTTGCCCTTAAAAGTGGATTTGACTTGTCGAACTTTGGATTTCAGGGATGGAAATGGAGACAAAACCCTGAGTTGCACTGATTCCGACCCGACTGGATTTTGTCCCAAAGTTTGGAGATGGCAAAACAGGTTTTTCGATCACCTGGTCATGGCCAGTCGTGTCCCAATTCCTTAGCTGAAAAACCCAGATGTTTGATTGCTTCACTGGGCTCTTGGTGAAATTGCTTGAATCTCCGCCCAAAAATTGCTGGGCTATCCTCATATTTTTGCGGGTAAAAAACAATGAATGACCGAAAATTTTGGGCTTCAGAGATTTCCAACCCTTTCCCTGGATTTTATTTTTCTCATAGGCGGCCATGACGAACCCCTCGGGCCTAGCGCCGCAAGCGGTTGGCGAGCCCAGATCTTCTGAAAACGTACGGGAAATCTGGGGAAGATACCTCATAGCACCAAAAAAAAAGAAGTCAGCAAGATCCCTACTAAAGTAGTGGACAGTGACTTTTTTGATTTCTCTTGGGGTTCCTGTACATGGAGTAACTATTGATACCGCAGTGGCACGAAAAGTGGAAGATTCGCCGGCAGCAGTTCCCTCATCCAGGTATGTGGGGGTTTCCTGAAATGGGGGTACCCCAATAGCTGGATGATTTAGAATGGAACATCCTATTAAAATGGATGATTTCGTGGTACACCTATTTTAGGAAACCTCCGTGTAGCATCCACTGGATCTTTTGGGTATTTCAACTTGGTCCCATATTTTTTGGGTGAACTGCAGTATTTTGGTCATCAACACGTGACACGGATAACCAGAAGTGCCATGTAAAACAAGATGATCTGCGGAGAAGCCTGTTGGCTTCGACAACCCTATGTTTTTTGAATGAGCATGACCTACAATTGGAAAGGAGCATGTCATTTTTTTTTGTCTGACAGAATCATGTATAAATTGTATAAATTTTGGGACTCGCCATCTGCTCCGCCCTGAGATCTGCGTCAACACCGTAGCCCCGTTCCGGAACTGAGAGGGGGGAGCTGGAGGAAGTGCCTGACCATTGGTGGAGCTGGAGGGTCAGCCCTGACTCGAGGTTGTTTCCGCGGGGTAAGGACCACCAGTCCACGGTCCGGAGCCCAAAAACGGAGTGGCTGGAGGGTCTGGGAATCTCTCTGTGGTCAGGAAGATACTTTTTGGATCCAAATCCAGCACATTTTTTTTTGTCTGGAAAACAATGTGAAATCATCATTTTTGCTGGTTCAACTCCTCACGTGTTGCTGTTGAAACCCATATGTTTGGGGATTTTATTAGTAATCATTCCATGTTCACTTCCAATTTTCAGATTTACAAAAACCAATAAAGCCGAATAATTCAATACACAGTTGGATTACATACCCATATTGAGAGATGGTCATCAATCAATTTTCAACGGGATTTATATACCCATTATAAATAAATAATTATAACCATTCCATTCCCATTATGCATGGGATGAATGGCCATACCAATATTGTCCGTTCAGGAAAAATAGAGGGGCCGGTCTGGCATATGGACATCCACCATACCTCATTCATCCCCTGTACCTCGACCATGGCCTTCCTTTAAAACCAGGTTCAACTGCTAAAGACAAAACAAAAACCAGGTAAAACCAGAGAAAACCCACATGAACC